GTTCTGCCTTGGAGAGGAAATTGCGTATCACTCGGTTTGTTGATCTTGATTACCCGCAGGATTGATGCAGTACCATTGGATTCATTTTCAATAAGATCCTTTGTAGGTACAACCATGAATTCTTTTCTCCACATGAATTCGGGGTGAATGGCATAGCCAAGGAATAAACCAGGGCTCGATGTTGGGTCGAAACGAAGTCCATCCTTGTTCTTCTTTCTTGGTCCATTCCAATAGTCGACGAGACAACCAAAAGGAATGAGGGGACCGTCAAATCTCGATCCAAAACGTAATTCCCATGGTGATTTGTCTCCCCCCGTTGCAATGACATTCTGCATGAAGCACCAATGTCGGGCAGCATGTGGCCAGTGCCAATGATTCAGACCTGCCTGAAGCAGATTGACACGAGTGCCTTCAAGGACTGACCGGACCGCTCTCTCGGCTTGGGCGTTGGACTTGGATATGTAGTCCCTACTTAAGACATGACGGCACTGAAGGATCTTCATTGCTGAGATCAACTCGGGTGCATTGTCACTGTCGAAAACTCCTATCTTATCTTCATGTCCAACAAAATGTTTAATTGCCAAGATAGCAGCATTGGTGGTTCGTCTGGCATTGGGGTAGACATACATAAATCCTGTAGCTATGTCCTTCACGACGAGTGCACTTTTCTCATCATCGATCCCCAACTCATCTTCATCTCTGGTGACAATAAAATCAGCAGTGATGTGGTCACCAAATTTCTCAGCTTTAACTTTGGTTGATCCGCCTACAGCTCGTGAGGGTGGCTTGAACATCTTAGCTCTGGTACATATGTCGCAAAAGGGGTTCTTAGGGATGTGAGTCAGCATATGTCGAATGGACTTAGCTTCTTCTTTCAATTCCTTTTCCCCAAGTGACCTTTTGTGAGCACCATCATCATGGACGTTACTACTGCTACCCTTGGATCCTTCCACAGGCGGCTCAACCTCCCGGTCGGCATCAGGGCATCAACCTCCTCAGCCTCCAAGGGCTGGGGCTCCGGTAAATCAACATTGATACCCATGGGGTCATCACCAATGATTTCAATGTCCCCATCGGGCTCCGGAGATTGTTGAGCTTCATCTGATGCCGGGGTGGCAACACTTGGTCTAGGCTGAGTTGATGGAGTGGAAATCGTCTTTGAATTATTTGCAAAGTAGGGTACGTAATCTCTGACAACTAACTCAATGCGTTCCCCATTTGGTTTGACCATGTACGGAGGTTCACCTTTGGAGCCTCTCCATATGAAGTCGTAACCATCATCAATGCATCTCATCCCGACTGAAATTACAGGAGGTGAGCTTCGAACAAGATATGGGTCAATGGTCTTGCCTAATTTTGGGACAAATACTTTCCCTTGTTTTGATGACGAACTTTCACCATTGGCAGTAATCATGCGAATGGGATTGTTGGAGTAGTATCCATAGTCATCTGGCAATTCGCTATCATTGACAAGATCTTGAGCACTCCCCGTATCTGCAATCCAGTCAAGTTCGAGGTTGATCGCTCCCTTCACGTCTTCTCTACATTCCGCAGGGGTGGCTTTGATTCCCTTTGGGATACATTCATTGCAACCAAAATCTGTGTCACATAAATAGGCACATTTGCATTCTATTCCCCGAAGACAATTGGAAACAGATCCTGCCAACATGGTACCGGTCAAAGCGGCATCATTCACAGCAAGTTGATCAACTTCAAACTGATGTCCCCATGGAAAGGTAACCTTATCCTTGGTGACTGCGTTTCCAATTGGCCTCAAGTTCCCTCGGACTTTAACATGAGATACGTCCGGCGAATCATCAAAACGAATCGATGGACAAAATACTCTTGGTTGAGGGATACAAAATGCCTGAGACACGGATGCAAGCATGGATGCAACTAGACAAACTGCGGCAGGAGACGGCTTAGATGAACTGGCCCCGGATCCTTTAGACTTCGGGGATTTCGGGCTCTTGGGGCTCTTAGAGCGGCTAGAGCTTCGGGATCCCTTCCTTTTCGGGTTCTTGGGATTCTTCTTTTTATTTTTGTTTTCGCTACTGGCCGAACGGGCAGGAGTAGCTTGTCTTGGCTTTCCCACTGAACCCTCATGAAGGAATTTGCAATCAGCTCCTCTATCGCAACGTCCCTGTTTCCAAAACTTGCAAATCTTCTTACCTTTCCCCTTTGGTCTGGGAGAACCAGAACGTTCATTTGAGCGACCTCTGGTTTTGCTGGGTTTGCGACTTCTATCACGTGGCTTGGGGACTTCATGCTTGTAAGTACAGTTGTCCTTGCTACAGCCTCCCTTATTCCATGCCACACAATACCCCTTGGGGATGAATCCTGTCTTGCCCTCGACTGCGGGAGCGGAGGGACGACCGGAACCCGAAAGACCTTTGGCAACTCGATCACGATTTGCCTCCAACCTCTCACGGTCAAGGTGGCGTCGCACGGCAGAAACAAGAAAACTGTAGTTCCGTTTTTCGGTTCCTTCATCAGCTCTATGATACTCATTCATGTCATGTTGGATGGCCTTACAATTCTTCACTTGTTTGTAGAAGAGTGTCTCCAATACACTTACTTCGGGAGTCTGGACGATACCAGCCAACACTTGATCCCAGTTTGAAATGAAAAACTTCAAATTCTCCCCGCGCAATTGGACACTGAACAAATCTTGAAGGGCATAGGTTGCTCCGTGCTTGATGTTGGTACTAAAGTGGTCATGCAACATGAACAACACTTGTCTCCCTCTTACTATCCGTCCAGCGGTGGCTTCAGTCTCCTTGAAGGTATCTACCTTGCGGGCGAAGTCACCAGTGATGATATTGGTGAGTGCAGAAAGTAACTTTGCATCAAGTGTCGCAAACGGCGCAACCTTCCGGAGCGCTTCAAGGGTCTGTTCTTCTTTCCAAGAATCACTAATCCACTTGAAAGCACTGTCGGGATCTGTTGATGCTGCTACAACTGCTTCTCTGGTCTTGATTCTCCAATTGCGATAGGTTTCTGCTAGTGGGAATGCTGGAATTTTGATGGTGTCAGCTTCCTTGACTTTGGGTTTGTCATCATGCCTTGGATCGATGTAGCCACCTAGAAACTTGATCATTCTTCGCCTGAACTTCTCATCATCATCATCATCGGGATCATCATCACCGCCATCACCGCCGTCAGGTGGATTGGGACCAGCCCTACCTTTTCTGGGTGCCTTACGGTTCCTATCCCCTTCATGTTTATCAATAGGATCAGGTGGTGATGGTGGTCCACCTCCCCCGTTCCCTCCGTTGCCATCTCCTCCATCCCCTGGATCGTCCCCATCAGGCGCATCATCGCCCCCCGGCTCGAAGTACTCCATTTCATCTGGGCCTAGTTCGGTCGGGACATATTGATTGGTCGGCGCAGGGGAATTAACATTATCCATGGGATGATTATCTCGGCGACGATTATTGGCCTCTCCTCCCGAAGGGCGTTCCTCAACGGAAGACCTTGCAACATCCGACTCCTTCTTCACTTGCACTGGGACTCGATATGATGGGTCATGATAAATGATTTCAATACCATCCTTTTCATAAGTCTTGGCATCAGGTGAAGTAAAGTTGATCGGCGTTCTTGCAATTGGAGGTCGGGCTACATTGGTCGGAGGTGCTGCGGGTGCAGCCTTGCGGGTCGGTGGAACAAATTCGAAATTTGGGATCTCCGTTGATTCATGGGTTCCGGCTGTCATAGTCATGGCGGCAGTTTCGACAATAGGACTTGGACGAACCTGAGCAAATTGGGAATCGAGCATACTTTGCAGTTTCAGATTGTGCCGCATCTGTACTTGTACCATGTGTTCAAGCTGTGTAATGCGCTCATTCTGAACCCTTCTCTCTTCCTCAGCTGCTCTTCTCAATTCAAGGATCTCTTGCTCCTTACTTGATAGTGATTGACGATGATTAGCATCAATGACACGTTGATAGGCCTGAATTTTCTCATTCATCTGAGCTTCACGGAACCTTACATGTTCTTGCGCCTCATGCTGTAGATTCTCTTTATATTGAGCACCCATATTCAACAGTTCTTGTTCTTTGATTCGGATAGCATCAAGGGCCCTCTGACTTTCAACGCCCTCGCGGACTCGCAAAGCTTCCTTTAACTCCTCAGTCTTGGCCGTGTGGATAGCTTCGGCCTGAGCTTCGGTATGAGCCAACACCTCACGATGACGGAGCTCGGCCGCTGTTTCCACAAGGCTTGTCATGGCAGGATCATGTGAATGGACATGCAAGTTCTGCTCGACAAAATTCACTTGAGGATTATCCATATGCACATTGTGGTGAAATGTGTTGTGAACATTCGTTTGGTTCAATTGGCGAGTCGGCGGCCCACTCTCCCGAGCGGCTTGGGGGACATAACCACGATGGTTAAAACCTGCATGAGAAGGCACAATTGCGTTACTCAAATGCGGTAAGTGGCGTCTGTCCCTCAAACTACGCGATTTGTCGGAACCAGTGGGTGTGCTTATGTCAACCGAAAATGGGGTGTCTGAAATAGGCAAGGCTCCCGGATTTGCCATGGCTGCGTCAGAGAAAACGGGAATACCGGGGCCCTCAGGGGAAGTACCTGAGGGGGCAGACATGCCTACAAAAGAGAACGTTACGCTACGGCTGATAACCTGTTTTACAGGTCTACACAGCCACAATGCAACTACAAGTAGACGCTTGTTTCTTGAGCCATGTGCACAGGGTAACACAGGTGAAATATGAAGTATGTACAGTAGTATACATGAAAAACACGGTTTACCTATAGAAAATAGCATGGTGATTTTCCATGGCAAACTCTTGGTCATAACCAACATTTGCCAATACCAACATTAATCCAATATTAACCAATATTAATCAAAATTAATCAACCATTAGTAATCCAATATTAACCAACATTGGCCAACATTAACCAACATTAACCAACATTAACCAACATTAACCAACATTAATCCATATCTATCCATAGCCATCGTCTAACCAACCCATCGCCTCCAAGCTGAGGGTTGACCGCAGAATTGCCACCGATGCCCAACCTCGTTTTTTTTAGAATGCTGGGTATGTGTGTACAGAAAAATGTGTATATATACAGAATATACATAATACATATATATATATATCAAATGTGTATATATCATATGTGTAGGTGTATATATATATATATATGCGCTTGCATATTTACATGTTGCGTATAGAAATATAACAAATATAATCATACATACATGACCTAAGATCAGGCCACTATTAACCATCAATTATGATGACGGCATGTGACGGCGTTGTGGGGTCCTTAGAATTCAGCCATATTATATAATCATACGTAGTGTGTGTATATATATATATATATACCCGAATGACCCGTGGTTTGGAGGTTGTGAACCACAATACAGAGGGTCTCAAGTCTCAACCATCCAAAGTAGTCAGAAATACAGGTCAGTTGGAGCGCAGGATTAAATAAGCCAGAGTCCATCCCATGCATTCAGAGCAATGTCAAACAGCAAGTCAAACCATCCAAGCAAGCTCTTCTCAGTCTCTAGCCAAGCGCAAGCACACAGCTTGCATGATCAAACTTGCGGCCGATGGTGATTGTACCTTTCCATGACTTGACGCCCGTCCCTCCCAAATCACCAGTTTTCGGCCAACGATTTTTGCTACACTGGCGCACTCAATCGCAGCGGGCCGCGCACCTGAAGCTGGAGCTTCGAAGGCTCCAGATTTCATGCCATGTTTCCACTTGATTTCATAGTCCTTCAGACCCTTTCGTTATACTTCTCTGCTGTCAGAAAAACCTCTGTGAAACTGGAATACTCGTATATTCTCCAACAAAACAGGGATGAGGAGAGGGGATTCTTTGCTGCACTAAGAAGTCTTCTCAGTCGCTTGGTTCTGAAACCGCTGGGAGAGCCATTTTTCTTGTGTCCTCATCAAAATACCATCAATAAAAAAAACACAAAACGTAAGCCCTACAACAACACGACCTGAAACCAGAAACATCCACAAACATCAAAAACCAAGCATCCCAAAGCCAGAATTTTCTTGCAATAGTCATTGTTTCATCGTCTCTTATCCTTTGTGATCCTTTTTAAGCAGTGTTTCCTAAGCCTGTTTCATCGGTCCACTCACTGCCATAAACCTGGGGAATTTGGGGATTCCCATGGATTCCCATGGATTCCATGTTTTCAATCCCATGGTAAGTCATTGATATCGTGGCACCAAGGGATTGCCACATTCTCCATCATCGCAATCGCTGGGTCCGATCTATTCGTCTCGGTGTCCCGGCCACTGACGCCAAAAGTAGACCTTCAAGACCTTGAAACTGCCACCGGGCTACCTTACCAAGGCCAAGGGGCACATGTTATAAAACCTCACCATATCAATGGGAATTTCAGGATCCTAAAATGGAGGTACGTTAGTACCATATTTTTGGCCATATTCTGGGGGTATATCCCCTTACATAGGCCTTACATAGGCCTTGTATATGGTAGGTACCTCCAATCTAGGTTCCTGAAATGGCCGTTAACCATATCTGGGGCACTAAATGTGAAGTATCATATCCTATTTTGCCATATCATCCCCAAATATCATCTCCAAATATGGGAATAGAATGGAAGATGATTCCGTTATACTACCAGTATCATCCAATTTTTGCTGTCTATATCCCCGTGATATCCCTGTGATTGATTGTCTGCTCGCTGAAAAAAAACGGGATAGAGACGCCACCTTGTCACTGCAGCTCAAAGAAACGTCCGAAAGACTCAGGTCTGAAGCCTTGGCTCTGCCGCCAAGATGTTCTAATTCCAAGCGAGCGGCTGGTTGTTTGCCTTGGATATGTATATAGATATTATGTGTACGTGTGATTTCTGGTACAACTATGCCTTGATGTGATGTTTCCACCTCCTGTCAGCTTGTGGTGAGATAACCATTTGCACCGCTGGGTACCTTTGTGGTTCAGGCGATTCGAGGAGGGTAGGGCTGTGGATCTAGGTCGTTGGACGACCATGGAGCCTTGAGTGTGTCCAAAAGGGCGCTGCGTGATTTGGTGGTGCAGGGCATCCACTATCCTTATTTTCATTTGGCGGGGCCATTTCAACATTTGGATTCATTTGGAACTGACAGGGTCAGCTTTTCTGTTTTGGTGAATTCCTCCGCTACCAGCTGTGTCATTCACACTGGTAGCGGAGCCTCGAGCTCCAGCTACTTTGGCCTAGCTGTAAGAGTGGACGATCCAGGGAGGTCGGCAATCCTTTCAGTTTTGACTTTGGCACCATGCCTCCTGCCGCAAGTGCAGACGGTAGCCTTCCGCCTGTGCCGGACGATGAGCCGACACCGAGCCCAGTTCAATTACCTTGGAGCCAAATTCCAAAATTTGTTCCTGGTGTGACGAATGTCCAAGAGTATTCTCAGAAGCTTCAGTTTTTAGCATCCCTGTGGCCTGTGGAACACTTGGACCAGTTAGCACCTCGTGCAGCGCTTCTCATAGAAGGCACGGCGTTCAAGAAGATCGCAAAGATTCCCCCAGCCAAGTTGAAGGTGAAAACAACAGATGGTGTGGCCACTTTGGTCGAAGCCATTGGAGGGTCCTGGGGTTCCACCGAGTTGGAAGAACGTTATGAATACTTTGAGAAATCTCTGTATGGAACAACTCAGAGGAATGATGAAAGCCATGATTCTTTCCTGGCCCGTATGGAGGCCAATTTCACTGAACTTTTGTCGCGCAATACGACATTGGAAGAGGTGCAAGCATATGTTCTGCTCAGGCAGTCAACTCTCAGTGCAGAAGACAAAAAAAGGATTCTCCTTGAACATGAGGGTGAACTCAAGTACAAGCCAGTGGTGAAGTCATTTCGTTTGCTGGGCAGTCGCTTTTTCAACGAGTTTCAGACCGGAAGAACCAGTCAGCGAACCAAAGTGTATGATGCCAATTTTCTGGATACTTCGGAATCTCATGATGCAGCTTCCTCTCATGATTCTGGAACATATGAAAGAGCGTATCTCACCCCTGCTAGTTCTGATGATGCAGAACCAGAGCTGGATCAAGAGTTCATAGATGCCTTGGTGGCCCAGGACGATGCTGATGCCATGACTGTGGCCAACTTTGAAGGTGAGTTTGAGGAGTTCTTGCAGGACACCCCTGAGATGTTTGAGGCCTTGACCACCTACATCGAGGCGCGATCGAAGTTGATTGAAAAGAAGAAATCAAGGGGATTCTGGCCCGTAAAGGGAAAGAACAAACATGGCAAAGGTAAAGGTAAGGGGTTTGGAAAAAGATCCAAAGACCGTGACGCATTGCTTCAGAAGATTGCTCGTAGCCACTGCCGCCGCTGCGGTGCCCTCGGGCATTGGAAAGCGGAATGTCCGTTAGCTAGTGGTGCCGAGAAGTCCAATGGTCAGCCTTCGACTGCATCTGCCAATGTGGTGATGGATGAACGTCCTCAGGAAGTTTTTGCCACTGCTGGTGATGTCGATGAGGTGTTTTCCGAAGATGATGATGAAGCATATGTGATGCCCTCCGTTGAGACCAGTTTGCAGTTTAAGCCATGTCATGCCGAGTGTTTCATGTTGACTCATGAGTGCAAGAGCCTAGGAATTAACAACCTGAGCCGACGCATGTCCAGTTTCAATTCCAAGAGAGTTCAAGGTTTTTCTAAGAAGTCACAGAATACATGTGCTCCGGCAGAATCCAAGAGATTTCAAACGCTGCCTAGGAACTGCCCTGATGAATCCTCATCAGCCCGAGCTCCTGTGGCCAGCCGGTCATGTCGTTTTTCTGAGACTTTTGCATCCGAGCATGTGTACAGTAGCTTAGAAACCTTTTGCACTCATGCGATCTTAGATACTGGAGCAAGTCGTTGTATCATAGGAGACCGCACTTTGAAGAGACTGCAACAATCTCTTCCAGCAGAGATTAGTGACCGTTTTCGCAAGCAAGACAGCCAGGTGAAGTTCCGTTTTGGAAACAATCAGTCACTGACCAGCATGTATGCCATTCAGATGCCCTTAAAGCACAAGGAACGCAAGAAACTGTGGCTGTCCGTAGAAGTGGTTCCCGGAGCCACCCTATTTCTTTTCTCCAAGAAAGCTTTCAAGATGCTGCATGGCTCGCTGGACTCTCGAACAGATCAATGCTTCATGCGAAAAGTGCAAGACGGTCCCATCAAGCTTGTGACAAGTCCAACCGGTCTGTATCTCATCAACATGATCGACATTTGTGTCCAAAGTGAAACTGCACTGTTTCAAGAGTTCGCCAGTGACATTCCTGTCAAATCAGTTCCGGAAATACCTAATGGGGATAGATTAGGTTATGAAAACCATAAAAATAGCATAATGGGTAAGACTGAAGGGGTTTTACAGTCTCAAAAGCCAAACAAATGTGGACCCAGGTTCCTGCGAAACAGAAGTTTTCGCTCAAGTGACTCGCAGCCCGACCTGAATCGTGCTTCCGAGCCCTGTGATTCTCATGCCGCCCATGGTCAGCATGCTCAAGACGATTGCCGAGGCCATCATTCACTTGCTGACCTTGCTCCTTCAGATCTTTGTGCATCAACTGGAAAAGCAAGAAGTGATCACCGAGACGGAGATCGAAACCGATCCTCAGATCCATGGACAATTGCAAGAGATGATGAACCAGATCAACCTGCAGAAGACGGCATTAGAGAATCTCAAAGACGAGCTCATGGTCCAAAAGAAGCCCAACGAACGCAAGAGTCGTGGACCCATCATGGGAGCAGGTCCAGGTACTTCCGCCGGAAGTTCAACAGTGCTGATGACTCTGCCTCCAACCACGATGACCCAGCGCCGGGGAAAAGCTCCATCGGTCGTGTCTCAAGCGGCCAGCTGGGAAGAGATCGAGGAGATCGAGGAGGTGATGATTCAACAAAACATCCAGATGACCCCAGTGAACGAGCCCAACAATCGTGGTGCTCCACCGGTACCCACGATGCCACTTCCAGGCAATCTGACTCTGGAAGAATGGGGGAGCAATGTGATCTCCTTTGGGCGAAAGCACAAAGGGAAGTCCTTCGAGACGGTCATGCGCCAGGACCCCGGGTACTTTCACTGGAGCCTAGCTCGGTACTCGAGCCTGATGCCGGAGCAGCAAGACTTCGTTCGATTTGGACAACTCTGGATGACGAGAGGCGATCTATGAACTCATCACCTGAGGCTCAGCAGTTCCGTGCGGAAGTTCTAGCAGCTCAAAAGGATCTTCAGACCAATGCAACTATCAAGAACCACAGTCCAATTTCCCATCAAATTGAACAATCCATCTACCAATTGGAGGATTCCTTAATCAATCATGTACAACCCAGTAGCGACAACCCTAGAACTTTCCTTTTGGAAATTTATGCTAACAAGAATAGCCCACTTACTGAAGCAGTTCAGAGACTTGGTTACAAAGCTGTGCGTTTTACCAAAGAGGATGGGGATTTGGCCACGTTCTCCGGTCGTCAGAAATTATGGAGTCTGATTGAAAAGCTGCAGCCAGAGCATATATGGATGGCACCCGAATGCGGACCATGGAGTGGCTGGAATCGTCTCAACATGGGTAAGAGCTCATTCATGTTTGATTTGATTTCTCAGAAACAAGAAATGCAAATGCCTCATGTCCACTTGTGTCGAAGAATCTGTGCATATCAAGTTCGCATGGGACGCCATTTCCATTTAGAGCAACCGGCAGGTTCCAGCTTGATTCAGTTGGATGCTTTTGCTTTTGTGCGACAGCATACTGTGGCAGCTCGTTTTGACATGTGCCGTTTTGGTTTGCGCATCCCAAAGACCAATCGATTCCTCAGGAAGAAGAGCCAAGTTCTAACCACATCACGACAGTTGTTTCACGAATTGAATGGTATGTTGTGTGCAAATCAACACTCTCACCAACGTATTGAGGGTAGTATCAGCATCGATGGTCAGAGACAGAGACTGACCAGTTTCTGTGCGACCTATTGTCAGGGTTTTGCCAAGCTGGTGGCCGGAAAACTTTGCAAGCTCCAACACACCATGATAGGCGCATCATGGTTTTTGATGATGAAAATGAAGAAAGACCCAAGAAACGCTTCAGGACAACCGGAAGTGAATCTAGGAAGAGAAAGTCCAGTCCGATTAATCCAAGACCTATTGTTGCCGACGACAAATCAGACACCTTGCCAGTTGGAGAACGTGAGATTTCCGACCATCCGCCAAGGGATCCGAATCCCGATGTTTCCAGGCCAGAAATTCCTCCGCCAGCATGTGCATCGTCCGAACGTTGGCAAACTGTGTTTGAGGAAGCTCAGACCTTTGCACCACGTGTAGGCAACACCCAATGTCCTGCAGATTCAACCGCATGGAGCCGAGCTCAAGCCATTTTAGAAACCTCCATGAAGATCACAGACATGTTTGTATGCAGAGGTACGGAACGTTTTCAGGTACCACTTCAAGCTCCAGCATCCCATCAGTTTCCCTTGCGATATACAGTGTGTTTGCACCGTGAGACTTCGGCCATTCATGATCTTGGTTTAGAAAACTGGCATGAAAGCACTCGAGCTCAACGCATCCGAAAGTGTGTACCATGCAAGCTAATCATAACCATGTTTGGGTGTTCTCCAGAGATTGAATCTGCTCCCGCAAGAGAAGTAGCCGATGATGCTGAGAGGCCAATGATTCCGTCAGAACCGCCTACAGCAGTTCGAGCGTCCGGTAGTCAAGGGTTGCCAGTTGCAGTTCACGAGCGTACCAGCAACATTCCATGTGAAGGTTGGGCACCACCTCCAATACCACTACATGGTCCAAAGTTCAGGTTGTTGAACGCCCAAGAAAAACAGGACCTAGTGAAGTTGCACAAGAACCTGGGGCATCCAGATCCGTTAAGATTAGCCCACCATCTCAAAGAAGCCGGACCCCATGAACATGTGATTGAAGCCGCCAAGGAGTATGTTTGCGATGCATGCGTGGAAACCTCCAAATTTCGACATCAGAGACCAGCCAAACTTCATGATCCAAAAGAGTTCAATGAGTTGTTGGGGATTGATGGTTTTTACTGGACGGGTAGAGGTGGATTTCAAGTCATGGTATTTCACTGCATAGATGAAGCGTCGCTCTTTCACCTAGGACGTAGGTTACAAAACCGTCATCTTGAACATGTGGTGCCTGTCTTCAAGGACATGTGGATGTCTTGGGCCGGTCAACCGACCGGTATCTATTCTGACCCTGCTGGGGCATTGCGTGCTGGACACTGGCTTGATTTTTTGCAACAGCAGAATATAGAGTCACGTTTGTCCACCGAAGCATGGCAGAAGGGACGCATTGAGAGACATGGTCAAATTGTCAAGAACATGTTGGATCGTTTTGACCAAGAGAAGAAAATCGAAGACATCCAGGAGTTTGACCAAGTCCTCCAATCTTGCTTCCAAGCCAAGAATGCCCTAGATCGTCACCAAGGTTTCTCTCCAGAACAAATTGTGTTGGGAAAAGCCACGAAAGTGTCAGCATCCCTTACTTCAGATGAGCATGCATCAGCCCATAGCCTAGCTGACGGTTCCGATCTGGAAAGTGAAATTTCCCGCAGAAACCTTGACATCCGTTCCAGAGCAAGACGCATGTTTGTGCTGGCCGACAATGACTCGGCAATTCGTAGAGCTCTACTTCGCAAGTCACAACCGCACCCAGGAAATTATGAAATAGGCCAACTAGTACTCTATTGGAAAAAGAAGAATACCACAGGAAGACGTGAAATTGGCCGCTGGCATGGGCCTGCAAAAGTAGTGTGTCAAGATGGTTCCACTACAATCTGGGTGGCACATGGTGACCGACTGCTGCGATGTTCCCCGGAGAGCTTGCGACCTGCGTCACTGAGAGAATGGCAGAATACGTCAGAGTCCCTGGACCACCATGTTCAAAGCCTTCAGAATCCTCAGGGTGAACAAAAAGGTATCTTGGAGAACAGACCTCATGTCAATGAAAGCTCAAATCAGGATGAGATGTATACACCTGGTACTCCGATAGACAGTCCTGAAATTCCCATCAGTAGCCAAGCCAGTATTCAGCCCGAGAGTGAACTGTTTCCAGAACCCATCACTTCCAATCTAACCACGCCTGTCATAAGCCCCCATCAAAGTATAACCGATAACACCACCTCAAATAACTTTCCTAACTTTGAATCCGAAAATGCCATTGATCTAGACACCCCCAATGAAGAGCCAATTGATGCAGCCGAAACTGAAAATGTTCTGTCCTGTTACGAAATCAGTGACTTCCTCCATGAGAATCCGATCCATGAATGGAATGTGTTCCAACCTGGCACTGAGTTCCATGATGTATGCCTGGCTGAGGATGGTTTGCCTTTATTAGATGAACCCATGTGTCATCATGATCATCAATGTTTCATGATGGAAGTTCCGATGTCTCGCCAGGATCTTATTCAGTGGTCTCAGTCTTCCCATCCGGAAGAGTTGGCTCAGGTGGCTTCGGCTGGAAAAAGGGCCAGAGCAGAAGTTCAGATCAAAGATCTGACTGCAGCTGAACGAAAACTTTTCGACGCTGCCAAGGAAGCTGAACTATCATGTTGGCTTCAAACAAGTGCCCTGAAACCAATGCTCCGTAAGCACTTGAATCCGGATCAAATTCTCAGGTCTAGGTGGGTCCTGACATGGAAGAACGTATGTAATGATGATGAACAAACCAATGCCAGAAAAGCCAAAGCCAGATTAGTTGTTCTGGGTTATCAGGACCCCAGATTGACTGAGGTGAATCGTGATGCGCCAACTTTAACTCGAGAGGGCAGACATACCATACTTCAGCTCATTGCGTCGCAACAGTGGGTCCTCTCCTCTTTTGACATCAAGACGGCCTTCCTACGTGGAAAGGCGGACAGTGAAAATCCACTGGCAATGGAACCACCAAAAGAACTACGAGAGCGTATGCAATTGCCAGATGATCAGGTATGTGCTTTGATTGGAAATGCGTATGGTAGGGTAGATGCACCGCTTTTATTTTACAAAGAGCTCTCCAGTCAACTGCAAGCTTTGGGTTTCAAGATGCATCCGTTAGAACCCTGCGTGTACTATCTGGAATCTTGGAAGAATGGACAAAGAATTTTGCATGGGGCTCTAGGTACTCATGTGGATGATGGCATATGTGGGGGTGACTCATGGTTTCATTCACGTTTAGAATTGCTTCGTCAGAAATTACCTTTCGGATCCTACAAGCAAAGAAAATTCGTGTTTACTGGAATCCAACTTGAACAATTGCCAGACTTCAGTATCAGAGCAAACCAAACAGAATATATCAAGGCGATCCCACACCTTGAGATTGGCAAACACAGACGAAACTTGTTGCAAGATCCTATTTCCGAAAAAGAGATGTCTAACTTGAGAGGCCTCATTGGCAGTTTGCAATACGCCACCACCAACACCAGACCTGACGTGGCCGCAAAGCTTGGAGAAATTCAAGTTCAGTTGTCAAGACCCACAGTCTCGACACTGACGGAAGCGAATAAGGTTTTGCGTGAGGCCCAGCAGACATGTGACGTGGGACTGTGTTTCAGATCCATTTCTCCCCAAAAACTCACACATGTTGTGTTCGGAGACGCGTCATTTGCCAGTCCAAAACAGTTAGCATCTTTTCAAGGAACCTTGGTATTTGCCACAACACCGGATCTCCAAGATAACAAGAGGGCTCCCATTAGTCCTTTATCATGGTCATCCAAGAAAATCTCCAGGGTAGTAAGATCAACATTGTCAGCTGAAGCTTTCTCCATGTCACGTAGTGTAGACAAGATGGGATGGTGCCGCTTGCTGTGGGGCACATTGATCATTCCTGAGTTCCAATGGAGAAGTCCGCCTGATGCATTTCGTCAGATGTATGCTGCAGTAGTTGTTACAGATTGCAAGTCCCTATATGACCTGGTAAGCCGCCGAGCGATGCCGTCATGCGAAGAGTATCGCACAACATTAGAAGTCCTTCTTATTAAGGAAAGGTGCATGGAACATTGTTTCTTCAGGTGGATACCGACTTCACTGCAACTGGCCGATCCTTTAACCAAGAATATGGACTCATCGCTTCTACGTGTGGTATTGGAACAAGGGGCCTTTCAACTGTTTGATGAAGCAGCCAGTCTTCAAACAAATGCACACAGGAAACAGGCGCTGCAATGGTTGAAGGAATCACATCAAAAATAAAGTTTTGGGAGTGTGATTTCTGGTACAACTATGCCTTGATGTGATGTTTCCACCTCCTGTCAGCTTGTGGTGAGATAACCATTTGCACCGCTGGGTACCTTTGTGGTTCAGGCGATTCGAGGAGGGTAGGGCTGTGGATCTAGGTCGTTGGACGACCATGGAGCCTTGAGTGTGTCCAAAAGGGCGCTGCGTGATTTGGTGGTGCAGGGCATCCACTATCCTTATTTTCATTTGGCGGGGCCATTTCAACATTTGGATTCATTTGGAACTGACAGGGTCAGCTTTTCTGTTTTGGTGAATTCCTCCGCTACCAGCTGTGTCATTCACAGTACGTATATATATATACACATATATATACACATAATATCATGTCCACATATATAGTATATTATATTCATTGTGTAATATACCAGTGAACCAATCAAGTGCTGTCCACCACAATGATTTCACCAAATGGCCATTATATTTATCTGCACCATTGTGAACGTATGGCTTGGGCCGAATGATCTATATCATCTCCCACAGGCTGTCCAGGTACTCGCAGGTTCGCAACAGAATCTCCCTTTTTGTCCTTCTGCCGGTAGTCTCTGCAACGTGTACAGTGAGACGGTTTCAACTACGCTGAGCCGCTCAGCTGAGCATTTTCGCAGCCACCGCTCATGCCACCTGCTCACCCTCTTCCGCTTCCTCTGGTGGTGCCTCGCCACCTGCCCAAGGATATGAAATGATGTGACTCCGAACAGGGGCAGAAGATGTGAAACTGGAGACTTTCCCAACCGGTTGCTGCTTCACCCGAGCTGGGGATATGGGTTCAAAGCTGGTGTAGACACGTTCTGTGGCAATAATGGTAATCTGTAAAACATTGAGTTGGAACTGAGGCTAGAAACAGGTAATCTGAGGATGTCACTTCCTCTAAGACGACTTTGAAACATTTTTGAAGCGTTCAGCATCTGGGAAACAGAATCGAGCTGTTTTTGTTGGTAAAAACCCGACTATTGATTGAAACCCAACCAAAGTTTTTGAAATCAGACTGTTGCTGGTTTCACTCCCATTGTTGGTGGTATTGCCACTATTGTGTGTGTGTGTGTGTTCAATCCTAGTCTTGTTACTACTGCACTTGAACCCCAAAAACAACTCGTTTGGTACACCTCCAGCATCCCAAAATCATCCTTGTTCATTCTAATCTCCTCAATATGATTGCTTTCAAAGCCTGCCCAGGAAAAAAAAAACGGTGTGTTCTAGTTGGTGGTTTCAATCCAAGCCAAATAAATGTATGTATGTATCTATGTATTTGTGCATCTATTTATCCATGCATCTATGCATTAAGTATATGTATCTATGCATCTATGTATCTATGCATCTTTGTATCTATGCATCTATGTATCTATGTATAAGTGTATCTCATCTATGTATCGATTCATCTATGTATTTTTGCACCCATGCATCTATGTATCGATGCATCTGTGTATCTATGCACCTACGTATCTATGCACCTATGTATCTATGTATCTATGTATCTATGCATCTCTGCATCTATGTATATACGTATCTTTGCATCTCTGCATCTATGTATCTATATATGTATCTATGTTTCTATGTATGTTTGTAGCTACGTATGTTTGTACGTTTGTATCTACTTATGTTTGTACGTTTGTATCTATGTATGTTTGTATGATTTTTTTTGTATGTTGGTATGCTGGTATGCTTTCGGCCCCTCGCCTTCTTCAAAAGTTTCCTCCAAGCCTTCCTCGCCTTCGACGCCTTCAGTTTTCTCTGGTGCGGCTCCACCTGCACCGTGGAAAGTTGTAATCCAAGCCCTTGGGTTTTAGATCTAAAAGTCGAAAAAGGGCTCATCTCTCAGGTCTGACTAGAGAAAACTAGATCAAAAATGCTGACTAGAGCAGAAGTGCTAAATGATATAGACATGTTGGTGTAGGAGTTGTTAAGTCCAAGGGATGCACTTGTTCATGGGGGCCAAATGTCCATGCCAAGCCTACAAGAAGCCAAAAAAGGGTGCCGGGACACAGGTTGGTCCAAGTAGATAGATAGATAGATAGATAGATAGTTAGATAGAAAGATAGATAGATAGGTAGATAGATAGATAGATAGATGGATAGATAGGTAGATAGATAGATAGATAGATAGGTAGATAGATAGATAGATAGATAGGTAGATAGGTAGATAGGTAGATAGGTAGATAGGTAGATAGATAGATAGATAGAGAGAGAGAGAGAGATAGATAGAGAGAGAGATAGATAGATAGATAGATAGATGGATAGATAGATAGATAGATAGATAAGTATATATATATACATGTATAGATAGACAGACAGACAGATAGATAGACAGACAGATAGATAGATAGATGGATAGATAGATAGATAGATAGGTAGATAGATAGATAGATAGATATTCATATCATGTATATATATATAGTTTGATATTCCTATTTATATATATGCTAATGCATTAATGGTCAAAAACTCCTTGTTCATCCTGTTCTCATTCAAATCACCAAATGTCGGGGTATCCCTCAATTTTAACGCCCTGCGCCTCGTCCTGACTGCGGAGAGACTTTCTGCATCAGGATCACCATCACGGCCTCACGGTGCGGATGTTTTCCAAACTCAAAGATGTCATCAACCGATATCATCGAAAATTGAAATATCCTCTGTCATCGTTTGTCATTATTACAGTATCATTTCTAGATGATTTATAAGGATTTACCGTTCACCTATGGAAAAAAAAAAACTGCCATTGCTTGTGCCATGATCAACTTGCATGGGATGGGTTCACATGGTGTTCCCATCTTGCAACAAAGCACAGTTACCAAAAGGTCCCCGTGAAATGCACCATTCGCCCCAAAGATATTGAATGGTCAACTCTGATATCAACAATGTCTGTTGAATCTGCTACTGTAATTACAGTAGAATTTGGGTCTTTTTGGCCATGTCTCAATCTATCTATGCGTCTTTGCAAAGCCAGGACGAGGTTTGATCTAGCAAAAGGTTGAAAGTAGAAATACAGTGCATGGCTATGTCCAGAAATGCAGAGAGCCATTCAAAGGAGATCCTAAAGGCATGTTGAAAAATTGTCCATGGCATTTGTGTCTTTGTGTTTTAACTCTGAACTCCAAGCTCGTCCTTCAAAACATTACTTCAAACATGTGAACGTAACGCAAGACCAAGTGACAACAGTGACAGCCACGCACAAAACACCGGCAAGGTTGAGCTGTCCTCGGAAGGTCACGGTCCGCTGGTTCCACGGCGCAGAACAGTGCTACGACTGCTACGACTAGTGGGAACCCGTTTATCAGCCATGATAGCTATGGTGGTATCACCTCCCAATGGTATGTAATCCAAGTCTCATCCCGTTATTCCCATGAATATCATGTCAAATCCCTACGTTTTGACCATGAAAGCATGGCACATATGCAGGTTTCCTAAAATGTGGGATCCCCAAAATGAAAGGTTTATAATGGAAAATCCTGTTTAAATGAATGGATTTAGTGGTACCCTCATTTTAGGAAACCTGCATATCATGTTCGGTCATTTTTCTCAGCTGAGTGGCCCATAGTAGCCAGGCCGGCCACGTCGGCTTCGAGCCCTTCGGGACCTTCGGCGCCCACATCGCCCTGCTCGCCCACGGCTCCTTCCTCACCTTCCAATGCATTGGTTTGTTGGGAAAATCTTGCCCAGTGATAAGCTAACATCACTATTGAATATTGAAAATCAATGAAAATCACCATGTTTAAAGGTAGATCATCTATCAATGGGCCATTTTTCATAGCTATTTTATGTTAGTTTACTGGAGGGTAACCGGAAACAAATCCAAGGATCCAGTGTAAACACGCTTGGAATTTGGGCTGAGACTGGTTTTTGTTTGCAGCCCCAAAATAGATAGGGAAAAAGTTGGACGCCTGGAAATAAAGGCGAAAACATCATACAGATATAGCTAACCCCCCCAGAACCGATTAAAACAACATCTCCACTGATATTTACAATAAAAACCACACTTTTTTGGTCGATTACTTTGCAACAAGTTTTCCTGATATATACATATGCGCATGACCCTCTTCATAATCTACTTTTGATGGTATATTAACATGTATGTGTTATAGTAACATAGTTCGTGTAGGTCAAATGTAAGTATTGCAGGAACATGATACCTATAGGTCATCACACGCGACTCGCAATGAAACCTTCACAATTACCGGGGAAGGGATATAAAGAAGGACATGCTTGCTATGGAAAGGCAGATGACCGACAGAAGTAAGAGTTAGTTGTTTGGTATGGAATCATTGGGTCTGCAGATGTCTTGAGTGAGAAATACCGAAAGAAGCGAGACGTGGTTGTTTGGCATTGAGTACACAGATGTTTTGAATGAACTATTGCTTGCTAGAGTGGAGAACTGATGCGAACATGGTGGACATGGCGGCAAACAAGCACAGTGATTTATTTTGATCCATGTTCCTTCAGAGGTCTAGGCACGCAGGTCTGCCAGCATTGTGGCCGTTGCATTCCACAAATTGGCACCTTTATGCCAATATGTCCACTATGCCATTCTAAAGGATGGGGGGGTCCCACCAAGAGTTTCCAAATATTGTTTTTTGTTTTTTTTTGGTTTTCTCGATGTTTTTGGGTTTTCTGGCCAAAAATGCAAAATTTTTTGTGAAAACAAAAAAAACAATATTCCAGAGGTCTTGGGGATGGGGGGGTCCCACCAAGAGTTTCCAAATATTTTTTTTTTTTGTTTTTTTTGGTTTTCTCAATGTTTTTTGGTTTCTCTCCATGGGCTCCTCCCCAAAGAGACTCAAAGTATTTTTTATGTTATCATTACATGGAGGTTTATACTGATTTTTTCTGTTTATGGTATTAAGTGGTGGACAGACAACTTGGAGAGCAGACAAGTTGAAAGGGTGTTAACCAAGTTTAAAGGATGTGAGCCAAGTTGCAGGAAGGTACAGAAAGTTGCTGCTTTGGTCGGTTCTGGGGGGGGGGTGACCGTATATATATATATATATATATATATGTATATATATATATAATATATATATATATGTATTTAGTATGTATTTAGTATGTATTTAGTATGTATTTAGTATGTATTTAGTATGTATTTAGTATGTATTTAGTATGTATTTAGTATGTATTTAGTATGTATTTAGTATGTATTTAGTATGTATTTAGTATGTATTTAGTATGTATTTAGTATGTATATATATATATATAAGGTGTGTGTGTGTGTATATATATATATAAGATGTATATATATATAATGTATATATATATATATGTATATAAGATGTAAATATATATATATATACACAAAATGTATATAATATATATGTATGTATATATATATATGTATGTTCTATTTTTTGGGAGTTCTTATAGATGTTTCTACAGCTGTGGCTCAGCATAATATGAGCCCCGGATGAATGTTTGCCCCAGTTGATTAATTGGAAGGTGCCCCCCAAATAGTGACAATCTGCTACTGAAATAGTAACACCCAATTCTCCATGGTTGACATTAGTTCATATGTTTTTGAGGTGTCCTATTTGTTGCTGTTCTACTTTCTGCTCCTTCCAATTTATAAGAGACCCACTAATGTTAGTACATAAATAGCAATCATCCCAATTTTACCTGAAAATGAGTCATATATCAAAAAAGTGGCGATTTATTGTTGCTTCAATAACATTGATAGATAATCCTCATTAAATCCCGAAGAAATCGCCAAGAATTCGCGCCTTCATCGCCTTTCGCGCCCGCGGCTCCCTTGGGGCCCGCAGAACCCTGCTTCCCCTTGTCGCCTGACCAAACCCGCTTGGGACATCGAAAGATAGAACCATGAAGAAATATGCATTATCCATATATCAATAAATAACATAATATAATATAATATAATAGAATATAGAATACAATATAATATATAATATAATATAATATAATATAATATAGAATACAATATAATATATAATATAATATATAATATAATATATTATATTATATAATATAATATAATAATATATAATATAATATAATATAATATATAATATAATATAATATAATACAATATGTAATAAAATATAATATCATATCATATAATATAATATAATTTCATACAATATATTATAATATAAAATAATATAATATATAATATAATAATATAATATAGTATAATATAATATAGTATAATATAATTTTTTTTAAAAAAAAAAAAAAACAAAACATATCATAACATGATATAATATAATACTATATAATATAACAAAATATAACAAAATATAATATCATAAAACATAATATAGTATAATATAACATAATATGATAATTATATTATATTGTATTATGTTATATGATGTTATATTATATCATATTATTTCATATTATATTATGTTATATTATATTATGTTATATTATATGCTGTTTTATTATATTATATTATATACGTAATTATATATACAGTATAGCATAAGTCTGTATAGTTGAAAACCAGTTTAATGACGTAACCAATTTGTGCTTGGTTTTGACTCAAAGAGCGTCTACCTCAACTTAAAGCATGCATACCAGTCTCTGTGTGTACTGGGTGTGCAAAGCCTTAGTTGATCTTAGTTACATAACCACATCATATGCGTTTTACAGAACGAATCCTTGCGGCTATCAGTCTGGAAGGCTGTCTGGAAACTTAATACATCCAATGGTGGGGTGAACAAATACCGCTAGCCACAGCTAGTGTTCGGCTCTGCCTTTTCCTCCAGTAACACCTGCTGGTCCCACTTTTCCAGCAGGATGGCAGATTGCCGATGTGTAGTCCACACCTGCGATGTGAAACTGTGCAATATTCAATTCATCGCTGCACCGCCCAATTCACCCGACACAGGCTTTCAACTCAGGAAGTTGAGCACAGCGATCGGACCTTCCTCTGGTTCTTCTAGTTCACCAGAATATTTCTTCTTGGTTGGCGCGGTGCTTGTCTCAAGAACTGCTACAAAAAATGAGGCACACACGCAAATTCACTTCACCACCAGCCCAAAAGTACAATGATGTCCACAGCCAAGACGGCATGCAGCACAGGCTAGAAGAGGGTCATGAATTAATAGTTCACAATGTTTACTCTGACTGATCCTATATTATATTATATTATATTATATTGTATTATATCATATTATATTATATTATATTATATTATATATATATTAATATACCCAAAGAGTTTGAGGCCAATAACTCCAGCAGTTCAAGCGAGGAAATGGTTTCTGGATCACAGGTTGGAAATTACACCAGTAAATCCCAGCAACTGACACTGCAAAAAAATGCACAAAAAGTCAGTCCTTCGAGATTCCTACTACAAAGACCAAAAAGGCTGGAAAAACAAGCCAAGCAACGTAGGAGATGCACGTCAGCTTACCGTCCTTCTTTTGGAGTACGACTTGTTCACATTGCGCGGACTGCCACATTGAAAAGTGCGCAAGCTGATCAACAGGTTCGCGGGTGAAATCTTTTCCAGCGGTGCTGGGTTTCTTGAGACAAAACCATGTCTAACCATGTCTAGTTGATAATCCAGGCCTTCTCCACCTCTACCGTTGCGATGTTGATTGAACGGCCCTTTCCAGGGAATTCGATCCAAACGAAGTTCCCGTTCTTCCCACCACAATCCACAATGTAGGGTCCAGCCTGAGAGGAATTCACCAGCTGATTTTCTCATACTTCATTTAAAAAAAAAAAGTGGTGCGATTAAGTGTAAAATCTGCCGGCATACAAAGTTTGTGGCTGCTGTTCAAAAGCGAATGCCATTCTCAGAGATCAGAAAATTTGGAGTTCAACAAGATTTAGCCATAGACATGTTCGACACCTGAACAACCTGGGTGTGATTGAAAATGGTGTACACCCCCCAATGATTGATTTTAATGAAGAAATTTATGACAATCCTTCTGGGGGGATTAGGGGTACCCATGGGTACCCTATTTTGACAGAAAATCACAGCTCATAGCTCACCGATGCTCAAAATCTCCCTATAAATCAGTTTTAAGGTCCAGACCAGCTTGGCAGTGGTCAGTTTGCCACAAAAGACACCAGCTTTGGCGCAGCCTTCAGGGTGCACGAAATCACCAAATATTTACCAAGTCCAACAAAGGGAATGTCATATCGCAAAAAGCCATGGAAATAAATGAGGATATTCAAAACCCATGGAAAACCCATGGAAATATCATATCATTGCAAATAAATAAACATAAATCATATTCAAATGAAGGACCAGACAACCCCACATGTTGCTATCGACCGCTGAGTGGTGAGTTAGGATGAATGCAGCGGATGACGGTTGGATGGAGCAGAACGCAAGATCAAAGTATATAGATAGATATGGAGACAGATAGGTGTACCGACAGATCGTTAGATCGGTTGCTTGATTGGTTAATTGGTTGATTGATTCATTCATTCATTCATCAATTCATTCATCAATTCATTCATTCATTGATTGGTTGGTTGGTTGATTGGTTGATTCATTGATTGGTTCATTGGTTCATTGGTTCATCGGTTGATTGATTGGGAGAAAGGGAAGATAGAAAGATAGACAGGTTGACTGATGGGTTGGTTGATTGATACACATATAGATTGATTGATTGATGGACAGCTAGGTTGATTGACTGATTGAGGGATAGGATAGGATAGGATAGGATAGGAAAGGATCGGATAGGATAGGAAAGGAAAATTCAGAAAATGAAATTGGTTTCAAACTCGCTCGAACTGGTTCAGGCTGGGTTCAGACTGGTTCAGACTGGATTTACACTTAGGACTGGTTCAGGCTCTGTTCAGGAGGCGGCTTTGCGGAGCTCCAAAGGCCTTGGAAGGGTGATACAAGGCATGTCGTGATGGCAAAGACAACTTGCCACTAAGGGCTGTCCTCTTTGGTAATCTTTACCTCGGGTTTATGCAGACCGGTTCAGGACTCAAACTGGTTCATCCCAAATCTGAACCTATCTGAACCCAATTTTCAACGACTCCTGAACCGCAGCAGCAAGGTGGTGTGGAAAGGCACGAAGCGCCCCGTATCGTTGCATCCAAAAGCAGAAGGGGGTGGAAGCCAAACCAGGCCAGTCTACAGAGGCAGGAACCGCCGCACCTGCCACGCCAAACAAGTGTGTTGGCCAAAGCGGCCAAGCCGAACGCGAGGCCCCAGCGAGCCAGCCAAAGGGTGGAAGGCACCTGCCACGCCAAACAGCCGCAGCGTCCAAAGCAGCCAGGCGCCCTAAAGCCACTGTCAGCTACAGCAAGCTAGTCTGAAGAGGCATGAGGTGTGAGTCCCGGCGCCGGGACAGGTTGGAACAGACCAGTTGATACAAAGAAGCTGATAAAGAGACGAGAGGAGTTGATGAAGACAAAAGGAGACAAACACTTTCGACAAATATACGGTAGCTACATTTAATTTTAAAATATACGGACAGGTATTTTAGACTACCTCTGGGGATCTCTGGGAAGGTTTTCCTTGGCCCGCCCAGCCATTTAAACATACGGAATCCAATTCATTTAAGCATACGGTAATTCCATTCAAATTTACGAACTGGTATTTTATACTACCTCCTGGGCCTCGCGGTCTGGCCCGCCCTCAACATATCTAAAATATTCTAAAATTATTAATGTTTGCATGTCGTTACCGTAAGTTGATACAAACAATGAATAGAGATGGGTTTGACGGAGATAAGTTGATAGAGATCAATTTGGATAGAGCTGAGTTGATAGAGACAGGTTGGCAGAGATGAGTTGATAGAGAGAAGTTGAGAGAGGAGGGAGGACAGCAGGAGGACGGAGGAGGCGAGAAAGCGCAGCACAAAAAAACAAGAACCCACAAACCCCGCGGCGCGTGATGTAGGGAAAAATAACTCTCTTGCGCCTTCTTCAGTGCACTCTTTGGTGCTCACACCAACCATCATTGGCTTCTCTTTCGTTGGCAGAAACTTGGTTCGGTCTGTGCCCGGATAGATGGAGATCTTCCCAACGCTGTTGGCCTCGCGTTGAAAGGGGCTATGCAAACAGAAGTGGCCCTTGACAAGAAATGCTTCAGAGGCTGCACCCTTGCTGCATTCCGGGTGATGGATTCTACCAAGGTTACTCTCTGGTAATGACTAACAATTTGGGAACTGGAGACCCACATGTTCAATAGGTAAATGATCTATCAATGAACCATCTATAGCAGTGTAGTGTAGTGTAGTGTAGTGTAGTGAAGTGAAGTGTAGTGTAGGGTAGTGTAGGGTAGTGTAGTGTAACGTAGTGTAACGTAGTGTAACGTAGTGTAACGTAGTGTAACGTAGTGTAACGTAGTGTAACGTAGTGTAACGTAGTGTAACGTAGTGTAACGTAGTGTAACGTAGTGTAACGTAGTGTAACGTAGTGTAACGTGTAACGTAGTGTAACGTAGTGTAACGTAGTGCTAGTTGTAGTTGCAGCTGCAGTTGCAGTAGTAGTTGTAGCGTAATGTAATGTAATTAGTGTAGCGTAGTGTTGCGTAATGTAGCGTAGCTGTAGTTGTATTTGTAGTTGTGTGTTTTTAACCTTCACGATTTGCTCACTTTTGGCAGAGTGCAGAATCCCTTGCGCCTGCCACACAAAGCGACGCTTCAACGTCCAAAAGTGGCGCGAACATGTAATGTTTTTAGCACTCTGTCTTCGAAATGCGCTTCGCGCCACATTGGCGTGCACTTTTTCGACGTCTGAACTTCCAAAAGTGCTCCGAGAGGTTGCTGTTTGGAGCATCATATCTGCAGGTTCGCTTATATGACTTTACGTGACACGTGCAGCACTTCGTACCCTGGGCGCTGCTTCGCGCCACAGCCGCGTGCACTTTTTCGACAACTCAACTTGCAAAAAGCGCTCCGGCGTTGAAATATGTTGAAAGGCCACTTTGACATGTGCTTCGCGCCACATCTGCGTGCGCTTTTTGAGCAACACAGCTTCCAAAAGCGTCCCTTTTTGAGCAACACAGCTTTCAAAAGCGTCCCGAACGTGAGGTGCTTTTCACATTTTGGCTTCGAAATGTGCATCGCGCTACAGCCGCGTGCACTTTCTGAGCCATGCAACTTCCAAGAGTGCTCCGAACATGAGGTGCTTTTAACCTTTTGGCTTCGAATGACTTCGAAATGTTCTTCGCGCCACAGCCGCGGCGCTTTTTCAACATCTAAACGTCCAAAAGTGCTCCGGCGTTGAGGTACTTTCAACATTTTAACTTCGAAATGCGCTTCGCGCCACAGCCGCGTGCAATTTTTGATCTCTCATCCCGCCATATAGCTCCGCACCTGCCGCTTTAGCGAGCCTACTTTTCGACCCTCCGAAGCCCCAAAACATTGGAAAGACATGGGAAAACACTTTCGAGCACTTTGATCTTCTTTCTACTCGCTCTCTCTTTTCCAACTCTTCCCACAACATCCCACAACTGTTGCTGCATCTGTCCATAAGTCGGAAGTTTGACTTCTAATCCCCCCCCCTTTAAGGGGGTGGGGGGGTTAGCACTGAAACATTTCACTTTTGGAGGGGGTTACCCCTCCTCCCCACCCAGAAATACTTCAGCTAGAGAAATGTCTGGTTTATATACAGTAGAATAAGGCAATGGAAAATCTTAGCGCTGTCAATTGTGCATCAGCGGGCACCGGTGGATGTGGTCAGGTGCGTGCAAAGCAGCTGAAGCGTCATTTCCATGTTTTTTTCTCTCCCCAAGCTTTGCTTGAGAATTTTTTGAAGGGTAGAGGTGCAAAACCATGGTATTTTACAGCTCTAGAAGCCCCCCGCAGAAATTCCATTGCAGCAGTAGGATTCCGTTTCTGAGAATCTTCAAAGACCAGGGCTAAAGTCTTACATCCGGAGGACCCCCCCCACCTCTTTTGGAAGCCCAAAAAACACGTGGAGGGGGGTGGATATTTCACGTGGTTGGGTGAAATATTTCTCAGAAATTTCTTGCCTTACCCCCCCCCTCGGCAAATATTCCAGGGTTAAAAGGGGGGGGTAAGGCAAACTGTTAGCCATTGCCGGGGGTTACATCAATTTGCTGCTAAGTCGCAGCTGCATCATCCGCCAGTTTGATCTGCAGCCAGGGGTTGTCGCCAGCCTATCACTACTGACAAAGGTTGGATTTTCCATGCTGAATGAGTCAGGTGAAACTTGGTCAAGCTATGTGAAAATCATTTTTTTGCAGCTTTTATGCTCCAAAGTCTCCCCGGTCCTGCGAGATTGCGGTAGTATCTGCCCTGGCATCACTGTGGCATGCGAACGCTGGGCTCTCGAGTCGAGCAAACAATATATATATAATTATATATATATATAATTATATATATATAATTATATATATAATTATATATATATAGTTTCAAAGAGCGGAAGAATCCCAAATGTCACTACACGAAGACAGAGATCAAAGAACCGGGGCTGATGCACTAAATTTGTAGCCCCGTCTAATGAGATCTGATGCGCCTTCCCGCAATTTTCATTTATCGGTTTGACATGGTTTGACAGTGTTTCAAATGTTTCAGCACAAGCGAAGCAGTATCGTCGCATATCGTCGCATCCGGCCTGCCATCGAGCACCATTGACGCCTTCTGGTCAGCATCCTATGGCAACTCAAACGTGAAGGGTCATCGAGGCATCGAGGGTCGTCAAAATATGTCAAAATTGGGTCGGTATCTGCTTCGGTATCCCAAGACTGGTTGATTGGTTGTGTATCAAAATGTGCGAGTTCCTAGGACAGAAATTTTCACCGGCCCATAGCCATACCTTGTACCGCTCTGAAATGAGAAAGGCATAGAAAGGCTACCACGGAGAAGAACAAAGAATGTGCTAGTAAGCAAGACTTTAGGCATGTATTTCCCAAGTTGCAGAATGATCCAGATTTGCGAAACGATAGTGGCTTAAGACACCTCAGGAATAGATCCCAGATTCCATCGGGCCGTTTCTTGAAACGACTGTCCCTTTGCCTCTGCTTCTGGCATCATTTTGGCTACGGCATCGCTTCGAGAAAGGATTGCATCCTGTCAGTCGCATCTTTTCTTTAGAGAGTGGCACTCGGGCACTAGCTCCGATCGTAGCATATCGCTGGAACATCAACCATGAACATCAACCATGACCCTTCTCACCTCCCAGACCTCAACTTCAGCAATAATGAGTCTCTTGTTTCCTGCACAAGGCGCCACGCAGACTACCTGGACTACCTGGACCTGGACTACCTGGACTAGCTGTGGCTGGCGATTGACATGTGAGGTCAATGATGTGTACAAATGTCAGTGAAGAGTTTCTCAAAAGTGTTCAAACACAAAACTTCCACTGCATCTCAAACTTTACTGGCTTTCAAACATCTGCCCTTGCACCAAGCCTTTGTGTCTGATCACCAGAAATTGTCCAGCGTTCCCATCGCAGTTCACGAAGTTGCTGTTTTCATCGAGTGTTCCACCTCATAAATGGACACTGATCATGGCATTCAAAAAAAAAACCTCGGGCCGGGTAATCAGCGATACATGGCTGGGAAATCCTGGAACTAAATGAAGGTCATGGGAAATTCATGCATAAATGGGCGACTTTCTATTACCATTGAGTACCAGAGAGGGTAAGTGACTGTGATAGAAACATATAGAAACCATATTGGATCACAGTGGAAGCAAATTGCAGCTCAACTATCTCAGGGTCATTCTGAATAGCGCATGGGTTCACTTGGCAATTCCTGAGTGCTCCGCAAGTTTTGCCCAAATTGCAAGCCTCATTCGATTCGTGACCTCAGTTGAGGCTTCACGGGGCGATGTTGAATCCCACCAGTCACCATCAAAGAATTCAGACATGTTGAAACAATTTTCGGCATCCGGAGTTGATCATGACAAAAGTGGCAGCGCATGGGGTTGGGGTTGGGCATAGTGACTTTCACGTTAGGCACATATCACTTTTGCTACGCTGTGTCACTTTCTGCTCCACTTGCAATACTTGCACATATCCAAATATGGAGAAGAAAACAATGCTGATCATGTGATGTGTAGTTAAAACATGTTAAAAGGTAGAATATTGCATCACTAAATAGCACGAAATCGCAGTGAAACACAAATCCCTGTCAAAGAAAATAGACCCCGTGTTGCGAAATGCAGAAATTGAGATGACGTGTAGGCAAGACAGTCAAATGTTTGAAACCCAGGCAGATTCTGGCCTGATTTGGCGAGATCCAAAGATGAGGCCGAGTTGCCCTAGTTTTAGAACCCGTTGAACATTGAATGTTCAATAATGAAGATGATGAATAAGTTTACCACGGAAGGTTTCAGAACTTCAACTGACTGTCATTAGACCAAAAACAATGTGCTCTTGACCCACTGTTCAACCGGAACGTTCCATGCCAATTTTGGGTTTATATACTTATAATTTCAATCTTATAATATGTCATAATATGTCATGATATGTTGGTGTTTTTCTACCTTGTCTCTTTTTTGGGTAGACAACGGCTCCAAAAATCTCCAAAAATCGTCCCTTTCTCCATATCCAAACCAATTCCCATGGCCTTTGATTTGGTTTGCTAACTTCTCAAGCAAGACCATTTCCCCGTTGTTCTCCAGGTCCATTTGGTCCTTGGCTCGGCATGGCTCGGCCGCCACCGTTTTCGGCCATGGGATTTTTTGTGGAATTGCAACGGTAAATCCAAGGATTTATGGGTGCCATGGTGACTTGATATGAATTAAATTGGAAAAGATATGAAAAATGTTGAAATGAAATGAACATAGTACTTCGCCCATGAAAAAATAAATAAAGCATATGAAAATGAAATGGCAAGTTCTCATATTCTTCAATCCCACCCCACACAAACCCAAATCATCTCTTCATTTACAACGAGGCACCACCGAAGTCCTTTCAGCCAACTCGCCTCGTTGTGACATTGTGGAGTGTTGGAGTTTTTCTCAAAAGGATGGAACTGCAAAATGGAATGTCTCAGACCGGGGCAAAGAACGTGTGTACTTCTAAACGTGCAGAATGCCTCTTGAAGTTGCAATAAAATGCGGAGCACATTTCGTCAAATTATTGTAGCTCAGCCCCATCCCTGGCCTGTTTCGTCCTCGTCATGTTCGTCCTCGTCATTGTTGCCATTGCCGTTGTTGCCATTGTCGTCATTGCCATTTTCGTCATTGCCATTGTCATTGTCGCCATTGCCGTTGTTGCCATTGTCGTCATCGCTATTCTCGTTGTCGCCACTGTCGTCGTTGCTATTGCCATTGTTGTTGGTCTTGTTGCTGGTCTTGTTGGTCTGAGTCTGAGTCGGGTTGGTCTGAGTCTGAGTCGGGTTTATACAAGGCTCGTCTCGCAAGCCAACTTCACATCCAACGCAATTGGTCGCGGAAATCCAGACTTCTCCAACTTTTCTGTCTGTGCCAAGATCGACCTGTCTGACAACAAGGGATCCTTAAAGCTTTCTGCTCAAATCTAATAGAAAGCATCAGAAAGCTGCATTTTGCCTCCAAGTTCTTGCTCCAACCACATTATTTGAAAACCGGATGCATCCCGCCTGCCACCACGGTTCGTTTTGCTGCTTGCTGACAAATTCTGTGCTGCCATCACCATCCAGAGCATTCTTTGGCATCAATTTCATCGATCTAGCCCCTGAGGACCTGGTTCCTTGCAGCCCGTCGCAAGCAGCTAGTGACATGGCAAAAACCCATAAATAAATGGGTTTCTCTGAAATTACACCACCGTAGACCCCAAACAGTGGGACACAGCATCCAACACAGGCACACATATGTGGGGAGACAATGGGAGACAAGGGGAGACAAGGGGAGACAAGACCTCGGGAAGGCGGAAACACCAGCCAACACCAAGGCGGACACCTTAAGAAAGCATTAAGAACCCCTAACAGTACACTGTTTGGGGAAATATGGTACCCGTAAATCCGTTGATCATCATGTTCCCATTAAAATAGCTATTTGGAGGGGTATATCTCATTTTAAGACACACCATGACACAGCTTTGAGTGTGTTTCGTGTCATACAAGGCTTCCACGATCAAGCGGCCTCCATCTTTTGCCAGGTTGACTCTGGCGACGCAAGCTTCGGTGCACTTCTCAATGTTGGCGTTGTGTGGTGCCCCGAAGCCGTGCCCCGTTCCGGGAGTGGCCTTCAATTTTTTGCCGTGCAGGACAACGCACCTCGAAGGCTCGGAGTATCTCGGAGTATCTGGTGTTACACCTGGCGATCATCCCGTATTACAGAGGAGTTTCCCATTGAATATGGGGGGTCCGATCTTTGATTACAGGTGAACATCTCACCATCTGATAATGTCACTTAAACCATCAACAATAGGGATTTAAGCAGTCATTTACTGGGAGACATGTTCATAATCGATGTACATATCGATACATGATATTAATCAATATTATATATGTGGTCCCATATATATATATTATAGACATAATTATATATATATGTATATATATATAACTAACCAACATTGACCAACAACGTGATACATGGGTTTTAATCAAACTGATAGAAATAGGCGTATTTTTCCGTGGCGAAATGTTCAGAAGGGGATGACCCACTGGTTATGGTCGTGGTGCCGATCATCCCTTGGAGGTCTTTGTAACAGCACGTTCACAATCGTTCACATGGGGATGGGTCAAAACCCTGGTACCTAGTGAACCCCAAAATAGCTGGTAAATGGATGTTCATCCCACTAAAAATGTATCTATAGGTATTGACCCATACCCACATCTCAAAGACTTCGAAATTTGGAATCTTGGCTTGTCTTTTTTGGAGTGTAGAAATGTGTAGAATGCCTTGAACGTAAGTCTACAAAGTCCATGATGAAGGTCATGGTAGAGGTCTCAGGTCAAGAAGCGTCAATTAACCAGAGAAGCCTTGATTCTTGCGGCGAGTTTGAGAAGCACTATCACTACAAGTAGTGCAGAAACATTCAGAGACTGTACATTGTTTCATCTGAAAATGGGGATACCGTCATGATATAAATGATGATGATATAAATGATGATGAACTCTTGGGTTTGGGGGGTGTTTCATGGTTTTCCTATCATTTTCAGGCAAACCCACCCCCTTCACCAGCACAGGCACTTGGGCTTGTATGATTTGCTCTTTGTATGCACACTCTCCAGCTCTTTCTCAAGGTCCCACAACTTCTCGCGTCTGCGAAGCATTCGCTCCTGCGGAAAAAAAAATGCTGGCTGGCTGACTAGAAATTGTAACAGCACCATGCGAAATGCCCTGAAGCACTTGAAGAATCTTGACCATCTGCACCACCTCAACGACTTCGTGTCCAAAACCACTCCAATTGCACTACGGCCAATTTTAGGCCCAAAAAAACAGCCAGGTCGCCGTGTCACCCCATCCTGGCGCTTCTGCAACAGAGACTTCAATCTTGTTCTGGGCATGAACCTTCTTGGAGCTTTACGTTCCTGGAAACAGATGAAACAGAAGGATGAACTCTGCAGAGCGAGATATAGCGAGATGTCAGACAATACTTTTTTCAATACTTTTCACTTTTTCAAGTCAAGGGCGCTGCAACATCCAGCTTTCCGAACTTGTCCAAAACAACTTGTTCGTGCACCAAACGTCCACTCTGTTTCCAGAACTTGCTGTTCAGCAGCAGCGCATTATATATTTTTGGCCCAGTTATGCCCAGTTGCAAAAGCTTCTCGGCGCATCATGGGAGAAGTCTTGCCATGCTCATCAACCACATACTCTTGATACCTCCAAGGTCCAATGGTATCCAGGACTGGCATGACATTATATATTTATAGCGATCCTTGAAAAAATGGCCATGTTCAATCATGCGATCCTTTCTGTTCATATATATATATATATCATATATGGGAAATCATAGGGGGAAATGAGTTCCATGGAATTTCCATGTTCCGCGAGTTTTTTTTGGGATCCACCCAACTTGAACGGCGCGAAAATGAAACGACTCCGAATTTAGATGATGGACCTCTCAGGCGAGTCAGCGGCTAACAAAGCATGTGACGAGGCGTGACCTCAGGGTACCCCTGCAAAACGCTGGATGGTTTATTTATGTTTGTTTCATGGAAAATCCGTGAAAATCCTATAAAAATGGATGATGACTGGGGGTACCCCCATTTTAGGAAACCTCCATATAAAATCATATAAATCCCAAGACTATGAACAAATGTCTTGGAATCTCTGGGATATTTTGGTGTCAAAAACTGTAAGCGAGTGAGAACTGTCCCTGCTCTTTGCACTGAATCTCATAACTGTGAACTCAGCAGATGGCTAGCCCGAACTGGTGTCAGCAGTGACCTTGGCACCAGCATCCAACAGTCATGATGGTCAGTTGTCGGGCGGCAGAGAGATAATCCGCCCAATGCTGATGCTGCCACTATGTATCTTGCCCGCTGAGCATGAGGCGGCAGAAAGAAAACGATGCGCACGATGTAGCCTGAAGCACTTGTCATGTCCAAGTCTATGATAGAAACCTAGTTGTGTGGGCCAGAAAAAAGATCTCAGCAGTTTTCAACCCTTCCAAAAAGTGCTTGCATAGCAGGACTTCCCCAGAGATGGATGTAAGTTCGGGAGACATCATAGCGAGAGGTCTTGCATGGTCTTGCAATGAACTGCCATCCAGTCACGCATCTTGAGCGTGTTCCCAGATGGGAACTATGTGCATAAAAGTGTACAAAGGTTCCTCAGACTGACTTCAGCAAAACACTCTGAGCCAACTGCTGCGGGGATTCGCCCAGGCTCTACAATGGATGGTCATATACAGTAACTGGCCCTGTGTCCAAACTGCAGCTTGATCAGCCTGTGACACAATGCCAAATTAACTTAAGCAGCGTTCAAAATTTAAAATGTTCTGTCCACCCAATTATAAGTTATACGTTACTAGAATATAATACTTTTTAGTTGGTGGGTGAGTTCATGATCCGCATGAAAAAACCATAAACATTCGTAAACCAGGTAGGTGAACAACCCCACTTTTTCACCATCTTTTTGACACCTCATCAACCAGGATCGGTCTCAAGTTGAGGTCTCGCAATGCCAGGGCACAAAGACACATCCCACAGGGGCCTGTGGCAAGACATAGCAAGATGGGATCATCTGTCAGATTCTGTCAGATTGGCTGAAGGATAAAACACACACTTTGAATATCTTTGAATCGTGACGCCGTGGTTTTGGAGGACTTTGATGGTTTTGGAGGACGACTTTGATGGTTCCATATGGTTCCTATCTGACTTTGACATTCGAATGACATCCAAGGCGTAACTTTTTCTCCAGCTGCACCTCAGAGTCTCCGGCACCTTTCACCAGAAGCTCAGGAACCTTCGCTGCCCAGCTGCTTCTGCTCCCATGCTCGACTGGGAAAAAAAGTGGACCGAAAACCACGACAGCTTCCAGAAAAGAAAAACGACATGATGAGGTACCAGCAACAATACGTACCAAGTGTTGTCTATCCAAATTTGGGGAACCCACAAATGTCTCTTCTTCATTGCAACTTCCAAAAAGAGAGTTGCAAGTTCTTCATTGCGTTTCAAGGATGATATAGGTGATGTTTCCCCGATATGTTCCAAGGTGTTTTCGATCTATAACTGGGTGTCGCCCAGTCAAGTCCTATGAGTACCCTCTGGTAAACTGCCATCCTTATGGAACATCACCACTGTCTAAATCTGCTAAATCATGGTAAATCAACTACCTCAATGCAATGAACATGGATATTAATGGGCTATGTTCAGCAGGTTAACCTGTTAGTTTACCGGAGGGTGGGTAAACCCTCACATCCATCCAATGCCTTCAGCCGCTTCAGCCCTCGCTTGCAACGTTTATTGCTACCTGAGGCCCAGCCACAGGGCCTTGGAGGCCATGGCTGTGGCCCATGATTTGGGTCACAGCTTGAGGCACCCCAAGGTCCACAGCCACATGGGAAAGCTGTACTTGATTTTTATTGGCACATACAGATCGGCAGGAAGAAATGAAACCTCATCACATCTCGTGAAGCTTGCTCAAGCCGCCTAGCCATTGGTTCCCACGCTTTTTTGTTTGCGTTGTTGAGACAACAAGATCAACGATGGGGAGCTCGCCAGCAATGTATGGATCATATGGAATTCAAACTTACACTTTCAAGATCTCTCAAGGTTTAAGATCCCAAGTTTCCCAAATTTCATCCGACCAAAACCTGCGACGTCACTAGGTCTTCCTGCGCGGTGCTGACATAGAGATGCAGGCTCAGGCCCTAGGCGCGCACTCCCGTCGAGATGTGGAAATGATATGTGGGTACAACATGGTACAACAATACAATAAACCACCCATGACTGGGAATGGTATATACCACCTATATTTATGGTGATGACTGGGGATGGTTTAGTATTTTACCCACATGATGGATTTGTTGATCACCACCACGGGTGATTTTGACGGATTTCTGAAAAAATCGATGCTCATTTCCATGGTCAGTTCGATGGGATTTCAGAGAAATCCCCATCATCAGACAAGGAAAGACCCTATTCCTCGCCTCTTTCAGCTCGAACGAGTCTCCCGAAGCTGCGGCTTGAAGTAGCCGGACCTTTTTTGGCAGGCGATCTTCAAAAATGCCCATGGAATCCCCGTTTTTTTTTCACATGTGAAAACCAGCTATTCATGGGATTTGAGATGGATTTTGGATGTTCATCCCCCTATTTCTATGTGTATTTCTGAGGGTTTGGTCCATACCCAAATGAGCTGTGTTTTTTAATTGCTTAGCCCTTTAAACTCATCAAGGCTATGCAAAGTCTACGCGAAGCCTACGCGGACTGCAAAGGTAGCCACCGCTGTTCAAAAAAAAAAGCGCAGCTCAAGTGGCTTCGTCATGTCTGAAAACAGGAACCTCTCTTGACTTCTCCGAAGCTCATCCGAGGCGAAAACTGGCATGGAACTCAGACCGACGAGTGCCTGTACCTCATAGATTCACCATGATACTTTTCCAAAGCAGCTGCATGGCAGTCAGCAAAGACTGAAGAGTGCACAGTGGAAGTGCAAAAACCTAGCATCGAACAAGCATTTGATTGCCATGAAGCTCTTGATTATTCTTTATTTAGCTTCGCAGCTGAAACAACCAAAGGAGGACCTCTTTGTACAAGTAGTGCATGAAGCCTCTGCGCGCCAAAACCTCCACTTCTAGAAATCTAGGAGCAAAGGCAATGAGCATGTCAGATAATTGTATTCAAGCCAAATATATCACATGGTTGTGTGTTCTATTTGATCCCGAAGCGAGAGATTGCCAGCAGAGTATATAGATATAATATATATATAACTATATAAATGTGTACATGGCGCCAAACGTATCAAAAGTCTGCCATTTTTTGTCGCCTTTCTACCTTGACTCAATTCTGCAGCACACGATTTGCTACTGATCAGTAACTCTTCTAGTATGGTATTGTACCAGGTCAGTCCTGTTCTGGATAGTTGTTGCAAGTTTTTCACAAGACATCTTAAAGTGAAGCAAATAATAACCAGAAATACCCCGTCTGCTTAGTGTCTGGTGAGTCGCAGCTGCCACACTTCATCACTTACGGAATACGAGTGAAAGGACTCACTTTTTCTGTGCCTCGCAATCATCATGGCTGCTTGAGTGTGGACCACATGAGAACAAGTTCCGCAGGAATCAAGCCATGAAAGGCCTACAGTATCTAATTACCTTCAAGTGGCAACTCATCCGCCATGCTCCCACGCGGTCCACACGCTGCAGCATCACCGCTTTACAGTGGGGCAGAACGGCCTGGCCCTTGGCGCCTTGGCGATTTGGGCCATTGAGCTAATTTTGTGAGACATTTGAATTAAAGGTACTTGAGCACTGATATAGGTAGTTGAGCACTCTTGACTCAACAGTTTTTAATGGTCACAAACTGTGAGAATACTACGACATACAAAGGACAAAAACAACTTCACAATCAAACACAGTAACATTGTCAGCATTTCCAACTTATTCGTTCAATCTATGTTTTGCAACACTTTGCTGTTGTTTTGGGCGATTGATGCGTCAACATCGATGCTGAAAGGTGGAAGTTGCCACCCCTCACAAGGAGATGTGCATCAGAACCTCTTCGCCTGGCTCTTTTTGTGCTAAACCCAATGCCGTAAACTGTACACCTGCCTAGCAACTCTAGCATTTTGGGGGATTATTTTACAATCCATTTATATGTGTAGATATATCCATTTCTGCTATTTTACGTATGGATACGTATGGTAAGTCGGAACGAGACAAGTCAGACATGCCGCGCTCCTGATTCTTCCTCCTTGGGCTCCTGATCGACTCGGTGCCGGAAGCGTGGTGACAAACCGGCTGGGGCTCCGGTGGCATAATCCAATGATAATCCGATGGTTGGATAATCCAATGATCATCCCTAAAAAAGATCTTGGGTTTACCAATGGTTTACCCTGTAATGATGGTTTACCAATTACCAATGGTTTACCCAATAGTTTTACAATTCATGATGGTTAAAAAAAAGAAAAACTAAAAAAAATGTTTTAACAGTTACAGGGGGTTTACCAATGGTTTACCAAAGTATGTGATATCGATTCGATCCCACAAGTCTCGCAAATGCATTCTGTACTGGGCATGACGAAGATTAAAATAGGAAGGTTGCAAGACTGTGCAGAAACGAGAAGCTGGCGAATGCACAATAGAATTGCTGGTTGAAGCATGAATCGTGAACGTCTGCTTCAGACTTTTCCAAGCCCCAGGTCCAAATACCCAACTCTGGAGTGGCATACCCAGCACTGCCATACCCGCCTTCTGTATCACCTTTTCTGGACTCGGTTGATGCTTGTCTCCTGGCCACTCCCAGTGTCATCATATTTGGCTACGGTATCCGTCCTCAGTTACCCTGACGCCAAAACTGGGAATAAATTCTGATTCCGAAACCATATTTCGACGCTTCCGCAACCAAATTTCTGCGATTCCGCAACCAAAATCAGACACGCTTCCGCAACCAAAAAAAGGCGCTTCCGCAACCAAAAATAACCGATTCCGCAACCAAAAAAAGACGATTCCGCAACCAAAAAAAGGCGATTCCGCAACCAAAACAAGAGGATTTCGCAACCAAAAAAAGGCCTTCCCCCAACCACCATCCGCACGACTCAGAAGCCAACATCCGCGTCACAATTGCGGCCACAGTCAACATAGCATCGTCTCCAGATGCCGAGGGGGGTGGGGTGGGGTGGGTGGGATAATAATGTCCTGGCAGCTGCGTTCCTTCCTCTGACACACTTGCGGCCAAACTCAACATGGCATCGTCTCCAGATGCGGGGGGGGGGGGGGGGGGGGGGGGGGGGGGCGGGATAATGACGTCCTGGCAGCTGCGTTCCTTCCTTTGACACACTTGTGGCCACACTCAACATGGCATCGTCTCCAGATGCGGTGGGGTGTGGGATAATAACGTCCTGGCAGCTGCGTTCCTTCCTCTGACACACTTGCGGCCACACTCAACATGGCATCGTCTCCAGATGCGGGGGGGTGGGGTGGGGTGGGATAATAACGTCCTGGCAGCTGCGTTCCTTCCTTTGACACACTTGCAGCCACACTCAACATGGCATCGTTTCCAGATGAAGAGACAATATAATGTTCCAGTGCATGGAGACAGGCTCTCAAGAGATCACGCCGTCCACGGCTGTTCTAGGCAGGTGGTCACGGGCAGGCTCACCCTTGTCTTTATAGTAGACCTTTATAGCTTCTTCCCTCTTTCGAAACTTCTGTCACATGGCTTGCCCGGACTCTACTTGTAAGCATCCGTGTTATTAGCATTTGCCGGGCTATTCGGATTGGCAAAAATATCGACGTAAAGAGGACGGTGCTATGTGTTCACCGCTTCATTGCTAAACCATGCCATTTTGGTTTCCAGGTGTCCTTGGTTTCGGAATCATCCTTGGTTTCAGAATCATTTTTTTTGGTTTCAGAATCATTCTTGGTTGCAGAATCATCGGTTTTGGTTTCAGAATCATCCGGTTTTGGTTGCAGAATCATCCTTGGTTTCAGAATCATTCCTCAAAACTGAACATGAAAATAGACCCCTTGGGATGTGCAACCTACATTGACCATTCTTTGAATCTTAAGTTTGTGGTATTGATTTTTTCATCCATCTGGGGGCGCCTCTTGACCTCAGCGGGCTCATCTTGCCGCCATCTTCTGCTGACGCTTTCTGCAATAAGGTGGGCCCTGGATAGGCAGAAGTCACGGTGTACCTGTGGCCCCCGCCCCCCAGAATCAGTGAGCCAATGGTGGGACCAGATGTCAAAAGCTCGCTGGTAAAACAAACCATAGCGAACTAGAAAATCACAAGCTTGTTATAAGTAAATCATCCAGAAATGGGCAAGGGTCCATAGCTACCTTTAATCACTGGAGGATATTTCAAGTATTCCAGGGATAAGGATGTCATCCTTTACCCCAATCACTTGCAAGCGATTTGAGATGGATTCGTATAGGCGCAGGTGAATCACAAACGAGTGCTCCAAAGATTACATGGCCTGTTGCCAGGAAGGGCAAAATTTGCAGATCTAGGACTCTCACAAATTTTGATCCACGCCCAAATGCTGATTTTGCTGGTTACATACCTACAGAAGTAAACCCTCATGGTGGACGCGCCCATTTCTGTCACTTCTATCGATGAAACACCTTTGGTGTTCGACTTTTCTAGTCCCAATGTTGGAGAAACCCCCTACTGTATGTCGTTTGGTTTACGCAGCCATGGGTTTGAGATCAACCCCATGTGTCTTTGTTCTTTCCATCCCATCCATGCAATTTTTGGGGGGCAACAATCTTGAGCTGGTTGGATGGTTCAGTGACCCGCAAGACAATTGCTCACTCCATCTGATACAGTGTGATCAGTATGTATATATGCATATATATATACATACATATACTATATATATATAGAAAACCCATTCATAGCCACATGGTCACTGAGGCAACCCGCCAAACTTGCCATCCCTTCCCAAATTTCATCGAAAAAAAGGGCGGGGTGTTTCCCCTGGGATCACGTGTAGCCCGTGGAGGTGCCACTCTCCGACACGATCTCTCGCGGCTTTGCTGGCTCTGCAGCCTCCTGTTGGGAGCCATGAGTTTTCCAGATCTCTGTTTAACTTACGGATAGATGATGGAGTGAAAGGTGAGCAACATGGCAATCTCATCAAACAGAAATAGAATGAAATAGAGATATATCATGATATATCAGGAAGAAGCACGAAATTTGTGGGGGAAATTGTCTTGGACATCGTGGAAATCCCGCGGCTGAGAGTGAGGCCATAAGGGGATTGATAAACCCACGATAAACAGCAGCCTCAAACGATTACCCTCTGCCCTTTGCCAGAACCATGCCCAGTCCTTGAAAGGAGAACAGCCCATGATCTCTAGATTTCAAGAGCTTGAGCCAGGTGCTGCAAACATTCTGTGATGCGGCCGGAACGACCGTCGTTGGCATCGCTCTGGAAGAGTACTTCTTCGCCAGTTACAACTGCTTCTCCAAAGAATATCAAACAACTAACAACCAATCTATTCCCTATGCCAATCAGCCAATCCATACCAATCTTCCTTGCCTCTGCATGTGAGTCTCTCACACGCTCGTGGCCTGAGATATCGTTCGTAGGAATAATTGGGGTGTAACATCAACCATTAAATAGGGATAATATCGACATAATTCGACATATAATACTATACCATATAATGTCATATAAGATCGTATAAGATCATATAAGAACATATAAGATAATATAATATTATATATATAATATAATAACATATAATAGCATAATATAATATCATATACTATCATATAATATGATATAATATGAGAAGGTGTCAAAACACTGCATGCGAAGGGCTTCCTCATGGTCCATCGCTAAAAACTCACCGCATCGCCAATTCGACTGATTCCCTCGGAGCCTTGGTCAGCTTTCACCGCATCCGCTGGCATGAATTTGGTGCCCACACCTTAGTGGATTCATTGGATGATCACCATGCCCATGAAATGGCGATAACTGGGGGGGCTGGGGGGTATACATGGCTCCCATGTTCAGGCACAGTTGGCTTGTGGTACTCATCCCAGCCATCATCCAACAACCGGGCCATGCATGCATCGAATGATTTTCGTCGCGCCGGAGTTGGTCTGACCTTGAACTCAAGGCCGAAAAGGCCGGAAAGGGTCCACAAGAAATGTCTGAACAAAACAACACCATCCAACTAGTGGCTGTAGGCAGCATGTTTTTTGGCGGACAGGACATGACAGGACAATCAAGGTAAATTGAAGCATTTGAAGCCAAGGGCCACGGAGTTTTCGTCATTTCTATTGTTGACACAGTGTGATGCAACGCCCCTTTGGGGCGCGCAACGCATCACAACACCGGCGTGACAACTCGGTTTCTCAAGTCTCGATCTTAGAGTTTTTTTTTTCACGTCTCTGTGAGACATGTAATTGAAACTTCCCAAAACCATTGTCATGGTATTAGTATGAAAATTTAGGAGCCCCAATGGGCTACAGTACCATGAAAGAGCAAAAATTTGCCATCGGAATCGAGTCTTGAGCCTTTGAAAATTGTTTGACTAATGATACTAATGTATCTTTAAATGCCTTGGACCACATGACAACTACTCAGCGAAACCGCCTGGTTCAAGGCATGAGCCCAATAAGGAAAACTCAAAAATCGGCTGGAAGAATCAAAGTGAGAACAGCTCGAGTGCATTGCTTGAACATCTTGATCTTGAACACAGGCTTCTGTTCCAACTTCATGCACTCGGCTCAGTTTTCTGTGTCGCACAGAAGAACTGGCACAACCTAGGCTTGAAGAATTTTTGGGGTCGTTTTTTTTTTGCTGAACCCATATGGGGAGGGATTACTGTTACAACCGACAATTGGAGATATTTGAATGAACATGGCATGAACAGATCCAATGTCCAAGCCACGGCCCATCTTGCCAACTGCTTGGCTCTGCTTCAGCTTCACCAGCTTCAGGAGCAAGCTCTACGATGCCTGGATGATCGTGGAGATATCTTCCAATGATTCCATAGGAGAATGCAATTTCTCAGATTGACAGCAGGACTTTTGGCGAAGACTTTTCATGCCCTTAAACTCCCTCGCACGATCATGACAAGTTCTGAGCAAGAGACCATCAAACTCACCAGAGAACGCTGCCTGACAGCATTGGAGGCCAGCTGCGTTCAACAGAAACTCTTAAAAGACATCCACAGTTTTCATCATTTGTACCACAGAGACGGGACATTGAAACCACAACCTGCGAGTCCTGGAAAATCATCCTGATGGAGTAACCCGTGCCTGCTGCTGCGACTTTGCAGGGTCATTTGCCTCCTTCCTTGCAAAACAGTGAATGCGACCCCAACCAATCACCGTTGCATTCACTCGGAAGACCTTCATACCAATCGTTTTCTTGCGCCGAACATGTATGTATGTATGTATGTATGTATGTATGTATGTATGTATGTAACTATGTAACTATGTATGTATGTATGTATGTATGTATGTATGTATGTATGTAACTATGTAACTATGTAACTATGTAATGTATGTATGTATGTATGTATGTATGTATGTATGTATGTATGCGTGTATGTATGTATGTATGTATGTATGTATGTATGTATGTATGTATGTATGTGTGTATATGTATGTATGTGTGTGTATGTATGCATGCATGCATGCATGCATGTATGTATGCATGCATGTATGCATGGATGTAGGTAGGTAGGTAGGTAGGTAGGTAGGTGTGTATATAGGTAGGTATGTATATAGGTAGGTATGTATATAGGTAGGTAGGTATGTATGTAGGTATGTATGTAGGTAGGTATGTATGTATGTACGTACGTACGTATGTATGTATGTATGTGTGTCTGTGTGTCTGTATGTAGCTTTCTGTCTATCTATCTATCTATCTATCTACGTACCTATGTATGCATGTATGTATGTATGTATGTATGTATATGACAATGTATATGTATAGTACATATGTAGTACATATGTAGCATAGATGTAGTATGTATCCAGTATTATATATGTAGTAAATATGTAGTGTATAATAGTGTGTGTATATATATAGTATTTATGTAGTATATATGTAGTATATGTGTAGTATATATGTAGTATATATGTAGTAAATATGTAGTAAATATGTAGTATATTTGTAGTATATATGTAGTAAATATGCGCATAGTGTATGTGTATGGTATGAGTATATATATATATATTGTATATACTATATATATATTATATATATATATATTATTATAAATTATATTTTATAAATTATATATTATATATTATATATTAAATATTATATATATATATCCGCCGACCCCTGCTGTAGCCGGGGAGTGCGTGAGAGAAGCAAGTTTTGTCAAGCAATTCGAAAAGACATGTTGGGTTTGAAGCTAGCTTCTAGGCAGTTCAGAAAGCAACGTTTGGCACTATGGGCTGCCGGCCGCAGGCCCGATCCGTCCTTCACTGCCATGGTGTTTTAGTGCTGCGGCACCGTTCTTGGACCCGAGCTGTGCCAGTCGAAAGCGACCTGCAATACGCAGCATGCAATTTGGAAGCTGGCAGTGCAGAACGGCAGGTAAAGGCAAGGTTTGCAGATAGTTTCTAGGCGTTCAGAAAGCAACGTTTGGCACTCTGGGCTGCCGGCTGCGGGCCCGATCCGTCCTTCACTGCCATGGTGTTTTAGTGCTGTGGCACCGTCCTTGGACCCGAGCTGTGCCAGACGAAAGCCACCTGCAAGACGCAGCAAGCAATTTGGAAGCTGGCAGTGCAGAACGGCAGGTAAGGGCAAGGTTTGCAGCTAGTTTCTATAGGCGTTCAGAAAGCAACTCTCGGCTGCCGGCTGCGGGCCCGATCCGTCCTTCACTGCCATGGTGTTTTAGTGCTGCGGCACCGTCCTTGGACACGAGCTATGCCAGACGAAAGCCACCTGCAAGACGCAGCAAGCAATTTGGAAGCTGGCAGTGCAGAACGGCAGGTAAGGGCAAGGTTTGCAGCTAGTTTTTCGGCGCTCAGAAAGCAACGTTTGGCACTCTGGGCTGCCGGCCGCGGGCCCGATCCGTCCTTCACTGCCATGGTGTTGTAGCCCTGCGGCACTGTCCTTGGACCCGAGCTATGCCAGACGAAAGCCCGCTGGTAGGGGGATTGAGCGCATTGGCACTGGTTGAAGACAGCCTTCGCACCAGCCCCCGGGCGCTTGGATGCTGTTTTTTTTGTTCGGTTCAGAAGACACTGTTTGAGCCAATTGGTCCCAGGGGTCGGCGGCATGGGGGCGCCAGCCCCACTTATATTATGAATATGTATAGTAAACATAGTCGTGACATATTTCGCGCCAGGGCCAGGCCCCCGGCTTCGCTTTTCTTCCAGCCCTTCTGGTGCACTCCTCCACCCAAGGCCCGGCCCATGAGGATAATCAATGGATATGATAACTAGTGAGGAGTAAACAATGGTATACTAACTAGTGGGACATGTTTTTACAAAATGGGATATTGATATGTAATTGGATATGTCGATAATCAGTGATAATCATATAACCAACATGTTCTACCAGTGATTTCATGCGATATACTGGGGATCTACTGGGGAAGTCATGGGAAATTGTTGTCAGATATGCAACCAACAACGAGACATATCTAGAACGAAGGTATGTCAACTTGGCATCCCAACTGACAATGGGGGCTTGACAATGGGAATATGACGTAGTACAGTGTGGATTTCATGGGGTAATGGAAGATCATGGGATGTGACACAAATGATCTGAAAATGTTGACACTAAACCATCAACATTCGGGATATGATTAGGATTTAATGGGCACGTGTTGGCATTCATCATCGGGATAGAATGGCATATAACCAGAAATATTATGAGTTTGTGCGTTTGAAAATGGGGGTATACACATCAACTTGCCATGTTTATACAGTAGGTAAAACCAGGTGAAAAACATGATTTAGATTGATTTAGTATTAGTAGTCTTGGTGGTACCTGATTTTCAGACTGGGGCCCCACCTTGACTTTTTTAGTTCTTGCACTGCAGCCTTGAAGTATGCCGTTTTTGGTCGAAGTTTCGACTCCTCACCACCCTCCATACTGAAGGACATCATGACGCTCGGGTCAGAATCCTGGGAAGGTGTGGTGGTTTGGCTTGGTGGTTTGGGGGGAAATTGAAGTTGTTTCTCAAGTTGTTTAAAAAAACATGGTTCTCATAATCCCGAATATATTGGGCTGTATTGGGTAGTATTGCCACCCGGAAATCATCAACCGACTGGCTTTTGTGAGAGCTCATTTGCGTCGAAGATATCGGAGTGCAGCCAGATTGTGTAGGTATCAAGTTGATTTTTTTGGGAATCAAGCTTGTCCTTGCAGCTGTACGTTTCACTCAAGCTGGTCGTTAAAACCGGAACGCTTCCACAGTCACCATGACAGTCTTCTAGTTGAAGGCACTGCCAAGTCAGATTTGGGTCTGATGCTTTTTTGGGGGGCAAAAAAAAACTTCTTTCTGCTCCAAGACGTGCTCGTCTATCGTGTGGTTAGGAAACTCAATTCGTGGCTCCACTCCCCGTCCCCCCCATTGAGCTCGCAGCATTGGCGTTCATGGAGAAGGTCTGCATGACCTCCGGAGCGGGTCGCCCGGGTCTCCAGAAGTCGGTCCATGGCTACAGGATGTAAATCGAATGGGAATATGATGGGAATATCACCAGAATATGATGGGATCAAAATCGGGGGTGCGTTTTTTGAATGGTGCGATGTATCATGATTCATAATAGTCATAAAAAGTTATAAACATAACATAATATGGTATCCTGGTATCCATAGCCCTTTTATGGAATATAGGAATTACAATGGGGATAAACAACCAACAACTATCGCTAATAGGTTTGGTACCTGAAAGGGGAGACTGATCCAATTTGTTCTGTCATATTTAATGGATTTTTTGACCATAATGATAAACCATGAAAATTTGGAGCTTGCCTATTTTTTCACACACACCCAGGTTGCATTTTTCTAAGCTGATCTGTGGCAAAAGGAAGCCTCCTAGTAGATCCTGATGGCTTCTTGCAGAATTTCAAAGGATCAAAGTCACGTGGCAGCAAGAAATGACCCACTGTCGCTCTGTGTCGCCTGGTTCTCGCCCTCTTCGCAACCTGCCAAAAAGATTGTGGTCTCAGTCACAGAATTCAAAAAGCCTGTAACCTCTTAGACCTCCAGAAGGCCAATCGTTTCTCATTAAACATCGACTAACACTAAGCAAACGCTTGGTGAAGAGGCTTCATTTGAGAAGTGAGGATTTTTTTCGCTTCCGCATGTTGAGGCACGCTTCGAAATGCTATTCCCTTCTCTCGGCGTCCGATATGAAGTGTTAGTCTATACAGATTTAAACGTTCTCACATCCGCAGTCAACCTTCTGTGAGGTTTTTAAGCTTCCAACTGTTCAAATGAACTATGTCAGGGTTTTCAAAGTTGGAGGCTCTGTGGGGCTGAATGTTTAATTCCGGGTTTTGAAAAGCGGACTCGACACCTCTCCACTTTCTTTGTATGGGTTTGAGGCGTCTTCGCAGGTTTGAAGCGTCTTCGCAGTGTGATAAAGGAGGTCCTGGTGCTTGAATGTGTACGGGTGTAGAATAGTTTTTGGTTTTTTTTTGCCTCTGGTTTTGGTTTTTTTTGGCTTCTTTCCTGGTACCATTTGCCTTGTATTTGCAACAGCTTGGAACTAGAACCTGTCATTTTTCATGCTATTTGCTACATTTTGGCATGGTCACTTTGCATTTTGCATGGTATTTGCCACATTTTGCCATGTTTGCCTTCCATTTTGCATGGTATTTGTCACATTTTGGCATTTCAACCTCTCATTTGCATGGTATTTGCTACATTTTGGTACTTCAACCGTTCATGTGTCTCTTAAATGTGGGTCTCTTGCGGGTTCTTTAGGCTTTCATTAAGGGTGTCATTTAAGGTTTCATTTAGGGTTTCATTTAGGGCTTTATTTAGGGCTTCATTTAAGGTTTCATTTAGGGTTTCATTTAGGGTTTCTTTAGGGTTTCATTTAGGGTTTCATTAGGGTTTCATTTGGGGTTTCATTAGGGTTTCATTTAAAGGTTTCATTGGGGAGTTCATTTAGGTTTTTTTAGGGTTTCATTCCAAGGTTTCTTATCAGGATTTCTTTTCACGGTTTCTAAACATTCAACTGGGTTCCTTTAGGGCTCCTTTAGGGTTTCATTTAGGGTGTCATTTTAGGGTTTCTTTAGGGTGTCTTTAGGGTTTCATTTAGGTTGTCTTTAGGGTGTCTTTAGGGTGTCATTTAGGGTTTCAATTTAGGGTTCATTTAGGGTGTCCTTAGGGTGTCAATTTAGGGTTTCAGCTAAGGTGTCAGTTAAGGTTTCATTTAGGGTTTTTTTCAGTGTTGTTTAGGGTTTCTTTGGGATATCATTTGGGGTGTAAAGTTTCTTTAGGGTTTCATGTATGGTTTCTTTAGGATTAATTTATGGTTTCTTTGGGGTTCATTTGTGGCTTCTTTAGGTTTCATTTAGGGTTTCATGTAGGGTTTCAATCAGGATTTTTTATCAGGATTTCTTTAGGGTTTCTTTGGGTTTCACCTAGGGTCTCTCTAGGGTCTCATTAGGATACAAACAGAATAGAATAAAGCAAAAGAAAAAGAAAAACAAAGAGACAGTAAAGACAGGAAGCAAAGAAGCAAAGGAGCAGGAAGTAGAGCAGCAAAAACACATGACTGAAGAAAAGAAAAAGTATAGTAGAAGTAGAAAGGCACAGGAGTACAAAAGCAGAGAAGCAGGGAAAACAGAGAAGCAGAATGCAAAGAAGCGGGGAAAGCAAAAAGCAGAAAAGCAGAGAAGCAGGAAAAGCAGAGAAGCAGGGAAAGCAAAAAGCAGAGAAGCAGAAAAGCAGGAAAAGCAGAGAAGCAATGAAAGCAGAGAAGCAGAAAAGCAGAGAAGCAAAAAGCAGAGAAGCAGAAAAGCAGAGAAGCAGAAAAGCAGAAAATCAGAGAAACAGGAAAGCATAGAACCAGGAACCCAAAAAAAAACAAAAACTGCCACGAAAAATAAATAAATAAATAGCCCTCCAATGTGTAGTGTCCGGCTGTCCAAATATCAGCTCAGCTGTTTGCAAATGTTTGCGCTACCCGCTACCACAACATGCTCCAACCCTCCATGTGAACAATCCAAGCCTTCCGCGACGTCTGGAATGGGAGCCATGACCGCTCCTTCATGTGCAGCAGGCGGAAGACCGCCTGTGCAACAAATATCTCCGTGGCGGAAAACTTCAACAGAACAACCTAGATTCGATCCGATGCCACGTACATCCGACGTATTCTATCAAGAATCGCAGAGGTTGGACACAGCCGAAACTTGGATTGTAAACATGAGGAATCCTGAGGATCTGGAAGCAGGTGTCAACTGTGCCACCTGTGTCAACCAATCGCAAGATAATTTCGAGCTTTAGGCGCTGTACAAGGTCAAGGAATAGGTGTTTCTCAACGAGCCCCACCATTGCCTTCTCAATGACCCCGTTTTTCGTGGAAACCCCAGTCATCTGAAAACCCCATTCGATGCTTGTCCCAGGTCTCGGCCTCGAAATTCTACTCGAGATTTGCGCCTAGGTGGTGCGACGCTTCGCTGCTGTATTTAGAGCTTTTCAGGACTGGAGATTGGTGACACACGACTGAGGCAGCCACTTCGAGTGCTTGGGTTCCTCAGGCGCCTTGGGTTTGAGTCAGTTGTGATTTTTTTACAGGTTGAATCAAATTCAATCATCTTTAGTCCACTCATATGTCATGTCTTATCATACCTTGCGCTGGAATACACTCCATTGCTACATTAAATCATCCTGTCACGATCTTCCAGGGATGTACCCAAGGAATTAGGCAGGAAAAAAGCTCGGGAGAGATGTGCTGCCAACTTTCGATGACGCTGTCTCTAACTACCGAACTACGAATGATCAAATACTGCAACGCGCTGCGAGATCTACAAGAGCAATTCAGAAGAATAACTACTTGGATCAAGTGCCTCAAGAGTGATGGTATTAGCAGGCAACAATGATGTACAATGATCGCAAAAAGTGTGGCTTGCCACCGATTTCCTGGGCACCTCCAAAGCGGCAGCCTTCTGCGGATTCGCCTTTTTCGGGTAGTGAAGCTTCTGCACTGTTGGCACCGCTTCCTGGACACGGGCTGGCTTAGTTACGGTTAGTTCCTCATCGCAAGATGGCACGGATATGCACGTATGGCGCAGCTGTCCTTCCAAGAAGGGCCAGGGACAAAGCTACCAACTGCTTCAAGCTCCCAACGCTTTGAAGAATTCCGCACCAATCTGACCAGTGCGTGGAGCAGAATCCCATTAATGGCATGGGATTTCCAAGTGTGAGTGAGCTTTCTAGTTTTGATCTATGGACATATATTGACTAGACTATATATATATATGACCATAATTATGATCTTTTGCAAAGATTATCCATGCTGATCTTCATCCCAAATATGGTTGATTTTCGTAAAAGCTGTGAAACCGCCAACCAGTTTTGATATCAACATCATGTGGTAAACTCTAAACCATAAAACATCCCGCAAATCCTAAAAATGGGTGGTAGAAACAATCCCAAATGGTACAGTAGGTTTATGGAATTGGGTTTCCCACACGAATTCGAAGATCTTCAAAGATCAAAATTCCGTCCGACACCGTCCGGTATTGACGTTTTTGAGGTGCGAGCCTGCACAGAACCAGCCCTGGAAGACCATCACAGTCGTCCTTACCACCTCGTGCCCAGTTTAGACATGTCGCCATGGAAGTAGTTTGATGAAAAATTATAACAATATATGAAAACAAATGTGAGAACCAATGGGAAACTGATAAATCATCAATCATCAAATTAAATTTGTATTGTCCTCTGTTTTCAGACAAACCCAAATTGCAGCCCCGACCTCAACCTGCAACATCAAGAGACTGACAGGAAAGCGACATTGACAGAACAAACTTAGGCCGCAGGAAATGAAAGAAATCTGACCTGGGGAAATTGGACTCAAACATGTTCAAACTACTTTGCTCATTTGGTAAAGTTATGCAAATTGCTGCAGCAAAGTGGTCAGGGTGCAGATAACAACACCAGGCCTACGAGTACCAGACGAGCGGCTTTCCAGAGTAAAACTGGCCAGAGTCTTGCAGTTCTGGTCATTTGCCATGCAAGAAGCGTATGTAATGTCTCGGAAGCTCACTTCCTGGCAGACCATAGAACGAGACGTCCAAAAAGCGGTTGCGATCTGCGCTGAAAAACTGTTGATGCCTTGTAGTTGGGTGCGACGAGGTCGACCACAATGTATACTGAATGCACCTTGGCCGCACTGGCGGGCACAACTCGGGTGCGGAAGGTGGGAACTTTGCGCCAAACGCGTGCACTTCATGCAACCAAGTTGGCCTTTGAAGGGACTTGCAGCAAATCTACATTCATGTCCTCGTCGGCATCTCTATCTCCAGAGTGTTGAAAGCCGAACCTCACCAGGTGTACGGTGTACCGATGCCCAGGCTGCGTTGCCATCTGGACCCAAGATCTGGAACAAAGAACCTATTCCAAAGTCTGCTGACATTCCTCTTATACTTCAAATTCAGCTTGATTAAAGGCAAACTATGGCAAACTTTTACAGGGACACCAAAAAGAAACAGTTGGGGCTGAATGGGGGCCATGACAAAAAACGATTTTCAAACGGTCCGATCCATTCACCGACCAGGTGCAGTTCCAACTCTTCATGCCAACAGGCCCCCAAGGCATTGCCGTCCTTGCAACACGAGGCGCGTCTCTCCGGAGAATCGGACCCAACAAAAGGCACGCTATTTTCTGAGTTTTGAAGCTACCAGTTTAAAACCATCCACTGCTTGGATTGTGGGGTAAATCATGGCTTTTATCATTTTGAGCCATCCCAATCCATCTCAGAAATGTGTGTTGTTGTTCTTTTCGAAGCACCGAAACACCATGAGTTGAGTTCTGGAAAAATCGGAGTTTTTCGTACAGAAACCCCAGGCCTTGTCAGTGAAGAGGGCGGAAATGTCGAGGTCAATTTCCTTCCGCACCTTAGCCTTAATGGTGGCCATCACGGAGAAGTTGAGCCTGCAGAGTCAAGATGGGAGAACTCATGGGATGATGTATGGTTATCCCTGGCGCGGAATCCAAACATATTCAAACCATCCTGGCTTTGTAACTATATTAGTATATGTAACTCATGAAAAAAAAATAAGTTTCGGTGGTATCCCCAACAGCGGCAACATTTTATTTTTGAAACTTGAAGCACAGCAACTGAGCACAATGAGCAACTGAGCACAATGCGCATTTTTCTTCTTGAACCACTGGGTGGCAACATGGGTGTTCCGTGGTGTCTTAAGTTTGTGTAACTGTTGGAGGTTTGTCCAGCAATTCCTTTTTTAGGCGAGTGGAGTAGGTTTGCTGCCATTTTCCACTGTGGGTTCTACATTTCTCGCAGGGACAGTGGCACACCGCATTTTCTTGTAGTTTATGTCTTACAGCAATTCGATACGTGATGATGTCACACTTCGGACCCAAGCCACCATGCTAGGTCCACAACTTGTTCCAATAAGTTACACAAATATTTCTGAAGCTGCCAAGCCAAGTGCTGGAAACACCTCAGCTGGGTTTCCGTGAGTTAAATGGCTGCAAATCCTGTTGAACCTGACCTGGCTTTCCACCAAAGCCTCCCAGACCTTCTCCGGAACCTTTTCCGGAACCATGTTGAACCTGACCCGGCTCCGCACCAAAGCCTCCCAAACCTTCTCCGGAACCCTCTCCGGTACCCTGTTGAACTTGACCTGACTCTGCACCCGGAACCCTGTTGAAAGTGACCTGGCTCTGCACCGAAGCCTCCCAGACCTCCGGAACCTTCTTCCGAACCTTCTCCGGAACCCTGTTGAACCTGACCTGGTTCTGCACCAAAGCCTCCCAGACCTTCTCCGGAAGCCTCTCCGGAACCTTCTCCGGAACCCTGTTGAACGTGACCTGGCTCTGCACCAAAGCCTCCCAGACCTTCTCCGGAACCTTTGGAACCTTCTCCGGAACCTCGTTGAACCTGACCCAGCACCTGCACCAATGCACACTGGAGCTATTCTGGGCTGAAGACCCCATTAGCTTACCCTGTTGGGGAAAAAAACATGAAAATGGATTGAATGGATTGATGATCATTTGTCAATATGCCTTGATTCCACCCTGGGACCCTGATCCCCGGCCTTTTCAGGGCATTCTTCGGAAGATCTACAGCAGTACCTCGACCCCCAACTCCAAAACTGCGGTTTTGAATGTTGAAGTCTCTGATGAACATTGACCTTTCAACATGGCTCTGAAAAGCGGGGGATACCTACCAGTTTATGGCGTTTTTTCGTGGGTAATATATGGTAATATGGTGATGAAGCAATGATGCTGATGTCTTTTTTCAGTATATCCCATTTCGGACAGACCCCTGGCCAAATTCAGCTGATAAAGATTTCGGCTGAGCGGCCCTTCTTCATCTGGAAAGTTACTCGCTGATGTTTGGGAGCATTGTCGATTCTTCGCCGGATGATGTCCTGGGAACGCCCAGAAAAATCTGGTCAAGTGAATGATCTCCACGACCATCCAAAGGGATCTATAGGGGATATTATAGATAATTGATGATAATTGTATCCATCACCCATCATCACCCATACGATGTCTCACACGTGTGAAAATCCCCAAGTGGAATGGGTTGCCAACCAAAGGCTAGGCAGCACTTTTAAAACAGCTGCCGTGGAATTGGTCAGGTTGCTCCAACGGTCGGCTCGAGGATATCCAAGAAGTGCTCACCATGTTCTGCTGGCTCATCGACCTGTGCCAGGTGAGCCAGGTGAGCCATTGGCAATGACCGGTTGGGACCATACCCGCACTGGTGCCTGGTACAGCCACCACTTTCCCTCGTTGTCTTTCCTTAGGCTGGAGCTTTCAGGACGCACCATGTTGCAGCCATGTTTTTACCAAGCCAACTGCCATGATCGTCATAGTCTAATTGCAAAATGGTTCATTTTCATTCATGTTCCCAATGCTTACCACTGAACATCTCAGACTATGAGTCAGCATGAGTCAACTATGCTTCCAAGGATCTCCATCATGACAATCACATCTACATCTGCTCTGCTCTTTTCGCAGGGAAATCTCAACACGGTGTGGCCATGGAACTCCTGGCAGCACTCAAACGCTGAGAGAAATGAGACGACTCGAGACGACCATCTCGACTTCGTGCCTGGACCACATGCACTGTCGCATTTGCGGCATCGCGCAATGCACTATCACCACAGGCTGCTACCTTGGTACCCAAAAAATGGCCAACAATCCAGATGATTATATAAATCCATATAAATCCATCCAAAATCATCCAAATCCATCTGTGATCCATCGTCAACTCCAGTTCCATCGTCATCTCCGCTCAGGACATGGCCACAAAAAGCATCATCTTCACCTGGCACCGCTGCTGGTTTTCTAGTATCAATTTAAGATTATACTTTTTGCTGGCATACCGTCCAGTAAACTAATCGAAGGAAGTTTAGAAGTCAAACTTCCGACAATATGGAGAGATGAAAAAGCAGTCAGCAGGGAGAAGAGTCAGAAGAGAAAAGATCAGAAGAAAGAAGATGCAGGTGCGCGAAAAGGTAGGAAAGTCGCGAAACACTGTTTTTTCGTGGTTTTGTGGCTCCGGAGGGTTGAAAAGTAGGCTCGCTAAAGCGGCGGGTGCGGAGACATCTGGGGAGATGAGAGATGAAAAGTTGCACGCCGTTGTGGCGCGAAGCCGATTTCGAAGTGAAAAGGTACAAAACACCTCAGGATCGGACCACTTTTGGAAGTTGAGATGTTGAAAAAGTGCACGGCGTTGTGGCGCGAAGCACATTTGGAAGTAAAATGTGTTAAAAACTGAGGGGTTCGGAGCAGTTTTGGAAGTTGTTGAAAAAGTGCACGGCGTTGTGGCGCGAAGCAGATTTGGAAGTAAAAAGTGTTAAAAACTGAGGGTCACAGAGCACTTTTGGAAGTTGAGATGTCGAAAAAGTGCACGCCGTTGTGGCGCGAAGCACATTTGGAAGTCAAAAGTGTTAAAAACTGGCGGTCTCGGAGCACTTTTGGAAGTTGAGATGTCGAAAAAGTGCACGCCGTTGTGGCGCGAAGCACATTTCGAAGTCAAAAGTGTTAAAAAATGAGGGTCTCGGAGACATTTTGGACGTTCAGACGTCGTTTTGTGTGGTAGGTGGAGTGGATTGTGCATCCACTGAAAAGTGACTAAAACGTGAGGGTTTTGTAGCATTTTCAAAAACGATGGCAGGCGTGGGAGATTTGAAGAGGATCTGCACAGATGCATTTTTTGTGGCAGGCGCAGTACAAGAGGCATCTTCAGCTGAGATGTTCGGAACTCAAGGAGCTGATTTCCTGAGAGGGGTTGCATATTGGCGTATCAAATCATCAGCTCTGCCAAGATGCTATTTCGTGACAGGTGCAGCATTTCGTATGACCTGGACTAACTTTTTCGTGGCAGGCGCAGTACTTTAGAGACACGGCATGGAAAAATCGCAAAACGCATTGGTACGAGGCCGTCAGCTGTACAGTCAACTTTCCATTTTTGAAGGAAGTCTCGCAGAATCGCTTCGTTTTTGATGTTTTCAACTGCAAAAAGTGAGAAAGTCTCGCAGAATTGCTTTGTTTTTGATGTTGCCAACAGAAGTCTAGCAGCATTGTTTTGTTGTCGACGTGGCGGTTAGACAGATTGATCGACAGGTCAAGAGGTAGATCGAAGGACAGGTGGAGAGAGAACTTGACGGATGAATAGATGCATAGATAGACACATAGGGAGATAGATCAGTTTTGGAAGCACGACTTTCAATGGAGCGTGTGTCTTTTCTGGCCGCGCTCCCGAGTCTGCAGCATGTAACCTTGTTCTTGTTGTTACCAGTTGTCGTTGGAACGCTGGACTGGAATGATGGTGTTTTTTCTGACCCATCCGTGTAGCGTCTGCATTTTGCATCCGTTTTGTCTCCGACACGGATCGTGCAACCGTAGGCCGACGAAGGAAAATCATGCAGTGGGAGCTCTTGCAGGCATCGGTTTTTGAAGCACAACAGGGGATAGGTGCAATGGGATTTGATAGCTAGATCGATAGATAGACGGGTAAATAGATCGATAGATAGATAGACAGATCGATGCATCGCAAGATCCATAAATACATCGAGAGATAAATCGAAAGATGGATGGCTAGTAGAGAGACAGATCGATCAATAGACAGGTAGATGGATCGACAGATGGACACATAGATCGCTAGATCGAAAGATCGCTAGAAGCGTCGATGACCAGATAAACGCATGGGTAGCTAGATAGATGGATGGATGGCTGGAAGAAGAGGTAGACGGACAGATGCATGGATGAATCGATAGAGAAACAGAACGAAGAACATGGTGATGGATAGCTGTGGACATGGATCGATGAAGAGATGGACGGAAAAAAAACTAACAGAGAGAAGTAAGCAGATGGATGAATGGCTGGATAGACAGAAAGATAGACAGTTTAATAGATAGGTGAATAAACAAATCGATCGATAGATACATGAATAGACAGGTAGATAGGTAGATGGCTAGAAAGGTAGCTCTGTAGATAGATGGCGAAAGAGAGACACAGAGAGAAAGAGAGAAAGAGAGACAGAAAGGGAGAAACACTCAACCACCTTTCAATCCATCAGTGGGTTCGCTCTGCCATTTTTGCGTCACACCAACTCACCTCTCCTATAGGTTTTCCATTTTTGAAACTTCCGCCACCGCCTTGTGCGGTACTACTGGTATAGATAAAGGAAAATCCAAGATGTCTAGATCATGTTCAAGGAAACACCAATGGAATTGCAGTGTTTTGTATGCTTATTGGAAGGTATTCAACAGAAGTCATCCCCTTTCCGCCTGTTTTTCAACCCTAAACCCTTTGGTTCATCTTGATTCATGGTTCCAAAAATCTCGAAATTCCCAGCATCCACCATGGTTTCTGTGTCAATGTGTCCTTTCTTTGTTTCCAACGGCACAACGGTTTCCAACGGCACCTGACTTGGGAGCTTGGCAAAGACGGCCCAGACCATCTCATCAAAGTCGCCTCGGTGAAAAAAGCGGCCAATCGCTATATCCATCGCTGGTTTTTCATTCGATAGCACTTTGTTTTTAGCTGAAAAATAATGAATTACTAATTAACAAAAACATACAAAAATTATATTCCCAGAGGTACATAGAAACCAAACTGATCCTTAAAATTACATGATGAATCAAAAGTCCCAACCAATGGTTGATCCCATTGCTGAGGAGTGCGCTGGCTTGACCAGTGACTTCATCGCCGGAATGTGAAACTGCTCCATTCAGGGCTATTAGATTGTTGTAGTAGACCGCATCGACCTTGGCCCGCTGGCGGCCGCGAACAGATCCATATTGCCAGGCTGTGAAACTGGAAGATTTACAGCGAAAGCAGCGGCTGCGGAGTTTTCGTTGACTGATGAAGTTGAAATCATCCGTGGTAAACTTTTAAACGGTTTCTGTTTTCAGCTGTTTTCAGTTCGAATCTGAGCGTCGATGTAGCCTCGCTTGTCAATGATGATGGCTTGCAAATCCAAATCCACGGGCTTGGCAAAATCCACGGGATCCCAGGTAATGGCGACTCCATAGCGCCTCCCTGTCATCGCAATGGGCTTACCCTTGAAGCCAGAATCCTGCAAAATTCTAGGGACTTCTCGTTGAAAATGGCAATTTACATCAATTTACCCCAGCTCAAATTTAGAATCATCATTGTTCCTCTCAAAAATGTCCATTTTGGAGGGGCACGCATCATTTTCAGACACCCAAATGGATGCAAAAGGCAGCTGCAACTTGAAATGCATCAGGGTGTCCTGCAAAAACTCCAGCTTGTCTCCCTTGTTGGTAGAGGGTGTGGACTTTTTCACCTGAAACAGGTGAGCTCAAGACACTGAACCTGCCAAATTGATCACCGAAGAAAAATGAATCGCCAAAATCTGATCCCATCCATGATCTGCGCCAGGTGCTGAGGTCGGCGCTTTTTTCCTGAGAGCAGCTCTCACTTTTGGGGCAAAACAAAAAAAGACTGGGCCTAATGATCTCACTGCTGAAGCCTTCGAACGTCCATTCATTGCACTATTTTTAGGATAAACGCTGTCAGTTTCTCAGTCTCAAAAGACTCACTGCAGTAGAATCTACGGTAGTTCGAAAGAGTTTTAAATGTTGAAGCAATGGCCCATGAAGAATTCTCTCCTGTTCTTTCCTGTGCTCCGGAGCTTCAAGGACTCATGCCGTGCTGCTACCACTGTGGCTGACGTGATTACTGGACTGAGCATGGACATTCGTCCACAACTCGGAGGTTTGCGAACTATACTTCCTCTCATATTTATCCTCAATATGTTGGGTTCTGTAGTACATTCCCCTATCATCATCAGCCAATGGGGGTCTTGAACATGGCTCATTTAACTTCAACCAAGCGTCTTCTCATTGTTGCTGCTAGCTGCACCACTGATATTGCTGAGGGTTTCAGAAGCTACACCTTCTTCGCCAGATGGGGCCACATCTGATGCAGTCCTTGCGTTGTGTTGCTAAAGTTGCAGCAAAAAAAATGGTTGACATGCATGTGCAATGAACATAGATAAATCGATGTCCTTGATGAAATGGACGGAAATTGAATGATTTATTTTTGATTGCGAAATCGCAGAAAACCTGTTTTCTGCCATCCGGTTTGTTATGGAACAGTGCTTCGAATCTCTCCTGGAGGCTGAAGAGGGTTGCTTCTTCAATTTCGGCGCCATCGCTCCGATGTCGTACCGTTGCTTGCCGTTGCTGCTTGGGAATAGTTTTGGAGGCTGGAAAGCTTGGATGATGTGTTTGGGCTGTTTGGGTACCTTGGGTTTTTGTCAACTGCAAGAGACAACCCAGATCTGTTGAGATGGCTGCCATGGTCTCATGAACCAGCGAAGTTCCACCCCGCCGCCGGGATTGGGCCAAAACAGCTCAAGCGCAAAAGCTGTGAATTTTGTCCGCAAATTTTGTCTGTCAATTGGAATGAACATTCTGGTTCGTGCCATCCGTTGCTCTCATCCTGCTTTAAAAAAAATAAAAAGAACATGTTTACTGCATCAAAGGAATGGTAAAATGGCAAATCTACAGGAAAAGATGGCATTTACCCTCCAATTGATTGGGAAAATTCTTTGTTTGCCTGTAGATTTTCCCATTGCTGACATCGCCAACCCCATGGCCCAAGACTCACACCGAGGGCTACGACCCAAAGGTCGTGTGGATGCTCCTGTGCCAGCATTGCAGCCAGGACAACCTCTCGCTTCCATCGGGTCAACCCGCACAGTCGACGCCAATGGCAAAAGGACATGTGCGATTGGTCAAAACAGGATATATGGTTTCTTGATGTTTCTGGCCATCCATCCCATATTGGGAATCCTTATAAGGGTATATAGATCCCGGTGGAAATGGATTGATTCTTCCCATCCACCAATGTTGGTTTTTCCTCCAAGTTTGACACGGAGCTTGCGGAGTCGAAATTCCACGGTCAACCAACCCCAGGCACAGGCGGCGGGCATCGGTGACCACTGCAAAAGTGACAGGGAACTGTATTGACAAAATGCAACACTACAAAGGTGGTCACTGCATCACACAGAGAGCCCTTAGGCTGTCAAGAAGGCACTACAGACTTCCCATCGTTGGCAGATGCCGAGCAAGGTCAATACGGGTGATTGACACTGCAAATTTCATTGAAAATATCACAGAAGGCGGCTACCAACAGGGGCGGTTAGCACACCATACAAGTATCAAAACAAATTGCATATCAAGGCCAGAAAAAATCATTCAGATTACCGGCCCAGTTTCTGACTGTTCCACTGGCTCAGGCTTCATTGACACATACCCATTGTCGTCATCAATATCTCTCGTCTCTTGTCTGGTGACGCCACAACACCTGATTCTGCACTCGTGCTGTCGCAAGGACGAAAGTAGACTTTGCTTATGCCATGGCAGACAGCGAGCTCCCGCTGGTCAACCGTCACCCTTGCCAACCAGTAATCCACGAGGTCATGTGTAATCGCCAAGGCGTAAAGAGATTTATCAAATCTCCTCATAGTCACACTGCGAAATGACTCCATCATGCATCAATCTGACATACATCAAGACAAGCTAAACATTCACGGCAATAGCCTCCTTTTTGAACACCTCCACAGTATGTAGGACGTCGCAGGGACAAATTAATCCGCCTTTCGCAGTTAAATTCCAAAGCAAAATCCCAACAAAACATAGCAGGTGTCTCAAGGTATGGCATGGCTCAGTCGGATGTGGAACAGCTACACATTCCAGCTTCATCACGTGGAGGTCTGAGCCCAGAAGCTTGAGCCAAAATGGCTACCTCCAAGTTTTGACCACGGCACACATGCCCTCTGGCAATGAAACATAGCTAGCTGGCAAATTCCCTAATTATATACAAATGATTGTAAATTGGCATGAAAGACATTTAAACCATTGAGCTACAGTAAATGGATTGTCCAAGCTACCGGGCTGATTACCAGAGGGTACATTGAAACACTTGTTGGTACGAAGTCTCAGGTTGGCAGTGAACACATTGAATTTCATTGAATTTGAAGTTCTTGGGTCTATCCAATAGTTGCTACACTCTGTGAATGTCTTGCGAACTGGAAAATCAGCAGCACGGCCTGACCACGAGCACTCAGAGCATGCCGCCCACAAAGCTGGAAATATCGTTCCAGTGCTAAGCGAGCACAGCGGTCTGCAAAGTCATCGCCCTCAGCTCGGATGTGCTCAACTGTTCAATGTGGAACCACTGGTCATTGGTCGCGTGATCCTATACCGTCCACCTGAGAAGCATTTTGAAAGCCCCAAGATCAGGATGATCAAGGTACGAGGCCAATGCTTATTGGATGTTGCTTTTAAAACCCAAGTAACCACATGGGTGTGTCAAAATAACTACAGTATGATAGGTGTTCCTCTTGACACACGAATGTATTGGTGCTACATCCCTCATTTTGGGGGGACCCTCCCAACTAAATCATGTTTTGGTGACACAAAGAAAAATATCCCAGTGAAATGGTTGGTTTTTGTTAACCTCATTGTACTCATATCCGTACGTTTGGGTTAGAATAATGTATTTGTAATTATGTGTATATATATATACATACATACATACATACATACATACATACATACATACATACCTACCTACCTACCTACCTACCTACCTACCTACATACATACATACATACATACACACTTTTATATGTATATACCAGTAGTACCCGCACGAGGCGGGGCGGAAGTTGCCTTAAGGTTATACTATATTTTTCTCATTTATAGAACTTGCATGCGCCGTGCGCCAGCCAGGCCCGTGCGTGCGCGTTTTTTTTTCGAAACTGTTGTGCTGCTGTCCAAGAACATGACCTGCGCGCGACCCCGGTGCGACGCAACGCCAAGTGAACACTTTCTTCACACTTCACACTGCACTCTTCACACCCTGCACTCCACACTCCACACTTCATCTCATCTCATCTCATCTGAGCTCTTCTCATCTCATTTCATGTCTTCTCATATGTCAGCTAAGTCCGTCTTAACTTTATATTTTCATTTCATCTGAGCACAACTCAACCTTTCCCATCTCACCGAAGCTAGTCTCGACTCACCGCGGCTCTTCTGCACGTCAGAAAGCTTGAGACACAGATGCATTTACACAGAAGAGTCTTTACAAAATACTTTGTACTACAAAGCTTACAAAAGCTCTTCCCAGTACTATTTTGTACTACAACGCTTGCACAAAGCACGTCCCAGTACTACTTTGTACTACAAAGCTTGCACCAAGCACGTCCCAGTACTACTTTGTACTACAAACCTTGCACAAAGCACGTCCCAGTACTACTTTGTACTACAAAGCTTACACAAAGCTTTTCCCAGTACCACTTTGCACTACAAAGCTTGTACAAAGTACGTCCCAGTACTACTTTGTACTACAAAGCTTGCACCAAGCACGTCCCAGTACTACTCTGTATTACAAAGCTTACACAAAGCTTTTCCCAGTACTACTTTGTACTACAAAGCTTACACAAAGCTTTTCCCAGTACTACTTTGCACTACAAAGCTTGCACAAAGTACGTCCCAGTACTACTTTGTACTCCGAGGTACCTTCATCGCCGCTTGCAGCCACCTTATACGGAAAAAACACAAGGTTTCGTGCTCCGGCTTCCTCCCCAATACGAGTCCCATGCAACATTCATGCAGCCATTACAATGAGTTTTGCAGCCTCACGTGGCTAACCCGCATCTCTCTACGCACATGGCAACAAAACGTGACGTGACAACAATCATGCAGCCATTACACTGCGATCTGCAACCAAAGATTCAACAAGCGCATAGAACTACGCACACCTGAACAACCACACATTGCAGAACACTAAGGGAGAACCGATTCGACCTCGAAACGACCCCAGCCGCAACCGCCGCACACAGGAGGTACCTTTCATCGCCAGCTGCAGCCACTTCACATGGAAAAACACAAGGTTTCGTCCTCCGGCCTCCTCCCCAAAACAAGCCCCATGCAACAGTCATGCAGCCATTACAATGCGTTTTGCAGCACCACGTACATATCCATGCAGCCATTACAATGCGATTCGCATCCCTGCGTTGCAGAACACCAAGGGAGAACCGATTATATACGCGTTGAAACGATCCAAACCGCAACCGCCGCACACAGGAGGTACCCGTCATCGCCGCCTACAGCCACCTTATTATACGGATACGGAAAAACACAAAGTTTCGTTCTCCGGCTTCCTCCCCAACACAAGTCAAGTCCCATGCAACATTCTTGCAGCCATTGCAATGCGTTTTGCAACAGCACGTGCACATTCATTCAGCACGTCACCACTTCTCTCAGTCACCACTTCCCTCAGTCACCATGCTTCGTCACCACCCTTCGTCATCACCCTTCGCCATCACCTTTCGTCATCACTTCCCTCAATCACCACCCTTCGTTGCTACTTTTATGTGATGTATTGTTCTATGATGTACTGTTGTGTGATGTAAAGTCTCACAATTCTATTTGTCCGCAACTCGGAAGATTGCTTCCCAACTTCCTTTGATATACCGTATGCTCCCTTATCCCCATTCTGGCTGATTTGTTCAGCAAGTACAGACCATTTTTTAAAAAAATGCCGAGAGGCAGCTTGCAACGAACGGAGGTCTGGTAGCGGCACATCCGTTGGTCCATCCACAGCTGAACCAACCTCATCCTGGTCAAAACACAACTGAGCATGCGGAGATTGTGAACAGTTCAGGGTAGTTTTTGTTTTTTTCCTGAATCTTGTTGCCATGATGATTGTTAATGTATGTTAATATGGTGATGATTTTGTGCTAGTCATCATCATCAGTATATATATATAGTATGTTGTAAGAAACATGTCATTCTTGACGGTTTTCTTACTGCAACGGGTAGTTTATATTTCACATCATGCGTTCACAGAATTGGATGATGGGAAATTTGAAAGCGGCAATCCCTGTAGTGTAGTTTCTTCTGAAAACCAGCCAGTTTCCGGTGTAGATGTTTGTTTCAACCAATCCGTTGATTTTTTGCATACTGATAAACCATGAGTTGTTGATGAAAATTATCTGACCATCAAAAATCAAAACGATAATAATATCATCGCGCTACTATTAAATCATAACGCAATAAACCGATTGTTGTCCTATTTATCCGTGATATAGTGATACATCAAAAATAGTGTGCGACTATCATCACTGATATGTGGTTTTCTATCTTTTCGTCCATAAAAGATAATAGGAATCCAGGTGGTCCTTTGGTTGCGTCCTCCAGCTCCTGCTGCGCGTTGCGTTCCCGCGGTGAACCGCGCGGCCGCCCATCCAAGAGCTCTTGGACCTCCGAGACATGGTGACATGTCTCACATGACATGGTGACATGCCGAGACATGCCAAGACATGCTCGTTATACAGGATGGAGCTCTCAGAGCTCTGCCAAAAGCATTGTCGTGCACTTTTTTCGCGCTTCGCCGTGCACTTTTGGAGGCTCTGTGAACTAAGGGTGCTGGTTGGATCGGGGTCGTTGGGTCGGAATCATTAGTTGGATCGGCGCGGCTGGATCGGAATCTGCATTGGCTGTATAGATCGCAACCTTGCGGACTACCCCGACCGTCCCGACCGTCTCGACCGTCCCGACCGTCCCGACCATCCCGCCATTTATTCACGATGTTGATCCAGGATCGTCTTTGATGCTGATTCTGCAACGCTGATCCGAACGTATGGATGGTGATTCCAGACGCTGCTCCGTGACGCTGATTCGACTCGATAGTTTCTGACCCCAAATTTACTCTAATACTAATATCAAAACTGCAATTCCTCTCAAAACTCTCAAGATCTGCAAGTGTACCACCTCGTAAAAACTGGAGTGCGTCACTGGTGGGACAATTGCAGAAGCATGTGAAAACATGTGAAAAAGAGCTCTTGGACCTCCCGGCCCACGTTGTTTCCCTGAAGCCACAGACTTCGGAGCTGGGGCATCTCCTGGAAATACCAAAGTGGCTCGCTTTTCCATGGGGAAATTCATGGGAAAAAGGTAAATTCCTGGGGAATTTTGATGGGGCAAGCTGTCATCATTGTCCAAAATCTCCCGGAAATCATGGGAAAAAACATGTTACGAGCACTTCGAAAAAATGCTGCAAATCATGGGTCCTTAATCGAAAATCCCCATCAAAAGAGTCCATAGACGTGCACAGTTTGCCTTGGCACTCCTGCACTGCTTCCATCAAGATATCGGCACTGTCAGGTCCAAGTTCGTTGTAGTCCTGCAGTTGAAGTGATTGCTTATTTGTATCATAGGAATAACCCCAATAAGTTGGAATATAATCCCAAAAAAGATGGTTTGTAAATCCACTTATTCCCAGTGTCAATAGTGTTTTTTCATGCTTTTGAAGTGCGTTTCGGATCTCTTCTTGTCGTTCATCTCCTTGAGAAATGTGGAAGCTCCACAGTTGGCCGCTAGATCTGCGAGAAATCTGAGATGGATATATATATATATATGTATATATATATATATAACTATATACATATGTCACGACACACCACTGCTTTCATGAAATATCAAAGCATCTCATGATCTTCGATGCATTTCAGGGACATTTGGCAAGCAAATCCTTGGTGCCCTTCCCCGTTGGAGCAAACGATTTGTGCTGCTTAGACCAAAATTGTCTATCTTTGTTAGATTCCTGCTTTGTTGCTTGAAATTCCATGTGTGGCGCTGAAAAAAAAACATTTTGGATGGCTAAATCACATATCATCACATTAAATTCCCATGTTTGAAAGTAACTTTCCCGTCTCTATATACGGTTTCCCAGCTCATGGACGATGATAATCTCCAAATATCTGCAATAGATGCAAAAAGAATAGTAGAACCGTCCCACACAAACAAAAACTATTGTCTACCTGGCATCTATTCTGGGATTCTATCTGTCATATGTTCTGACATTCTATCTGGCATCTATTCTGGGATTCTATCTGTCATATGTTCTGGCATTCTACCTGGCATCTATTATGACATTCTACCTGTCATATGTTCTGACATTCTCTCTGGCATCTATTCTGACATTCTATCTGTCATATGCTCTGACATTCTATCTGGCATCTATTCTGGGATTCTATCTGTCATATGTTCTGGCATTCTATCTGGCACCTATTCTGACATTCTACCTGTCATATGTTCTGACATTCTACTTGGCATCTATTCTGTCATTCTATCTGTCATATGCTCTGACATTCTACCTGGCATCTATTCTGGCATTCTATCTGTCATATGTTCTGACATTCTATCTGGCATCTATTCTGTCATTTTATCTGTCATATGTTCTGACATTCTACCTGGCATCTATTCTGCCATTCTATCTGTCATATGTTCTGACATTCTATCTGGCATCTATTCTGTCACTCTATCTGTCATATGTTCTGGCATTCTATCTGGCACCTATTCTGACATTATACCTGTCATATGTTCTGACATTCTACCTGGCATCTATTCTGACATTCTATCTGTCATATGTTCTTACATTCTATCTGGCTTCTATTCTGGCTTCTATTCTGGGATTCTATCTGTCATATGTTCTGAAATTCTACCTGGCATCTATTCTGACATTCTATCTGTCATATGCTCTGACATTCTCTCTGGCATTTATTCTGTCATTCTATCTGTCATATGCTCTGACATTCTACCTGGCATCTATTCTGTCATTCTATCTGTCATATGTTCTGACATTCTATCTGGCATCTATTCTGTCATTCTATCTGTCATATGTTCTGACATTCTATCTGGCATCTATTCTGCCATTCTATCTGCCATATGTTCTTACATTCTATCTGGCATCTATTCTGTCATTCTACCTGTCATATGTTCTGACATTCTATCTGGCATCTATTCTGCCATTCTATCTGTCATATGTTCTGACATTCTATCTGGCATCTATTCTGGGATTCTATCCGTCATATGTTCTGACATTCTATCTGGCATCTATTCTGTCATTCTATCTGTCATATGTTCTGACATTCTATCTGGCATCTATTCTGTCACTCTATCTGTCATATGTTCTGACATTCTATCTGGCATCTATTCTGGGATTCTATCTGTCATGTGTTCTGACATTCTATCTGGCATCTATCCTGACATTCTATCTGTCATATGTTCTGACATTCTATCTGGCAGTCTTTCTTGCATTCTATCTGACATCTTTTCTGACATTCTTTCTGACAGTCTTTCTTGCATTCTCTTTGGCATGTGTTCGGGTCCAGGCGTGGCCCAGTGCATCCCTTGATCACCACATGGCTCGGCGGAGAAGGTGGACGAGGACGAAGAAGGAGAACGAGGCGAGGAAGAAGGGGAAGGAGGAAGAGGAGGAAGAGGAGTTGTTGTACCTTTGTTAAAATCTAGAGACCCTCACGTGGCAGGTGGGGAAAAACTCGACCAACAAAAACATAACATAATATCATATATATATGTGGGTTCTCCCATTATATCCCTCTATTGCATCCCCATAAGATAGAAATGAATGACCAACCAACAGGGGCTTAGAAGCCACTGCTCATTTGGGTTTGCCTGAAAATAGGGTACCCCAACATCCTTCCCATTAACATTGCCATTTGGGGGCATACCCCATTTTCAGACACACCCATTTGTTCCATTCACTAAAATAATCCCCAATAAACCAGGTAGGTTAATAACCTCCATTTCCTAACCAGACAGCAGGGGTATTGTAAATGGCTCAATGCAGCAACGGAGTCCAGATGAAGCTCTCGAAGTCCATGACCTGCCAGTTGTGCTGCGACCGCTTTGGCACCAGCGTCGCCAAGATGGTTGCTGCCAAGGTCTAAGGCAGTAAGTGATGCCTTAGGATACCCCAAGGTCTATGGCAATTTGAGAGGAAAATGCGATGATGATGATGATGATGATGATGATGATGATGGTGATGGTGATGGTGATGGTGATGGTGATGGTGATGGTGATGGTTATGGTGGTGATAAGGATAAGGATAAGGATTTAAGGTTAAGGATTTTAGGATTTAAGGGTTTAAGGATTTAAGGAAAAGGACAAGGACAAGGACAGGGACAGGGACAAGGAGAAGGAGAAGGAGAGTACTGGATATTATTGGACGAGATTGGATAATATTGGATTATATTGGATAGTACTGGATAATATTGGATGATAACCGATAATAGCTGATGATAGCTGGTGATAGCTGACGATATCTGATCTGGGCCGAATATGATGATAGCGGATGATGATGAATGATAGCGGATACTGCGGATGATAGTGGATGATAGATATGATAGGAGATGATAGAGATTTTGATACCAGACAATAGCGGATGATGAAATTGGATAGTGATGGCAGTGATCTGGGTAAATTATAATATTTCACTAACCTGAATTAAGGCCACCAACTTCTTGCGGTCCCTGCCCACCCCCCAGGAAGTTGATTAAGGCCATAAAAGGGGATGATTTCCCGAATCCTAACCATGATTTCCAGTGAGGTCGCAGTGAGGTCGCAGTGAGGTCGTTATAATTTACCCAGAGTGATGGACTAATAGGAATGGAGAAGAATGGAGAAGAATGAAGAAGAATGGAGAAGAATGGATGCTGCTGATCCAGACCTGGATCCAAACATCACGCTCTTTTTCAACCCTTTGGAGGTCCTGTGACGTGCAAAGGTTTCAAGTCGGATGCTATGAAACTGTCAAGGATAGATCAATCTCAAATGCACTTCCTTCTCAAAGTCCAAAAACTCAGGTAATCTATGGTAATCTCTGAATTTGAGTCTTCCACCTTTTTACTCCTGTTCAATCATCAAAAAAACCAAGGTTCTGGGAGCCTTTCACAAATTGCCGCAGCCCCTTGTGGACCTGACAACTTCAAGAGACAAGCCGTTCCGCCCGGAAACACTGTATCAATCAAGGCTTGGAATCCTTGACTCTTCAGACTCTCCAAGCCCAGAATGTCCCCAAATCTGAGACATTATGCAAATTCTATGCAAATTCTATCTTAGATTTCTTAGATCTTGCCTTTACATTCTTGGTTTCATCTCTCCATCGCGCATCATCGCGCCTAGTTGGTTGCTGTAGAGCAGCAGTTCTCGAAGCATTTCCAAACGCGGCAAGGCTACCGCCAGGGCCATTGCCCCGGGAGGACCAATGGCATTCTGCTGCAGGCCCAGGGCTGAAATCAACAAGGAATTCCTTTCTCCGTCGCCAATCCTGGAAGGACATCAACCCATACCCCGACAATCCGAAAAGAAATGGGGCTTTATAGCTGGAAGCCATCCAACTATCGGGAAATCATCAAACTTGGCAGTTGAGAATCCTAGGGAGATTGGGCTATTATATAGCTGAGAAATCATCAAAGGTTCCATGGGGAAGGTTCCATGTTTCATCATTTTTCAACGTTTTCGGAAGGTGCCATTTCATGGTTAGTCAATGTTAATCATCATTTTACCATCTGGAAGTGTTCTAAGTCTTCTAAGTCATGGGGGTAGCCCATAGTTATCATCCATGTGATTTTCGGATGTTCCATTTTTATAAACCAATCATATTGGGGATTCGCCATGACTACGGAAAGCCCCATTAAATCCCATTCATATCTTCACCATTGATGGCCACTTGGGGGGCATAGACATCACCACCAACCGTGAGCCCATTCTCCAAGTGACAACTGGGCAAGTTCTGTTGCGCCTTCGTCTCCGAGGCCTCTAAGATGGTCAACGATGGAAAATGCTGCAGACATTGCTTGACGAAGTGTACCCGGCCTGGTAATGACTAACGTAGCTATTGAAAATGGCCCAGTCGAAATAGTGGATTTACCCATTGAAAAGGGTGGATCTTTCCATAGCTCTGTTAAATTACCAGAGGGTAAAACATGACGGTTTCAAGTGGTTTCATGAACAGCAGCCAGATTTTTTTCGGAAATCAGCTGACCGCAGCTGACCTGCTCCGTTCATCTCCGTTCCACCCGTCTTCGGCGCCTTGATTTCCTGCCAGCCTCGTTGTCGCTGCGGGACTGCGCTGGGCCGCCCCCTGCAGCGCAGCGAAAACGACCTTCCCCCGCAGGCGTCGAGCAGCACTGGAGTCGATGCTCAAGAGGACCTGGAGCCCCAACCCCGGGATGTTCACCCAAAAAATGGGATGAAAAAAATTCGAAGAATGGGATTTCATTGGATTTTAAAGGGGGGTTATGGATTTAAAGAGATGAAAAATGGGGATATCACCTAGTTTCGATGGGACTATTTGGATGTTGGTGAAAGGGATATGAATGGAGATATAATTCCCTGCCCCCGCATATTAAACACTTCCATGGTCTAGTGTTTTAGCCATACAGGGGGTAGTTAGTATTAGGGGAGGGGTTAGTTGGGGGAATGTTGAAAATTAGTAAAAAAAAATGTTATCCCAAACTTTGATGTGAAGTCTAAATATTCTATAGATCTTATTCCATATGTTTTTAAATTGCAATTTTTGGGCGCAGCCGGATTTTGTGACAAAGCCATTGTTGGGGATGGGTCAAAACTGAAGATCCCCAAATTGGGGTCCCAAATCCTCATACCCATACCTTCCCCAACCATTCCATGGTCCGAATCCCTATGTTTGGAACCTTTTTTCACATGCCAAACGACAAATTCCCTTCAAGCTTTGTGCCGCAGGACTCGATCATCAGTCTATCATCTGGCTGGAAACCTCTGAAATTCTAGCTTCAACTGGCTCCCCACCCAATATCCCAATATATATGGACCATATAGATACCCCATCATACCCCAAGCGCTCCTAAATTTGCTCCCACTGGATAGTCATTCCGCCCATTCTTGGAGCCTCTTCGACATTGGGTTCCAGTGCTCTGTGCAGAATCTTTACGGATTCATCTGTCAGAGCATTTCCGCGCAGATCCAAAGACTGCCTGAGGGTGAAATCAAATAAAAGCAACCAATATTGGATAGGTTGGATATTGGATAGGTTGGAAGGAACTATATTGGAAGGATGTTCGAAATAGATTGGAACTATATGATCCTATATGGAAATCGTATGAAGCAACTTTCATCTTGATTTTGTGAATCGAAATACGTGGGCTCCGGCACAACCTCGTCGCGAAAGGTTGGCCAAGTGATGCCAAGTGATGCCAAGTGGCAAGGTGGGAAATTCTCTCAACATCGCTGCCAAGCTCTTGATCCCAGCGTCAGAGAAGTTTTTATTTCGTAGGTCACATCGCAAAGCATCAGGACTGAGACCATCCACGAAGATGTTCCTCACGTGGGACAGTGCAAAGCGCAGATCGTCACGTTTGATTCAGGCGATTCTCCGCGTTTCTGTGCACATCAGTCAGCACGTTCAAATGTTCAATGGTTTTTACCCTCTGGTAATTTAACATAGCTATTGAAAATGGCCATAGAAATAGTTGATTTACCCATTAAAAATGGTGATTTCACATAGTTGTTTGTATGTTTAGCAGAGGGTAATCTGAAAATGGCCATGTCATTGGGCCCAGCCATGGCGTTTCCAAGTTCATGCTAAGCAGCTTTGCCAAGGCAGTCTCCAGCCTGAAAATTGGCGATAGGAAAATGGTGATATTGGAATTGGGGTACACATGGGTACACTATTTTCAGACAAACCCATCTATCAGTCTATCATTGAAAAAAAAAACGTTAAATATCGTACCCCATCTATTTTCGGACAAACTCATCTATCATCACTGAGAAAGTCTGGTACTTTCGGATGTCGGCGCCTGTACAACATCTCGGGTGTGGCCTCATTTGCCGCCAATGAGAATTCCAGCAACGTTGAATTCTCAATGGCAGCATCTGTCAGGACTCCACATTCTGCCATAGGGATCTCCTGAGGTCCGAAAAGGCGTTTCACGCGATTTCCGAAATCACCCAGGTTCCTTAAAGTGATTAAAGTGCCAATAGAAACATGTGGACATCAAAATAAAAGCCAATAGAAACCAAGAAACTATATATATATGATATTAATATGATATAATAATGTATACATATATATATATTATTTATTTATTTATTTATTTATTTATGTATGTATTTATTTATTTAATTTATTTATTTATTTATACGTGTACACCTCACTGGGAGAATGGTATGCAGCTGTGTTGCATTGCGGCGGAGGTTTGCCATCTTCAGGCTCTTTGCATGTCGTAGCCATGGAGCCAAGCTCTTTGCTGCTGCACCCAGACGACAAGCACCGAGACCCAAGCGCTGCAGAGAGACCAAGTTGAGCCAAGGCACCTGGAACAGCAGTCATCCAAACAGTCGGTGCACGAACCTGCCATCCAAAATCATCCAAACATGCACAATTTTTAATAAAAAGGGGCGTTCTTCAAGAGAATACGCACTGGACAGCTAGGACCATGAGGCTCCCTACAATTCCACAGAAATAACTGATGAAGCTGGCAAGAGCTGATTCTTAGTTTGCAGATTCAGCTGGATTCAGCTGAGTTGCCAGTGTGTCTAGTGCTTCTGGTCCCAACTCGTTTCCGGTCAGCCTAAGTTTGTCCAGTGTTGCTAATCCAAGAGAATTCAGAACTGTGGAGGTCTTGTCTATGACCTGCGCACGTTGGAAAAAAGGATACCAGTATTCATGTCTATATGTCTTTGTATATGTATGTATATATATATATACATACCCCTGTATACGCATATGTATGTCTGATTATGTATTCACACTATACTAACTATACATAATATGTATATCTGAGAGATTGTGAAGGTGCACATCTACATCAACATCCAAAAATATTCTTTGGCATTCATTATATAATATAATGGGCAAAAAGACAATTACTGGATCGTCATTTAAAAAAAAACGAATTTGCTCCGCAGGCCACTTTTGCCTCACAAACCTGGCTTGCCCGTTCACGTTCCTTCAGGACGTGTCAGGACTTTGGCAGGGATTGCGCCTCAAATCCTGCATCCTCCACGGCGCTGACAGCAGCTTCAACCCCCGGGAAGCCAGCATTCACCCAGACTTCGGCAAGGCCAGGGCCTTGCAGCCCCCCAGTGGGTCCGGAACTTCCCAGGGTCACGGTAGCTGAAGCCACACCGTTCACACCTTCCAAAGCTCGTGCTACGGTTTGAGTACAACTGCCACAAGTCATGCCATGGACTCGAAGGACAACGCAGGTGTCAGCTTGCAAACAAGGAGTCACGCGGATGTCTCGGGAACGACGTCTTAGATCTGATCCATGACTACAGCACAGGGAGGGTCCAGACAAATTTGACTTTCGGCTATGCCCAAAGATTGCATGACCTACTCCCAAACCCAAAACAACTGCAGCAAAGATTTCCACACAAAATGTCATGGCTGCTAGCATCACAAGATAGGCCAGGGTCATTCGGAAGCAGTACAAGGCTGCTTGAAGAAACCTTGACAGCTTGGTGTTTGTTGGATGAATGGCAATGGTAGCAACAAGTTCTACCAGTGCACCCAGGGTGAATACGCCCAGCGTTCCCAACCAGAACTTCCAGCGAGTATTCAGCACCCAGCTCTGAAAGAAGAGAATTACGCATGGCTTCGTTTTGCTGCCTGTGATGCCATAGGCCACAAATCCTTGCATGATCATGTCTGAAGCAGCTGACTCATCGCAAAAGTCCCATCCCGTAAACGCCGGACATGTGAGTGTACAGGTGGGACACATCTCTGAATGGTTGCTCCAAGGAGTACCATCTGGATGCACGCATTTTGCTGTGCTGAGCGTGCAAGCAGGCGGAAGCATCATGCATTGCATCCAGCAGTATGCTTGGCCTTCCGGACATAGGTGAGTTGGATCGGCAACCGCAGCCTCTGCAACACCACAGCCTATGCCAGTGGAGGAAGAAAGAGATGTCATAGCACGGTGCCACCATTCTCCAAAGGTCCTCTGTTTTGCCAAAGCTGGGTCAAAGTCTGTTGTCTTCACAGCATCCTCTGGTAGCCTTGACATGATGCCATACCAGGCACGCTGGCCGCTCGGAAGGTGCAGTTCATGTGGCAAGGGACGGGCCGGCCAAGGCAACCACTTGGCTGCTTCGCCCACCAGAAAGGCGATGGAGTCCTCTGGGAGGTCGATGGCTTCCAGCGTCTCCCGTTGAATCACAAGGCCACTGGGCGTGGCTTTCGGGGCGGTGGAAGGCGTGGCTTTCGAGTACAGAGGTGATGCAAAGGCCAGCAGCAAACCAGCATCAGTGTGAAGATCAAGACTTGCACGTCCATCACTATCATCCAAACCATCTCTGGAGGTGTACATGTGGAAGTGCTCCAAATGGGTGGCACTTGAGACTGCGTCAAGGAGGCTCATGTATGGATTGCCAGATTCGTGTCTGAAAACAACCTTGTTGTCATGATTGCCAGCTAATCCCCAAACTCTTATGACCTCCATAAGTGTCATATGGACCATAGTCCGCAACACATCAGCCTTCTGTTCAAATTCTGGACATCCCACTTGCATAGGACGAAGGGTATGACCGTGAGTCTCAGCAGCGGCGGTGCGCCTTTGCGCCCCATCTGCCAACAAGCGGTCTTTGAACTGAGCTGGTGCGGTGCTTTGCGCAAAGCAGGTAGACATTGCATGAAGTGCAGCTCGTCTTGCATCTGCAAAACCAGGGACGCCGGGCACAAGCAAAATCCCATCCGTTGCAAAAGCGTTCAGCACGGTTTCTGGCTGAGCTTGTAGTTCAAGGTAGGGAATGATTGGAAGCGAAGTTGATGAAGCAAAAGCTACCCGAAGGCAGCAAAGGGCAAGGCCCATCAAAGCCATTGCATCTGCAAAGAAAATGGGTTTTACGTGTCCTAGCAGATTCATCAGTTGGCTATTATGTGCAAAAGATCTACGACATCTTGAACCGTTGCCATTAAGGTGCTGCTGTCACTTGGAGATTTCTTGCATTGTGTTGGACCGTTTGGGCCAGAACCTCCCGCTTGATCCAAGGGAAACTGCCTATATGAACTGACTATGAAATCTCAAGAGCAACATGCCATGCACTCCATGGACCGATGGGAGACTTGTAAAGTACCTTCCGGCCCAGTGAAGCCCCAGTTAAAGCAGGCCAAGTAACTGCAATTCCTGAAGACTTTCTGGCAAGATGTTGCAAAGCTCTTTCAATGCAAGCAGCGTCAAACTGCAGTCCGAAAAGTTCACCTAGCTCATGAGAGCGACATGACTGTCAAATGAAGATAATACCATATTATATATATATAGTATGTAAAATTCTGTGTATATATATATTGTATGTATATATATATATTTATTATGTGTATATTATATATATATTATGTATATATATTATGTGTATATGTATGTATATATATATATATACATATTATGTGTATATATATATATACATATTATGTGATATATATATATAAAGTATATATATATATTATGTATATATATATGTGTGTATATTATGTATATATATATATGTATGTATGTATATTATGTATATATATATATATATACATATATATTATGTACATATATATATATATATTATGTATATATATATATATTAAATTATATATATTATGTGTATATACATATATATTATGTATATATTATGTGTAAATTGTGTATATATTATGTGTATATATATATTATGTATATATATATATTATGTATATATATATTATGTATATATATAATGTATCTATATATTATGTGTATATATATATTATGTATATATATAATGTATCTATATATTATGTATATATATATATATTATGTATATATATATTTATATATATATATTTATATATATATTATATTATGTATATATATATATTATATTATGTATATATTATGTATATATTATGTGTATATATATATAGTATGTATATATATTATGTGTATATATATATTATGTCTATATATATAGATATATATTATGTATATATATATATATTATGTCATGTAATGCCTATATATATATATTATAACACATATAGCCATGCATATCAGAAAATATAATGAAATATAATAAATATACATAGTTACATGGTACCAGTATCTATTTGTCACTCTTTGCCTTTGCATCGGCTGTCTGGTTGTCTTTGACTATTTCATCATGCCAAGTCTCGGAAAGAAGTGGCGCTCTCAAGCCCCCAGAGCTGGTTGAAAGCTGCCTCAGCACCTGCCATTCAGCATGGAAATGGCCCAGCACCACGCCGCGAAGCTGCAAACGTCCTGTCGTCACAAAAGGAGCTTTGAAATTCGCAGAGTTATTAGTAATTATTAGGTGAAAGGTGTTGAATGTGAACCCTTGTTGGATCACTCAAGGGGTTTTGAACTCCACAGGAGTGCCAGGGGATTTGCAGACACGACAACATCATCGACCATGTCAGCTGTCCTTCGGTGGACAGCCGGCTCTGCACCAACTGCAGCAGTTCATCCTTTGTCAAGGGCTTCTTCCGGCCCATGGGACATGGAACAAGTTCAGCAGTTCGGCCAGGGAACCGGGGTCTGGACAGAATCATCCAATGATCATAACATGCGTGTCATGATGGTCTGGATGTCTTGAGATCGCGAAAGCTCTAGAATCTTTGGGGGAAAAAGATCATGCTACACTGGTTCAATACTTGAAGTTTGAGTTGCGGAATACTACTTGAAGCTTAAACTGCGGAAGGTAACCACCTGCACTGATGAGTCTGTTGATGTCCAAGCACTGCTCCCCTCATGAGTCCGTCCGCTTTTGATCCCGTCAAGATGACAGCAAGGTTTCAAGCTGTGCAGAGCAAAACTGGGAGTTCCACCTGTTGAGCTCCCTGAGCTCCCTCCAACAGTAACCAAGGCACATAAAAACGCCACAGGATAGCGCATACAGTGCATACATCACAAAGGAATTTCTGCTCCACGACTCCACGAAACCATCTTGAGAGGCCAAGTGATCCTCATGCAGAAATTCAGCGTCCAGTCCTGCCGGGGCTGTCCTTGCACACGCGTCACGAAGGCGTTGCATATTTCGATAGGGAGTGATCCATGGAGGCAGAAAGGCCTTCACGTTGCACAGCCCTGGAATCAGATCGGAGCGGATCTCTTTTTCTTGTGTTTCACACCAAGGAAACACCACTGGGACTCCATGATGCAAAAACCTGAAGTATGACTCGTTTGACAGTGAAGTGGAGTTGCTCTCTTTATACACTTCCAGGACGACAGTATCTGTGTAGGGAGGCCATTGACCATCCCAAACCCCGAGGGCAGCTAAGAAGACCAGGATGGTCGTATCGTGCGTGGCCCACATCGCCAGCAATGGGGAACCTTGTGTGGCCTGCATGATCATGAAATGCTCCAGCTCAATAAGGACGGGGGCTGCAAGCAAATGAAGAGCTTCTGGGTCCCTCATGTAGTGTTCTTGGTACATTTTCAAGGAGACTCTCAAAGCCTCTTTGAACAAAGGGCTGCCGGGCTGCAACAACTGTGGCAAGTGAAGTGTATGCTGTCCCGAACATGTCGCCACAAGCAAGCAGTCTTTGAAGCTGGGTTGGAAATCCGTGCCAGAAGCCTGCTTCCAGCGTCTTGCGAAGTCCTGAGTGAACCAGATTTGATTGATTGAACCTGTTCCTTCTCTCCTTCTTGCAAGCAGCTAGATAGTATCTGCCGATCCCTGCTGAGCAGGGAACGCGTCAGGGAAGAGAGGTTGCAACCACCACCACCATCACCACAACCGCAAAGACGGCCACCACGGCCACCAGCAGCAAAAACAACAACAACAACAACAACAACAACAACCACAACCACAACCACAACAACCACAACCACAACAACAACCACAACAACCACAACCACAACCCTTAAAGCATTGCCTGTGCGCGAAGCTCCACAATAACTACTAACAACTATACTTCAAAAAGCAGCATTCCAAGAGTTATCATGTTTTTTGTTCAAGTGGTCGCTTCCCTTAAGCTACTTGAGAGCAGGCGGAGGCGGACGAAAGGTAGTGTAGTGGGAGAGGAGTGGTGTCAAAATGCTGCGCCCCTAAGATGATACACCAAAAACGTTTTTGTGCAGTCTAAGATGATTTTATCCAGAGCATGACTGCATGATACGGTGTCTTGTGCAGCGTGAAATGATGCACGAAAAGGGGTTTATTTAAAACCCCTTTTTAAGACCCCTTGCAGCAACTGTTATTGAGGCTGAAGCATACCAATTATGCTGGACTACAGGGACATCTCCCTCATGGAAAGTGTGCCTCTAATGTGGGGGCCCGTGACCGCGTCACCCGTGGGAATTGAACCCATGACCATTTTCGGGGGGGGGAGGGGGCCCCCCCCCCCTTATAATTGATATCCAATACATAACGGCGAGAATTCCATGAATTCCGTGGGCTGGCCCCCCAATACCCCCCTAAGCTTGTGCTGAAGCACGGAGAACTCAGGTAGCTGACGCTACCTTTCGTGACATGTTACGAATATGTTAACAGCTAGCTTCTGGAAAGCGCCGGGTGATCAGATTTGGGCCAGACTTGTAGTGTCTGGCGTGACGTGCGAGCCCAGCACGAGGACAATGTTGGTTCAGGTCCCAAGGATCGCTGGTCACTGGTCGTGAGAAGAGGCGGACACCTGGGATTGGGATGAATGGTTTATGATCATCCCACCATCTGATCATACCATGGGAATTCCAGAAAGACAAGGGCAATTCCTTATACCAACCCCAAACGGCCCTAGACCATTCCCTAGTTGGAACTGACGCCGGAAGGGACAGTCACCAAATGTGTCAACATTGTAAGCCAACATAAAAGAAGCAAAACACTGCTACCAAACAGCGGAGATAGCTTGAAGCAAAAGGGACAAAGCCTAACTTAACCACAGATTCTACCAGCACACTCTCAGAAAACCTGGCCAGACATATGCAAGCTTCTCCGACACAAAAACACATCCAATTAATTCAAATTAATCATATCTAATCTAGGTTTACTCTGTACGATATAATTAATTACATTCGAAAGGTCCGGCCACATGTTTCCTTTGCAGGAAAGTCTATCACCATCACCCCTATGTTTATATAGTTTGTGTTCAATGGGTTGAAACGAGAAAAAAAATGCACAACACCTAGAAATTCAGTGGCAGTGCGTGCAGGACCCACACGAAAGCGATTTCACTAATGGTTCGGTATGTTGAGTCGCACAAGACAGGGTATACAAAAATAAACCAACAGTTGTTTAACAACTGTTTGTATACATACTATACATTTACAAGAGGAGTAGCAATTGCAGTAGCGGCAACTTCTTGGGAAAAAGATATGTGCCAAACAAGGTCCTAAGACCAGGTCAGTATAGTCCAGAATGCCTTTTCCATCCTTCTCCACCGGTGCTGAGACATTCAAGGAAAAGCGATGCAACTAAACCACTTGAAGCCCAAGGATGCCCCAAGATGTGCTGGGTTCAGCTCATTATCTTATTGCTACTTCGCCGGCCAGAACATAGAAGAAAGACTTTGAAGATGTTTGAAGTATGTATAGTAGCATCTCAACAGCGTGAACTACCAGGAACTACCTCATATTTTTTCATCCAAAGCCTGACCAAATTTAAGCCTGGCATTTCGAGGCGCAGGGGAACTTTCTGGCTGATGTGGCTATGTAATATGACATTGCACGTCATTGCACAGATTTGGCCCAGCCCGGCCTGGAGTATCACCAAACAGTTCCCGCTGCATCAAGAAAAGCGTGGCTTCTGTGCGCAATTTGCCAGTGGAATACAGCCGTGTTGTGTTCCTTGGTGGAAAAACGGCACAGTGCAGCAAAATGTCGCTACATGTTTGCATATATTTATCTACAATTACACTGCGTCCTACCATGTGCAAAACATTGCGAGCTTGACCACCTATCGCATGATTTTGGAGGGAGCATTGCAAATCATGTGCTTGTCATGTGCTTGTGGTTCAAACCTGGTGAACATCCGAAGATGTTAAGATGTTGGTCAAAACCCTAGTACCGTACCAAAGTCATAGCTGGTGAATGGATGGGATTCCCCCAGTCATATGGTCAATCCATAGCTTTTGATCCATCCCCTCAACTTGGAAGATCTTCCAGAAGATCTTCCAGAAGATCCGCCCTTGGCGCCAAGCGCCAAGCGTCCTGCTTGGCATGGCCGGAAGTCGCGGGAAATATCGCCGCACTTCCGCGGCCAGCGCCTTGGTCTGCGGAATCGCCGCATCCAGCAGCACTCCCAGGCCGCAGCCACTCAAGCCCGAGGTGTAGCCCGAGCCCGGCAGTTGCACCTCCTGCAAAGTGTTAAATGATAAGATGATATATGTCATAGACAGTCTGTGATATGTGTGATATGTGATATGTGTGATATATGTGATGTGTGTGATGCGTGTGTGTGTGTGATATATGAATGTGATATATCATATATCTGATACTGTATATAGTGTATGCGATATATGCGAAATGTGATATATGTGATGTACATAAATCGTTGCAGAATGCACTCAATATGTCCAACTTAAAGCCTTGCAACAGAGGCTGCAACCAAGCTGCTCTGAGAGGATATGCATCCAGAACTTCACGCACCAGTGGCAGTGGCTCGGAGGGAGAAAGGCCAGTGAAAGAAACCAAGGTTTGAACGGAGCAGTTCTTGAACGCTTGCCTGGCATTGGGGAAAGAATTGAAAGAATGTGATCAAGTCGATCAACTCAAGTTGAGGCGGAGGAACCAGTAGGGCTAGCAGCCAGTTTTTGGGGGGACCATTTGGGAGCTTTAGAGATAAGCCAGGGGAAGCCTGCGTGAACGTTGGATCGAGATACCTCATTGGCTTGAAGCAGGGCTTGTCCGATGACAGATCTCGAGCACCATGGCGAAAAACCAGCTGGATACCACTCAACTGGAGCTTTGCCTCCTGGCAGGTGCCGTTGTTTATACGGTAACTGGCAATGGGTAAGTAGAGGTTTTAGAAATGAAGCAAAAAATGTAGAGGTCAAGCAAACTCTGATAGGACTAATGATTAGACGCGTTTAGAAGCAACATTTCAAGATTTGTCTTCCGTTGAAGACCGTCCTGCAGAATATGCGCGGGCGGCGCTTCTGGGAAACCCGATTGCTGCGCTTGAGGAGCTTTGGCGCAGTAGCCTTTGAACGGCAGTCGCTGCGCATCCTCAAAGGTGCTCGCAAGGGCCCCAGCGAAGAAAAGCAAAACCCTCAGCATCTTGAAACGAAATGGCTCACCCCTAAGCCAAATCCCCTCCTTAAGAGCCAACGGCTGTGAGAGGAAAAGCTCTCTGTCTGCACAAAATAATCTGGGTGTCCATGCCATGAGGTATCTCCTTCATCTGTTTCTCAGGCAGCTGAAAACGACAAATCACAAGATCTTGAAGCCAGCTAAGAGATGTTTGATGCGTTGACATGTCCTTTTCGAGCAGGTTGACGTTCGGGCATCAGCTTCAGCAGTGCCGCTGAAGTCAACTCACCCTCGCAGAATCGCCCCCAAACTGTTGCTATCTCTCTGTCCTCCCAGGGTGCTAAAGGTTCACGCAAGCTTAACTTGCGGGTGTTGTGCATGAGAAGATGATGAAAAGATATGAAAAGCTTCAAGCCACAATTGTATACAATTGTATCATTGTATCATATTGTATCATGGCTTGGGCTGCTGAAACATATTTAAAGCTTGACAGCAAGTCCTCCAAATGTCGCCATGTTCATCAGTTTAACCTAAGGCTTCAGAAAATACCTTCATGGGAACATAATTTTTGACATGCTCCAAATGTCTTCTATTGGGAAATTCTGGGATCTGATCTTTTTGTATACTCGAAATGGTTCAAAGAACATCCAAAAGTCAAGTGCCACTGAAACATCGAACGCCAAGCAGCATGGGGCCAGTTGTGATGGGCCAGCGAAATCTCGTCGGTCTCATCTCATCTCGTCTCGTGATCAGCTGGTGGTTCCTGAAGAAAACAGCCATGGTTCTTTTCGATGTCTTTCAGAGGGTGGTGAAAAGCTGTCAAAAACACTTAAGTATAATTTGGTTTGCAAAAGATATAGACAGATACAGTGCACTTGAATAACTGATTCATGCTCTTTGTGGATCCTCAAATATCAAAGTTGGACCTTCCTAAACTGTCCAATTCGGTGCTGGCACAATAAGTTTGAGTCAATCCCATCTAGTCATATCAAGCCCATACATGTATGATATGTCATAATATCACAATGTCCATTTGTTCCATACAGTATCTATACATAAATTGTCGCGTTTGGCTACCCAGCATTTCGACCCCTTCACCGTGAGCCTTCGCTGGTGTTTGCCGGGTCAAAGCTTGGCCACTTTGGACAGCAAGCCGTTATGCCATAGATCTCAGACTCCTGGAGTGACTCCAAGGGAATCCAAGGCTGAGCGGATCACTTAGGAACCCCCAGATTCGGATCACTTAGATCTAACTTAGAACCCTAGGATCACTTCGAACCATTGGAATAACTTGCCTTCGAAAAATCCAAGGCAGATTTCCAGATTTCAAGGAAGATATTGAATGATACTGATGTCAGTTTTGATGTCGATATTGATGGCACCCATGGTAGTGAAATCCTTGCAATTGTCGCGCAAAATTGGCATTCTCCTCATAGGCTAGGCTTTTCACACCAGAATCGCAACGCTCCGTCTTGAAGCGCTCACGAGGGTCAAAGCAGTCAAGCTCCTACGAGAAGTCATACTGTGGCTTGGTCCAAAAATTGGGTACCCAAAAAAAACCTGATGCCACAGGCTGCCACAGTGGCTCCTCCCTTGAAACTACATTATAAATTGCCATTTTGGGATACCAATTTTCGCCATTCGAATTCATAAAACAATCTTCCAATCCATATCCCAATTGCTATTAGCCGCTTAGCCATGGTACCCAAAAATATCAAAAAAAGATCCCAGTATATCCCAGTAAATGGCCATGACCATAGGATTTCTGGACACCCATGGTATACCACACCCAGCGGACCCAGCGCTCAGAAGCTGCCGCTCCGGCTTCGCCAATGGTCGCTTGGCAAGCTCATCCATCAAGGCGGTGAACGCATCCTGGGAAGGTTGGAAATTAGTGTTTAATGGTGTATAGTTTGGGTTGGAAAAATACTAAGAATCCATACTAAACACTATTGAACACTATTAAACAGAGTCTAATAGTGTATAATAGTGTAGTGTTTAATATGGATTATTAGTATGGACAGTATGGATCTGTGAAACACTAGAGGTACTGTGAGAACTAGTATCATCTGTTAGTATGGATCATTCAAACGTCTTTGGGACTTGGATCCTTGGATCTTTCAAGGATGTTCCAAGGATGTTTCGAGGATGTTCCAAGCTGCCAGCTGGCTGGCTACCGGAGAAGTCGTATCGCAGCAACGGGACCTCTGATCCCATGACGATGATCCAATGATCCAATCGAGACATTCACAGACATTCACTCAACCCTACTGTTGATGGAAGAAATCCTGCACCACCTTGGATGGTTGAAACCCTATAAATAATGGGATAAACCACCTATCAACTGGTGTAGGATTTCTTCCATCCACAGTAGGAACATCATGGAACATCCCACCATCGGATGCCTCAGGTACCAACCGCCTTTGCAAGGCGCTCTTGCTTGCGGTGGATTTCCGCAACATCAAGCCTGGCGTTGGCAAAAAAAAGGCTGTGCGAAGCCAAAGTCCAGCGTTGAGCCTGAGCAAAGCTGGGACTAGCCGCTTGGCCCAGTCAGATAAAGCCTGGAGCCGGGGTGAGTCTTGAATTTCAGCAGAGAAGGCCGATACTTTGAGACTCTCAGTTCTGTCTGAAAGTACTTGGCCCAAACTTAACAATGTTTAACATATAGCTATTTGATGCTGCAGGTTCTGCTTCGTTCTTAGTTTGTTTCTTTGCAACTTGACAGGAAATTATTTGTAGGAACCAAGCAACCATGAATGCATAAACATCCCGGCGGATGGGAAACCGCGTGAGCGTTTTGATTGTTTGCTTCCAGGAGAGTCACAATCACCTGTAATTTACAATATAAAATGCTCTTCCGAACTCTTTGGATAACTGAATTTTGGTTTAAAAAAGTGGATGCAAAATCTATTGATTTTTGACAAATCCAGGTAAACATCATGTGCATCAGACGTGGATGCTCAGATTTTGTTTAACACTCTTCGCCGGCTCAGCGATCCATCAGTGTGGAAGCTGTCTTCGACAGCAAGTTGCCAGTATGGCACTCATAACGCCACTGCCAGCAACGCAGGTATAGCATGACATCTCAGCAGCGTAGCAACATGTCACGTAGTAAGCGATCCCAGAGATCTTAGCAACATGGCAGTATATCATGTACGAAGTACAAGGAACGTTAGCATGCCCCCCCACCCCACCCAACCCCAACCCCAATCCACACCAGAGATCTCAGCAGCGTAGCAACATGTCACGTAGTAAGCGATCCCAGAGATCTTAGCAACATGGCAATATATCATGTACGAAGTACAAGGAACGTTAACATGCCCCCCCACCCCACCCCACCCCAACCCCAAGACAAAGAGCAATACTCAAAAAAGAAGCAAAACGCACGTACGGTTTTCCAGCCGTAGGCATAAACATGTTGAGATAGGTCCGTTTCAGTGCAAGTGCTTATATCTTGACAGGAATTGAGAACTTCAGTGCCAAGCTTGTTGAAACATGTAGAGTTATGTAGCACATTTATCAAACTATGTGACTATGTGCTCAATTTGTTCAAGCCTCTGTCGCAGGATCGAAGGGCAGTTCAATGCTAAATCCGCGCCAGTCCACCTGGCCTAGCAGCTTCAGAGGGGACAACATCTGGGAGCAAACCGCACAGCCAGACGCTGCCTGGAAAGGGAAAGCTCCATTCAACCGGCGGCCCGTGGTTTCTGTACCTTAAGCGCAATCAGGAACCAGCATGTTCTGGTTGGTGGTTGACCTACCCCTCTGAAAAATGATGGAGTTCGTCAGTTGGGATGATGACATTCCCAATATATTAGGGAAAATAGAAAAATGTATGTTCCAAACCACCAATCAGTGTTCATGTATTTTGGATCTCAGCAACTGAACACAAGATCTAACAAGATGAGATCTCCCCCTCTGAAGCCGCCACCAGCTTCCACCAGGAAATAGTATGACCACTGGAAGACAGCCCGCTAAAACCTCGGCTGATGGAGTCTTCTCATTTGATTTCTTGATATTTCTTGATATTTCTTGCAATATGTGGCCCTAACTTTAAAGACTTAGGGCCAGCACAGCGTGAAAGAGCCGCATGCGGAAAGTATTGTCCTTGCGAGGGCTCGGATCATCACTCCAGAGCTATCCAGAAGGAAGTCGGGGCCGAAGCGAAGGTATTCGCGTTCACCACAACTGACAATAGTGATCTAGCCATCAGAAAAACGTGTTCCTAATGATAAAACATGATAAAACGGACATGAATGAATAGAATCGATCAGAAGTAGACTTAGACTATGCAGAGATGTTCCCCTACCCAATCCAAAACCCTGGTGGAATGTATTGGATCTCACTTGGGGTTCCATATGGAGAACTGCCAACGTTCGCTGTTTAGATCCTATGTTTTGCTGGTTGAGTCCAAATGTGTGATACTTAAATATACTCAAATCATCGGGAAATCACAATGAGTGGTGGTTCAATCACCTGTTCCCCACCTTCCAGGTGAGGGTCTCTAGATTTGAATGAAAGGTGCGACTCTCTTCCTTCTTCCTTCTTCCTTCTTGCTTCTTGATTCTTGCTTCTTCCTGATTTTTCCTCCTCCCGCCAACTCGTCGTCGTCACTGTTTGCACCAAGGGACCCGGATCTCACAGCAAGTGCCAGCTCAAGTGGAGCAATCTCGCTCCAGAAGCACATGGCGAGCTGAAGATCAGTCTGGGCACTGACGGACCCGAACACATGCCAGAAAGAATCTCAGAATTTATGTCAGATAGCCAGAAAGGATGGCAGATAGAATGTCAGAATAGATGCCAAATAGAATGTCAGATAGAATCTCAGAGTATATGCCAGAAAGATCGAATGTCAGAACAGAACTACATGCCAGAATATAATTCCAGATGATATGTCAGAAACTGTGTCAGAATAATGTGTCAGGGTGGGGGATCACTCAAAGCAAAGTAATTGCTTGGAAAGTCCCTGGGTCTGCAGACTCCAGGCAATACAGGGCAGAAGAGAGCACGTCGAATCCTTGGAAAGCATCATGGATTTTCAGGAGAAGATATGGGAAAATCGCAACATTTCTTCAGGTTTTTGGATCCATCCATTTTTTCCAAAGAAAAAGATAATAATTTTCGGGGAATGATATTATCTAATATAGAATCCAATACCCCTCCAAATTTATGGAAACTAACTGTTTTACATTGTTTTACCCTTTTACCCATCCATTTTTGGGGAGGATCATTTTGAAGCTCTCAGCAGCCAAGGTCCAAGACTTTCCGACTACATTTTTGCCGGCCAGAAAATCGATGACAGTCAATGGGGATAATCAATCCTAGTCTGTTGTGATCATAAATAAATGATAATAAATGATCAGTAATATTCATTTAATCTTAATCATGAAAATAACTGATAAATAAATGAATTAATATTAAATGAATATTACTGGTCATCATAAGCAAGTGTACCGATCCGGCGACATTCCGGAGCTGCCAGTGAACCCGCGGGGTGGAGTCCCTTCTGTTACGGTTGAAAATCTGGGTCCGTTGCTGGTGCGCCCATTCAGGTCCCATTGGAGTGCTGTGGCACCTCAATGCGTCACGAAAGGCGCACGGCTTACCCTTGATTTCAGCTCGAAGGCAAGGCACGTGCTGCACACCGGAGACGTGTTTCCTGTCGAGAGTGTCAGTGTCTTGTCGTTCAACTGTCAGGGATCATGTGCATGAAATTTTATAGAAAGCATAGTCAGAAGCATAGCATTACGAGTGCAAGACCTTGCCTCTCCGATCGCGCTTGGACACCACAAATAGGTGCGGCATCGTGTGCTGGCAAAGACCAGAGATTTCATGTAAAGCCAACATTTGGATTTCGCGACTCGCACAAGAATGACATAAGACCGGCGTGGAAAGATTTCATCACGTTCAAAAAGCGCATACCGGGAATACAATGGGAACAAGAAATATGGTTTAGTCCGAATTTTAAATAAAATTTCTGTGATTAAATGGAAAAATGCACAATATGTTCATACGCGGATGTCTAAAAGCGGAGGGGGATTGAATTTAGGGAATACCCCATTTTCAGACACACCCATACGAAATTCTCCACTGTCACGAATAAAGAGGGGGCCCCACAGCCTGCCATCGTTGAAGTTCTTCTACCACTTCCTTGCGGAAGGGTCTCCCGCCAATGCCATCAGCAGTAAACAACAGCAGGTCCTGCAGGCACTCTGTGCCCGGTCGAGTAGAACTACCCCAAGTGGTTGTCATAAGCAAGAATTGAAAGATTGAGGGATAAAGATTGAGAACTGGGATTATTCTCTGGAATTCTATGGATTTTTGATCTTTTCAATCTTTTCCATTCTTTTCCTATCACTTTTTTGGGGGACAATCGACTCTCCTTGGAGCTAAATTCCCACCGGCTCGGCACCTCAACACACGTCATCCAGGTCAATCTCTGGGACCCAAGAATTCATGGGCCAAAGATGTGGCAGACCCTGCCTGAAACTGCCCTCTGGAAAATTTCTTACACTTTGCGAACTGGAAAATCACTATGTTTAAAGTTTGTGTTGAACTAAATGGGCAATTTTCCATGGCAAACTGCTAGATTTGGAGGATATTTATGGAAAAAGTTATCATTGATGATCTTGCCCGCAAACGTTGCCAAAAAAATCGGAGCATCAGAGGTTTTCAGACAAAAAGCTCCGGACCGGAAGGTCATCGGTGACCGGTGCCGGAGTGATGAGGGGCCCCAGCCTGTTCAGCTTTGATCAGTGGGTTTGGCTGAAAATGGGGTACCTGAAAATCCACTGGTTAGTCATCATATTTAATGGCTCTTTGGGGTTATAACCCATTTATCCCTTTTCAAACAGAGCCACATCAATCAGACTCCATCAAAGCTGAAGCCTGTTGATCGGCAAAGAAATCACACGAATTCAATGAAGGCATGCGTCATTGACAGTGACACCCACAGGATTAAGAGCTCCACCCTGGCCCGCAGGGTGTTGGTCCATAGTGCAGCAGCAGTGATTGCTTCTGGAGGTCTTGCGGCATGTTGCCTCCAAACTCATGGTGGCGAAAACCAAACTAAAAGGGAAACTTGGAGGTCATGGTGCATGTGATGTTTTTTTTCCTCGTGGCAGTACGCTTCCAGTCTGAAAGAGATATATAGATATCACCCATCACCCGTCCTACGGTGTCACTTCCAATGAAAAGGTGGCGGTGCGCGGTGGATTCATTGTAGTACCTGTCCAGCATCACTCAGCCCGAACTCAGGAAGTATCCAGCTGCTCCAGTTTGCGCACTCTAGCAGCGGGAGGATGTGAGTGAGTGGACGCTGATCACCACATCGAACCTTACACAACAAGAGAGATTATAGCTACCAAAAAAAATATAGAAAAGTGTTACCAGGATTATGTGGATGGTATTTTCCCAATATCTCTTCTATCTATTTTGGGGTTGCTATGAATCATGCGCTGCTGTGAAGTCTTCCTGTTCCACCGTGCATTTCTTCAGAAATGCTGATTTTGAACCATCACTACTTGCTGATGTTCATATCAACAGTCCGCGTGATTTCCTCATTGATCAGTCAGACACACCTCTTACAACATTGACATGATTCCCGCTCTGCAGTAAATAGAAAGGAGATGGATCCTAAGTAAGATCATTGGCCCCTGTTTTGGAGCTAAGGATCAAAACCTCGACAAGCTTTAAACTGTCAAACGAATTTCTTGGAACCTGCGGAAATGCAGCGCTAGGTCCCTTTTTTCCCGAGAGCGTCTGAGCGCAGGGTTCTTCCAATAATGGGGGTCTGTAAAACATCTTCTCATCTTCACATCTTCTCATCTTCACATCTTCTCCTCATCTTCTCATCTTCACATCTTCTCATCTTCACATCTTCTCGTCTTCACATCTTCTCATCTTCACATCTTCTCATCCTCACATCTTCTCATCTTCACATCTTCTCACATCTTCTCATCTTCACATCTTCTCACATCTTCTCACATCTTCTCACATCTTCTCACATCTTCTCACATCTTCTCACATCTTCTCACATCTTCTCACATCTTCTCACATCTTCTCACATCGTCTCACATCTTCTCACATCTTCTCACATCTTCTCACATCGTCTCACATCTTCTCACATCTTCTCACATCTTCTCATCCTCACATCTTCACATCCTCACATCTTCACATCTTCTCCTCTTGCCCTCTTGCCCTCTTGCCCCTCTTGCCCTCTCCTTCTTTTCTATTTCTCTTCTGAAGGCGGGGGCAGGGGCAGTGCCAACGAGACGGCACGAAACGCAACCCTTTCGCACGAAATGAGGTTCGATCGCCAAAAACTGAGGTAAAATTGCGATTTGAAGGTGTCCCGCGCAACCCTTACGCACGAAACGAGGTTTGATCGTCAAAAACTGACGTAAAATTGCGATTTTCGGGTTCCCGTTGCAACCCTTTCGCACGAAATGAGGGTCGATCGCCAAAAACTGAGGTAAAATTGCGATTTTTTCTGTATGTACAAAGCTTCTGTGTGCTGTGTGTCAAAGCTTCTGTGTGTAAAAGCATCTGTGTAAAAGCGTCTGTGTAAAAGCGTCTGCTTAAAAGCTTCTGTGTGCTCTGTGTAAAAGTGTCTGCGTGTAAAAGCTTCTGTGTGTAAAAGCGTCTGTGTGTAAAGGAGTCTGTGTGTAAAGGGCCTGTGTGTAAAAGCTTCTGTGTGTAAAAGCGTTTGTGCGTAAAAGGGTCTCTGTGTAAAAGCTTCTGTGTGTAAAAGCGTCTGTGTGTAAAAGCGTTTGTGTGTAAAAGGGTCTGTGTGTAAAAGCGTCTGTGTGTAAAAGCGCCTGTGTAAAAGCTTCTGTGTGTAAAAGCTTCTGTGTGTAAAAGCTTCTGCGTTTAAAATCTTCTGTGTGTAAAAGTGTCTCTGTGTAAAGTGGTCTGTGTGTAAAAGCCTTTGTGCGTAAAAGCTTCTGTGTGTAAAAGCTTCTGTGTTTAAAAGCTTCTGTGTGTAAAAGTGTCTGTGTGTAAAATGGTCTGTGTGTAAATACTTCTGTGTGTAAAAGCTTCTGTTTTAAAAGCTTCTGTGTGTAAAAGTGTCTGTGTGTAAATGGTCTGTGTGTAAAAGCTTCTGTGTGTAAAGCTTCTGTGTGTAAAAGGGTCTGTGTGTAAAGGGCTCTGTGTGTAAAAGGGTCGTATGCCTTTAAAACAATGCTGTCGACATCTTTCTTCTGTGTGTAAACGCCTTTATGTGTAAAAGCGTCTGTGTGTGTAAAACAATATGTGTGTAAAAGGGTCTGTGTGTTAAAGTGTCCGTGTGTAAAAGCGTCTGTGTGTAAAAGTTTTTGTGCGTGTAAAAGCGTCTCTGTGTGAATGCGTCTGTGTGTAAAAGTGTCTGTGTGTAAAAACTTCTGTGTGTAAAAGCGTCTCTGTATAAAAGCGTCTCTGTATAAAAGCGTCGCGTTTCTTCACATCCACGGAATGATGGTGCCGAGCTTTTTCCGCAATGTGTGTGGGAATTACCATAGTAAAATGAGATAACACATGTCGTTCGCAGCATCATGGTACCGAGCCTCCTGTGCATTTTTGTTGCTCACATTATATTTCTCCATGTTTTCTTTCACCCCCCTTTCATTTTCTCTCTCTCTCTCTCTCTCTCTCTCTGTCTCTCTCTCTCTCTCTCTGTCTCTCTCTCTCTCTCTGTCTCTCTCTCTCTCTCTCTCTCTCTCTCTCTCCTCCCTCTTTCTCTCTGTGGTTGCAAGACACGTTTCATCTGATGCCCTTTACCAAGTATCCTCTTCTTAATCAATCTTACTTTTTCACACCATATCCTTCCATCGCTCATATAAAATTCACCAACTATTCACCGACTATCTTTTACGACTACCATCCTCAGAGCTGCTTGAAAAACATCTTTTTCGCTCTCGGGCCAACCGTCGTCTAGTCCAACATGAGCATCTCAGTACTTCCACAATGCCTTGGACAAAGGATGAGGATGCAAACGTCCAAGAGTCGGTTCGTGTTGAAGCCAAGTCCAATACTCCTAATCCTTCCGAATTGGGGCTGCAGTTGGACTTGTTGATGGGGATAACGATGGTAATAACACCCATCCTCTCACTATGGTCATATATCCACTTATGGCTGGAACTGCACCCTCAAGTACTTCGTGTTGCGGCCACTGCTGGTAAGCAGACCGCAAAGAGCATTTGAGTTATCTAAGTATAGTTTACTTGTCAGGGTTCTTGCCGGCCTTTGTGTGGAAGTTGCTGAACATGTCTTCCACGATGTGGCGAATGTTGGCTATGCCTTTCAAGGATAAACTATGCTGGATCCTCCAGGATTGTCAGCTCCCCTGGCCTCTTATCCTTCACAGAGCTTCAGCATGCTTCAGCTGCGCTCGTTCAATCGCGGCACCACTACCAGCGGGAAAGGCGCCCAGCAGCCTTGACTGAGAACGCTACGCGTTTGCAAAAAACGCAGAGCTCTGAGTTCTGCAACACTGATCCAAACGTCAATTTGAAAGGGAAAGAAACATCAGTCCAAGATTTGGAAAATTTATTTCATTTTATTTCAGGGTTTCCCATGGTGTTCCCATGTGTTCCCAGTAGCCAAGTTGCTCAACTGTCTTTGGTCCCTTTCCAGACAAACCTTGAAGAAGCCCCACAACCAACGGCTCCACCTGAAGTCCATCGATGCAGACCTGGGACGTCAGAAGGAGGTCGCAGCGGTATCTGAAATCAACTTATGAAGGGAGAAAGCATAAAAACAGTCATAAACTATATATAAACTATATATAAACTATATATAAACTATATATAAACTATATATAAACTATATATAAACTATATAGCACACTTACAATTTAGATCAAACAGAAACATCATGAGACTAGCCAAACTATAGGACACTTGCAATTAGATCATACATCATATGACTAGCCACAACATCCCACAACACCGAAGCTGGGCACTCCAGGCCAGTGCCACTTTGCCTTCGAACTTTTGCAGCTCCGGGCCGGTCGCAAGGCCCACCTGCTGCCAATCATCCCCAGCGCCCACACCCACGAGAATCACGTTCTGAATGCCTGGCACGGCAACGCCGGGATGGAAAAAGGTGGTTTAAACGGTTTAAGGTGTAAAAAAGTCTGAAAACCATGGTAAGTATCACCAAAATCTGATGGTTGATCAGTCAGTTTATCATCATGTCCCCTACTAAAATTGGCAATTTGGGGATATACCCGATTTTCAGATATATACTATCTGGAATCTGGTGACAGACAGAGAAAGACCATGTACCTCCAGAATCGTCAAGTTCTTCTAGACGAGTTTAATCGAGGGTTCATAGTGTGTCCTTTGTTTGTTGAACCTACTGGGTTTTGCCCATAATCACGGACTTACATGTTTTATATGTCGCCCGTCTTACATACACACCAACACACCTGTTACAAATCTCAACCAAAAATCTACATTGGGTTTGCCAAAACATTGGGTAAATATGGGTAAATCAGCCATAATTGCGGCTTTACGCCAAAAATTCGTTGGAATTGGGGGCATCTATTTCAAACCCATTGAATGGCCAAAACGGTGAGAAGAAGAAATGTGGCAGAAGCGGTGCTTTGAGGTCTTTTGGACGATGATGCCACTATTGTACCAAATGCTTGTCCGCAGGGTTTCGACAACGATCAAATGTTCGAACCGACAATGGTATTTCAAGATCCAAAACGATCAACGGTGTAACAGACACCCATTTAGCCACAAATGGGATACCCTGAGTTGTCTTTTGTTGTTTTTTCATCGACAAAATACCCTCTGGTAAATTAACATAGACCCTGAAAATCACCATTTTTTAGAGGAAACTAATCTTCCAACCCCTATCCACCAGGGTCTATGTTAATTTAGTGGAGGGTATGATAAAATACTAAAATGATGAGACACCATGGGGTTCATGGGGTCCATGCATGTCGCCATGTTGCCGTTCCGGGCCTTTGTCAGCCTGGTGTACTCTGACCTGGGCCGTTTTATGGGCCAACATGGCCGGCACCAGGTGTCTGAGGCCAACACGGAGCCGAGGGAAGCATCAAAGCCTTGGCGAAAACCACTGTCTTTGGGCAGAACCATGAAGAACCATGATATTCGGTTAAGGTTGTTCCTGAAATCCCATTGATATCATTTACTCAGAACATCTCAGAAGTCTTTGATCAAAAGAAGAATCATCAGACCATATCAGACCCTCTGCAGGCCCTGCAGGCAACCTGATTGCACTGTTCCTCTTCCCTGATGTGCTGCTTGGCCAAATGTAGACTTCTTGCTGCAGAGAAACTCGTGTCAGCTACCAGCTTAGCGAGAGCACCATCAAAACACCTCGGCTGGGTGCGAAATGGGGGATGGCCCCCCCCATAAAATCGACATTTTAATATAGGGGAAATGATGATAAACCAGTGAAACCAGTTGATTTAGGTGAAACAAACCCATCAAGACATGTTGTGAACTACATGTCTATTCACATTTGGTGATGTTTTTGCATCGCTGATTCCATCCATTTTTTGGGTGAACTTCACAGCAAGAACCAGAGCCACCAATGCAGCTGGAGCCACTGCTTGTCCAGGAAGGAGCCGATCCTTCCCAAAGACGGCACTGTTTTTTCTGTGCCCTTCACAAACAATACCATGCCAGAACCATCCTTAGAAAATCTCAGGGCCAATATGCCAAAAATATGCCGTGGTACACTGCAACTAGTCCAGTTTCAGTTGTTGAATTTCAAGCAGCGAAATAGACGCAACCAAGTTGCCCAGAAATCCGGGCGTACTGGTTCAGTCCTCACCTATCCAGTTCCAACGTCTGAAATTTCAATGCACTTCGTCTCGGTATGTCTTTCGACGAGCCATCTGTTCGAGCGGAAGCTCATGCAAGGATTTTCGTTTTGCAGTCTTCTCAAGGTCGTCTTGTTGAAACGAAGAATCTTAAGACCAGTCAATGCTATCGATCAAGCTTATAGTTAGCCGGAAAAAAAATGGAATACTCATTTTCCATCTGCCATAGTCTATACTATAATTGACCAGAAATTACCACTAAATCAGTCAGGATCTTCTCCTCAGCCACCGCCGAACGCGCTGTACTTCCGCCAGCTTTTCTGGTCAGTCGAAGTTGGCAGCCTCAGCACAGTTTGGAACATCGAACTGGGCGAACTAGTACCTGACAGTGGGGAAGACATCTTACTATAAGATGGCCATATATGTGCCCGCCCTTCCGCCCAAAAAATATTCCATTTCCATCCTATTTGCAACATTTCAGAGTCACGGCCTCCCATTTGCATGCTATTTGCAGCCTTTCGGAGCCACAACCTTCCACTTGCAACCTATCTGCAGCATTTAAGAGCCGCAAAATACCTCGATGCTGGTTTTGCACTACCTGCATGCTGTCTACACATGACCTATACACGTCTATGTATTTCTTTCCCACTTATATATATATATTAATATATATACATATACATACATATATATATATATACGAACAATAGCATATCTATACACTACTCATATGTGATCCTACTATATATTCATATACTACCCATTGCATGCCTTTTTGCAACCTATGCCTATATACCACTCATAGCGCACCTTACTACCATATGCTACCTCTGTCCTACTCATCTACGACTGATAAGCTACATCAACCCCCCCACCCCCCACCTCCCACACCACAGAGGGAGGGGGCAACCACCTACACTACCTAGACACCTCATACTGACTCATACAAATACGTACATATGTGTATATAATATCTGTATAAATGTATAAAGCAGGGGCCTTGGTGTTTGGCTCTCGCAAAGCCTCACTTTTGGAAGCTTGGCTGCTACATTTTGAGCTTGTTTCTTGAGACACCAGTGGCAGGTCCAAGGATGTGCTTCAGAACCATGTTATTTGGCTGTGGCGAAGCCTCACCTTTGGAAGCTCGGTTCCTACCTATGCCGGGAAAGGTAAATGTCCAGAGTACAGCACCACAGTGAACAGAAGAAGAAATGCTCCGGTATCCTTCTTCTGACGGACCCCTGGGTGGCAGGGGGTTGTAGCCCTTTACAAGTGATATATTGTACATATAATCATGATTCATGATATCCAACTTTCGCGAAACTTTCGCGAATAAAAAAATGTGTTCGTTAACTCGAGAAAAAAAATCGCGAGGGTTCCCAACATAACAGGAACGGTCTTCGCAATTAAAACTCTTTACAAGGACCTTTAGATCGATCACTATACTGTATTTATAGTACCTACAATTACCATCAATTACCTACATATTCTATATACTTGCCTGCTATAATACTGGATACTCTACATATTTACCACCTATACACTGCCTATATACTACCTACACAACAAGGTTGCAAATAGACAGACACTACCTTGTACTACACATACATACTACCAATATAGCACCTTGGATGCACCAACCCCATACCACAGGGGAAGGATACCATGAACACACTGCATACACAACCACCCTTGGGGGGATACCAAGACCATGGGTGGGGGAGGGGGACTCGGAACCTGGAACATTCATATTGGTTGGTGGTTGACCTACCCCTCTGAAAAATATGAAAGTCAGTTGGGATGATTATTCCCAATATCTGGAAAAATAAAAAATGTTCCAAACCACCAACCAGTGTATATATTATATTTGGAGAAAAGCATTTCATACGGCACTAAAATGGCCAATGAAAATGTCACTTCATCAGCCTTTTTCTCTGAACGGCCAAACCGTCCGACACCCAGCTCGAAGCCTGCAAGAAAGGCGGACAGCACCAAGGGCTTCGGATGTTCGCAGGTTGCCTCACAGAATTTCGGGAAAAGGATGAGAAACCATCAAATTCTGGCTGAAAATCAGGAAGTTCCCTAAAATGCCTTAAATGACGATTGAATGGGATGATAAACCCATGGGAGTCTGGGCTTATCTATTTCCAGACAAAGTCACATCATTGGCAATCTGCTGTACCCGTTGATCATTGTTCAGCTGCCGTAGATTGCAGCTACAAACCGTGCCTTTCTGTAGCTCTCCAACACCCTTTTCGGGACGACTCGTGTTGGAAATCTATGGCGACTCGCAGGGGTCGACCATACCTCGTTTGGTCTTGAACTCTTCGCCATGAGGTGCCACGAGCTTGGCGTGGCGCCATCTTGGACTCTGACGCCAATGTTGGTTTCTCCTGCAGAAAGGGCCTCGGAAGACTTCTGGAAGATACAAAAAACCACGTCGCTACATATCCATACAAAATCCCAGATATGCAAATTTTGCACAGTTGTGATGTGCATTAACAGTAGACTCTTTGCTTAACCTGAAATAATGTCTTGGCATCCTGACACCACAGCTGCATCCTGAGCAACCAACCATCACCAACCACCAGGCAACAGGGCTTGGGCCAGTGGCTGCAGTCGGGCTGGGTCCCCCCAAGGGGTCCCCTCCATTCTGAGTTCCTGCAGCTGAGGCACCCAAGTTTTAGGAGCGCTGATAAAGCACCTGAGGCTATCATGAGTCGACCATTTTAAACGGGCTTGATATGATGGATTTGTGAAGGCTTCCAAATGGAATGTCTCGTTTCATCAATGGTGACCTTCAGCACCAAAAAAATAAAACTTAAGAGGATCTTAAGGTGCAAGTTTGCACTTCGTTAAACAGCAAAGTCCACCAAAGAAATCGCCGAACGCTATGCTTGACAGCGGCGAAGTCTCAGTATCTCACCATGTGGATGATAGGAAGGGTACAATGAAATAGGAGGCCTGACACATTCATCGCATCTGGCATCTCAGCGGCTGTCACCCCACCACCAGTCCAGCGTTGGAAACTCAGCCACGCCTGGCGAGGATCCTCCACTATCACTTCATCTGGTGCAGACAGGAGTTTGGACAGGAAAGTGACCTGCAACCGCAAGCAGCCGTAAAAATCGTAAAAGTTGCGTACATGTGCCACTCAAGTTTAAACTCCAGCAATGTGCTAAACTTTCTGCTAAACCATGCTAAAGCCAATGTCAGATACTTACCACTTGAGGGGCTGGTTGAAATCCCATTTCTAGTCATATGGAGGTTTCCTAAAATGGGGTGTAGCCCGGTAGCCCTAAATCATCATAAATCATCCATGTTATTTTCGGATGTTCCATTAATTGCCCTCTGGTAAACTAACATAACTATGGAAAATCACCATTTTCAATGGGTAAATCCACTATAAATCACCATTTTCAATAGCTATGTTAAATTACCAGAGGGTATTCACTTTGGGGATCCCCCATTTAAAGCCCCATATTGGGAATGATCTCCCGAAACTTGCATCGGAGTGTGACCTCTGCGGCATAGGGCCGATAGCCAGTGAAGGCACCACCCCTGGTGCCACGTGGCGTGCGATTCCAAAGCTGTGTCCCAAGAATTGGGGGATGGGGGCCGCAGACTGGTTCATCATCATTGATAATTGATGTATCATGCATCATCCATGGTTCATCATCCATATCCGATTTAGGGTTAGTTCATGTTAATTCCCTATCCAACTTGATGAAAATTGATTAAAGTATGCCGATATCCCAATCACAAACCGATGTCACCATATCCATGACTGCGCTTAACACCACGGTTTCAGGCTCCGGCTCCCCGCGCATTTCGACACATGGCGACATCCCAAAGTTGCACGTTGTTGGATGCTGTGCTGCCTGCCAAGGGGAAGCGCTCAGGCATCGATTCTTGGTCGACAACAAAGGACCGATACTGGAATGCTGTTGAGTTCCAAGGAAATTGTTGTTGATTACATAATTTCTTGGGAATTCTCCAATCAGAACCATAACATTGAAATCACGTGGTGAAATTTGATGATACATAGATCACATAGAAATCCATGGATGATACAAAATGATACAAGTCAATTTCAAGCCTCTCGGATTCGGCCATGGAGCTGCACAAGTGCTTCTGCATGTGCTGCTGGTGGCAGGTCGTAGATCTGCTCAGGGACCACAGCTCAGGTACAATGGAAGTCATGTCTGCTGAGTCTGCTGTCCATGTTGGAACTTGGCTTATGGTGGTAAGTGGTACAATCAATCTGTCTCAATCTTCTTGAGTCTTCTATGTGTTCGCAACCAGCTTCTATCGTTCAGAAAAGGTCAACATGAAAGTCTGGAACATCCCTGGCGTACAAAGAAGCGCAGTGAGCTCCGAGGGCCCTTGAAGTCATCTGGATGCACCTGTCGGCTACTTCTGTTGGCCACGAGTCTTTCACACTTTACAGAAACTTTGACCCTGCCTTCGTCTGGATCGTCATGGGGCCACGAGTTTTGGTCTGCAGAGCAGTTCACTGGCGTGCCACAGCTAGGACTGGTGATCCACTTCCCTCTGCTAAGGTACAGACCTGCCATGGTCGGCCCATGTCACCGAAGATGGTTTCCTGAGGCACCAAGCTCCGGCCAGTCGCTCAGCATCGCTCAGCCAGCCGTCTCGCTGTCAAGGAGCAAAATGCTGCTGTCGCATAGATAGAGCATCAAACTTCTGGCCTTGCTGTTCGCACATTGTGGCATCAAATAGTGTCAAGTCAGATCAAATCATATCAGCTTTTGTGAGGGCAAGCTAAATCCGCACTGAAAGTTCCAAAATCCTCTGAAGGTGTAGAATGCTAAACCGCCAAAAACGTGCAGCCAAGTGCACTTCCAGAAGGGTCCCAGGACCTCAAAGCTTCAACGCTCAGCTGTTATCAGATCAATCTGAAACTGTGCTGGACCTACAGCTGAGGTCTCATACTTGGCTACACTCTTTAAGAGGCTTGTTGCCCCAGTGCTGTCACCTCCCATAGGAGAAGGGCGTGCCAACACTGGAAGACAGGGGGGGAAAAAAGTGCAGCACGTGCCTCAGAAACCTTTCAAACATGTCGACCACTAGCAGGTCACTCACAGCAGTGCACGATGTATTCATCTTCGAATTTGCCACGGAGTACTGTCAGTCTGGCATCACCAATTTGGTGCGCAACATGCGCAGCACGTGCCTGGGACAGAGCGACGTTTGCCAGCAAAGGCCCCGGCAGCCTCGTATTGCAGTGGATGGCGCACGCGCCTGGCAGTTGTTGAGGTGGCCGTTCGCAAGGGCGCTAAAACCAAACATGGCAGTGATGCAGCGTTCCTGATTGTCCGCGCCAATAAGGAGGAGGTGAACTGGGCAGGGTGGACGTGTGAGCAAAAAACGATTCACTACACGGGTTTGTGTAAAAGTATCGGAAAACTCAAAAATGCAATGGTGAAGCATCATCGTTCCTATTAAAATAGACGTTTATGGGTATCCCCATTTTCAGACACACCCACACAGCACTCATGATGAATAGGCAAAGACGACAAGAATGAGCTTTGCACTCTGCACCACGGGCCCACAACCATACGAGCCAGCGTATAGAGTTGTCATGAACCTGCGCAATCCGCTCATAGCCATGAGGTTTTCCTTGAAACGGCTCAAGGCGGACCTCTTCTTGTGTTATTGGCCATCTTGAATCCTGGAATCAATTGGATTCAGTTGGATTCGGTTTCAAGACAAACGCTGGACTTTCCGGGCCTCCAAGCACGGTGCGGCTTGGATCATGATGGGATATGCCAAGAGAGCCTTCCAGTTCTGCCAGTTCTGATCTGCAAAACTGTAAACCTTGCATTGAAAAAGAAAACGAGCTGCCTCCAAATAAGGCAAACATGATGTTCGATTTGCACAGTCCTCAGGCAAAAGCTTCGGCCTCGGCAAAAAGAACAAGTGATTGAGCAGGGAAGAAGGAACTGGGTGCAGATAGGTCGGTATGTCTCAAAATTCTCGGTCCAAAAAATGGGATGCGTTCGCATTTGAAATTGTATGAAATTGTATAGCAAGTTTGTGGGTCCGTTGGTACCCCAGTTTGAGGCATGGCCAGTGGAGGATAAAGTTCCTCTCCCTCAACTAACTTGCAAGGCCCTGTTCCCCCTTCCTTTTCTGACCATGCAGCGACACGTGATTCTCACACTTCTTTCTCAGGTAGCAGATGGCCAAATTGTGCGACAACGGCCATGACATCTGCACAGTGTATGTACAACTCCTCAAAGGGACAGATTTTGTGCAGGTGCGCGTCACCGATAGTTCTGAATGAATGTGCATGTCACCCCATAGTTTCTCCCAAAATAGCCAGTGTAAGTCATCAACGTCTACGATAAAAGGGCTGTGACGTGACTGGACTGTCTGGTGAAACGATGTTTGATGGTGCTTTTGTACACTTTAGAAGAACTTTCTGGTGACGTCTTCAACCTACGAGGTCGTGCCCCCAAGTCACAAACCAACTTAGCTCATGAACTGGGGCACCACCTTGTAGGTATTTTCTGGGCTTCATTTTTGTGACAGCATCACTGCATAGCCGCCCAAGAGAACTAGCCCAATGGCACCCACGGAATAGGTCAAACGCTTCACCAGCACTGCTGCTTCCTGCAGCATCGGAGCAAGTTTTTTGTTCAGATTATTTATATATATATATATATTATATTAAATTATCTGATATCATATCATATCATATTATATTATATTTTATTATATTATATGTTATTTTATTTTATATTTTATGTGTTATATGTAAAAAGGTTATATCTTACATGTTATATATTATATATAATATATAATAGATTATATATTATATATTATATATTAAATATTGTATACTATATATTATATTATATATATTATATATTGTGTATCAAATATTCTGTATTTACTATATATATTATTTATTATATATTAAATCATATTATATTAGATTGTATTATAATGTGTATTATATCATATTATAGTTTATCTTATATTATATTAGATATTATATCATATATCATATTATATTAGATGATATTATATTGAATTATATGTTATATTACATATATTACATGCTATATATATTACATATTATATATTACATATAATATATTATATAATATCATATTATAGTATATTATATATTACATTATGATATATTATAGTATACTATATTATAAAATATATATATTATATTATCTTAAATCATTTTATATTATATTATGGTATACTATATTATACTATTTATATATATATATATATTATTATATATTATATTTATTGTGTATATATATATATATTATATTATACTATATTATATTATATCATATCATATTATATTATATTATACTATATTATATTATATATATTGTATGATATTAGATATATATATATATCATATTATACTATTTTATTTGATTTTATATTATATTATAGTATGTTATACCATATTATATTTTATTATTTTATATTATATTATTATATTATAATTGACTATTATTTATATAATATAATATAATAATATAAAGTAACATAGCATACTATAATAAAATATATATTAATTATATATATTATTTTATATATAATATCATATTATAGATATTAAATTTTATTTTATTAGATTAGATATTATATTTTATGTTTTATTATATTGTATATATATATACATTATTTTAACATATATATATATATATTATCTATATATACTATATATTAAATAATATTATATATATATTATTATATAATGTATTATATATATATACTATCTATATTATATATATATATATTATATTATATACATATGATTATATATTGTATCATATATATTATCTATATATAACTATTATATTATATTATATTATATTATATTATATTATATATAATGAGGTAAACCCAGTAACACACCATCCCCGATTGGAATGTATGATCGGGTATACTGTATACTCCTAGTTGGGATGATGCAACATGATTCCCAAATGGTTTGTTATATATAATGGGATGGTTTATTCTTGGGTTGTCCTCTTTAAGCCACACTAAACCAGACTAAACCAAACCCATATTGTACATGATTGCACAATCCATTCTCTGGTCTGGTGGTATCTAATTTTGACCCCAAATTTCTCCAGTCCTGCTCGTCTTTCCACATCTGCAGTAGCAACCAATCGTTTCTTCGTCGCACTGCCGAATCCTTGAACTTCCAATCCTTTGCAGCACGATCAGCACCCGCAGACTGTTCCATGGTCATTTCTGCTGGTGGGAATGAAAGCTTTGGAAGGACCTTTGCACCAAGCAGCAAGGTCTTTCAGGGACTGCAGGACCCTGTCGGGCTTGATCTTGGCCTTTTCCAGACTCATTTGGATCTCATCTGCCCTGGCAGAATTTGGTGAAATTCAGAAGAACTGGTAACTGGCAAAAGCAACACAAAATCTATAGAACTATATATAGGAAGAAATGAAAGAAGCCGCCATTTTTGCTGCCTTCCTAGCCCTTCCTACCCCTTCCTAGTTCTGCTTCTATTTTTCCTGTCACTCGCCTGAAGGGCCCCGTCTGACCCCTAGCAATTCGCTGAAGCTCTCGAAATTGCGCTGCCCGCAATGAGCCCAGGTCTTGGACCTACCGGCAATGGGAAATTACATTCGTCTTGGCAATGCTGGCAGAGTAATATATACATGTCTATATATATATATGTATATATATATATATAGATAGAGAGAGAGAGAGAGTTGATTGAGATTTCACCATACTTATCCATCTTGTGGTCAGCCCCACTGGGGCATCTTCTCGAAGCTTTTCCTGCCAAGTAGCTAGCTCTGCAGCAGATTTCTTGGGCAAATCTTTGGAGAAGAGCGATTGCAGCTCCTGGCCAGGGAAACGCCCGGTGCGTCCTTCGACGAACCGCCAAACTTCCTCCGTACTTCGAGGCTCAGCCGGCCTCCAACGGCTTGATCAAGCCTCTTGGATCCAAATCTTGAAGGCAGAAGACCAAAGCATCTTCCATGACTCGGGGAACACGCAGTGCCTGTTCCAATCCTCGGCAGCTATGTGGCGACATCATGTTAGATAAAATCATCAAATCATTCCGAACAAGTGGTCTGCATCATTCTGTGCATGTTCAAACAAAATAATGAGAAAGATAAATTTCTCAAGTCATGGCTCTTTGCAGATCTGAGGCTTGTAGAGACTTCTTGTACCTGCAAAGGAACAAGCTGCAGGTAACATCTCTGGACAGTCTGGAGCCAGGTCACAGGCCATCCCAAAAAGCCTCGAAGTGGCTGAGAAAGCACCTGACAGCTGAAGCGACAACACAGAGTTGCCTCACAAGTACCAAGTGTCCCTAGAAGAACTCGAAGAAGTCAACACTGAAAATGCGGTCCGATTGGCCATATTCATTTCTTTCATCTCTCCTCTTTAGCGGTGACCAAGAGATAGACAAGACTGGAAGAATAAAAATCCGCATTGCCTGGCTGTGTCTTTCTTCGCGCGCTCTCGCAACCTGCAGCTCTTCCTGTATTCCTCCAAGCCTGGTCAAAGGAAGACTTTTTTTCAAATTCAGTAGGGAGTCCTAGCTCATGGATGATGATGATGATGATGATGATGATGATGATGATGATGATATGTAGTATATATCATAAAAATCATATATATCTATATCATATCATATATATATATATCATATTATATATATATATATCATATATAATATATATAATATAATACATATAATATATATATATATCATATAATATATATATATATGTAATATATAATATATAATATATAATATATACATAATATATATAATATATAATATATAAATATATAATATATAAATATATAATATATAAATATACAATATATAAATATACAATATATTTATATAATATATAATATACATATAATATATAATATATATAATATATATAATATGGTCAACAGATTATTCCATAACCAAAACGAATTATTCCATAACCAAAACGAATTATTCCTCAACCAAGGATTATTCCATAACCAAAACGTGTTATTCTTCAACCATGAAGTGTTATTCCTCAACCAACGATTATTCCATAACTAAGACGAAATATTATTTAACCAAACCGTATGATTCCTCAACCAACTATTATTCCATAACCAAAACGTGTTATTCCAAAACCAAAAGGGATTTGAACCAAACCGCTTGCTGAAGACTTAAATTTGATCTATTGTTTTGCGGGGGTGGAAGATTTTTAAATGTCTTGTAACTTGTCAAGAATCTTCTGTAATGGAAGTAAGTAGCGGTAGTCTTCCCAAAGAAGCGGGGCTGCTTGCTGAAGACTTAAATTTGATCTATTGTTTTGCGGGGGTGGAAGATTTTTAAATGTCTTGTAACTTGTCAAGAATCTTCTGTAATGAAAGTAAGTAGCGGTAGTCTTCCCAAAGAAGCGGGGCTGCTTGCTGAAGACTTAAATTTGATGTATAGTTTTGCGGGGGTGGGGGGTTTTTAAGTATCTTGTATCTTGTCAAAAAAGTAAGTAGCGGTAGTCTTCCCAAAGAAGCGGGGAATCCTGAGAGTTTGGTTGTGGAATCCTGAGATTTTGGTTGTGGAATCCTGAGATTTTGGTTGTGGAATCGTGGGAGTTTGGTTGTGGAATCGTGGGAGTTTGGTTGTGGAATCGTGGGACTTTGGTTGTGGAATCGTGGGATTTTGGTTGTGGAATCGTGAGAATGCAGTTGTGGAAGCGCGCCGGTTTTGGTTGCGGAATCGCGTGGTTTGGTTCTGGAATCGCGTGGTTTTGGTTCTGGAATCGTGAGAACATAGTTGTGGAATCGCGCTTTGTTCTATATGGTATAATTTATATATATATATAATATAATATATAATATCTAATATCTAATATATAATATATAATATCTAATATCTAATATATAATATATAATATATAATATCTAATATCTAATATATAATATATAAAAGATACTGTGGAACCCCCTGCACTCATCACGCCCCAGGGAATCACAGTGTACCAGCATCGGACCTTTAACAGGCTTCCCTTTCCGCTTGAGAGTAAAATCTTCCTCTCTGAAGTCACCTGGAGAGGGCGTACCCGAAACCTTTTATTTTGGGGACCCCCGCCTCCCTGAAATAATAACAACAACTCCCGTTGGTATATGCATGGAGGGTCTTCCCCCCCCCAAAAAAAAGAAGGTTCGGAGTTCCAAGTTGTTCGAATTTAGTTATTTCCTGGGGTGCGTCCTGCACCTGGAGCCCGGAATCCCGGCGAATTTCTCTCACGGCTCACAGCCCCTCTACAAAAGTTGCTGTTGGTTCATGTTGTTTGCTTCTTGGTAGGTGTGTCTAAAACTCGCTGGATTCACCCCATCACATGGAGAGGTCATAGGAAACATTGGAAAAATGAGGTTTTAAACATTTTAAACCATGAAATTCTAGGAAAAGAAACGCTATACTTTTCAAACCCTCCAGTCCTGTGAACAGACCATGCAGCCCCGGCACTGGGTTCCAGCTGTATGCTGCAAGCATCACCACTGCGATGATCCAGGCTAGGAACCTCCGCTGGCGCGCGCGCGCACCCTGTCCGCGTGTTCTCTTGCCTCTTTCCCTTCTTTGTTGGTGATTCTCCAAATTTCTGACTGAAGTTTAGAAAAAAAAGAAGAAGAACATCACTCCCTGAAGTGTTTGCCCTTTGTTGCAGATGATCATCTAAGAAAAGTCATGATAATTTCAGCATCACTCACAGATGTTTCCCATCCTTGTGACCTCCTCAAAAAGCCAAGGCACCCAGCAGAGTTCCTCCGGCGAAACCATGCAGTTCACTTTGGAAGCCTCGGGGAACAATTGGAGTCATGCCGAGTCATGATACACATGACTAAACATGACTAAACATGACTAAACCCTAAAAATGATGGACGGGACCGCCCCATTAAACTCAAATTCATTCAATTCAGTAAACCTTACTTCTCTACCATCATGTGCTTGGTGTTTTTCTGGTACCTATGGGGTTCCGCATTTTGTGCCAAGAGGCCCAAATCCAACCTTTGAGATTTGGATCGTCCAGGTCTGCATCTTCGAGATGCGGAACAGTTGTCCGACTGGAAGCTGAATACCTCGCAGGTATAATATATATATATACAGATATAATGTATATGTATATACATCACGACATATATGAAGTGTATGTATACAAGACATCTATATTGAATCTATGTATGCCTATATACTGTCTATATCAATGATTTGCAATGTATGTCATACATCTTTTACCTTGCAGAATAGAACCCAAGGCCCAACAGCAACTTCTCAACAGCTCTGATTTCGAACAACAGCGGCTTCGACAGCTATCAGATAGGGTGCAAAGCGATGAGTCCAAAGCCCGACACCGCCAGAACGGAACCGGCCAAGGAGGGCCAAGACCAACCTGGAAGGCCCAGAATCCTGAGGATCTTCCCAGATGGAAAGTTGGAGGATCTGCTGAAATCTGATGAATTTGGGCCAGATTCCTATATGACTCACCAAAACTGATGGATGAATCAGCAAAAATCAGGTGAGTTGCTGGAAAGTGTTGAAGAAATGGTGGAATGATGGAGATTGGAGGCCCAAGGTCCCCTTACCCAGCAGTGAGAAGTAAGGCCACCAGGACATCAGCTGCAGCCGTGTCTCACCGGCTCCAGCATCTTGTGGATCACCAGGCCAGCAGCGAGCCCTGTGAAGGACAGGCAGGAAGACACGAAGGGATGAGTGGAGACCTTGGCGTTTGCGCCGACGACTTGTCACAGCTGGTGAATGGATGGAAAATGCTAATTCCCCCAAATAATGCTAATGGCTCATGGATGGTGAATATTGGTTAATGGTTAATGGTACCCTAAAAATGCTGGTTAATGGATGCTGATTCCCCCAGTAATTTCATAGGTTTTAACCCATCTCCAAGTGACTGGTCGAAGTTCTCAAAGAAATGGCTGTTTCTCGAAATCTCCGGTATCCACAACCACCGGTTTCCCCAGTTAAAATGACAAACGTTGCAGCTAATTGGGGATCCCCCACTTTAAGAAACCCCAAAAACACCCATGAATAGAATGACCACCTCTGGCCAAAGCAATGAGTCCAAGCTTCATTAAAGATTGTCTTCATCGTTAAGTCCTGAAAAGAGTCGTCCCACGGAAAGACAAAGCCCCAACCTCAGCCATTTTTCAGTAACTTGCATCCTGGTTATCCCTGGCACTCGTGGTGTCGTAAGAATACGTCAGCCCTGCTGGGGCCCTGCTTGTCAACTTTTTCGATCTCCTTTTGAGTGGATGGACGAAACAAACGCATCGGATGTTTCGACAGCTGCATCAAATTTGTAGAACTGGCTCCTGCGATGTTACAAGGGCACTTCACTGATATGGCCTTAAGCTCACTGAAACAATGTTAAACATCATGAACCTCCGGTGACATCGTTGGATCATCTGGGCCACCACACAGAGCGGATAGGTGTACGGGACCAGCATGGCAGTGGTCGCACCAAGCGCTGGACCAAAAAGCGGTACGAGGCCGTTGAAAAGGCGATGCTGGGCCAGCGCCTCCAGAGGCTTCTGACCAGTTGGCTTTGTCTGAAAATAGGCTACCCCATGGTACCCCCAAATCCCATTGGTTCCCATGGATTTTCCCTATAAAAAATAGGCATTCAACTTGGGGTTTTGCATGGTTTTGCCCCACATTTCCAGACACTAAAGATTCTTCGGTATTAAGTCTTAATCAAAACATGGGCGAAGTGTTCGAATGCTCAGCTCTGATACATCCGGAACAAGCAAACATATCAAAAGCCAAAGCTCCTTTTATTGATGCAGTCAAGTTCACCGTTCATCTGCAGTGGAACTTTTGATGCAGGTGGATAAGCCCCAACACTCACCTTGGGTCCACCAGCAAGAACGTCTGCTGCCAAGTATAGCGAACCTTGCAAAGTCAGGCCACAAGAAGGTCCTTGTCATCTTCAAGGCATCAGATTTCTGGCGTCCCAAGAAATTCAGTGGCTTCGTTACTCCGTTCCACGGGATTCTTGGATCGCCTGCCGTAGTTTCTGCAGAAAGCTCTCAGAAATTTCCTGCCTGCGACGACGCCATTTCCAAGCGCAAATGGCAGAAGTACCGGAGCATAGTAGAAGGCGTTTGGAACCAAAGTCATGATGGAATAGGACACCATGGAAGTTCCTCCAAGCCTCGATGTGTCAAAACCACCGGGTGCCACTGGCAACACATGGGGAAACCTTGAAAATAGGGACAAGTTACTCTTTAAATTGGTACCACCCGTATGAATACACTCGGTGTCTCTTAGTTCTGGGCAAATCCTATCCCACTGTATTCCCATTAAAATCCTGTCCCAATTATGTCCCGTCCCAGTTGATGGTCCCCCTCCGGGATCAGGAATATGTGGTCGCATGGATCATCATAGCCATTTAAGAAATACTTGTTGGTGGTATACCTACCCCTCTGAAAAATATGAAAGTCAGTTGGGATTATTATTCCCAATATATATATATATGGAAAAATAATCCAAATGTTCCAAACCACCAACCAGAACATCTCCTGTTTGGTCCATTTTCACCGAGTTCTGATCCAAACTTCCCCGAGGAACCACACCATCCGCACATCCGCCGGCACGTGACCTTTGGTCGTCTGCTAAGGAATTGGGGATGGTTAAAGTGGCGCTGAAAAACACATCACCAAAAGCATCCGGGTGGCCTTGAGAAAATCGTGAAAGCTCTTCTGTGGGTTCAGCAGAAGCAAGATGGTGCTTTTGGTTGGTCACTTAGAGAATCACAAAAAATTATCCAATGAAAGATTGCTTGGGAATCTACTGAAATGCGACACCTTCATCGCTGGCTTCTTGCTGGAGAATTTCAGGATCTTTGTCACTGAAACTGGAAACCGCAACTGATCCAGCAACGTTATTTGAGAAAAGTGAGATAGTGCAAGGATGCCACTCCATAGCGAAAAGATCTCCAAACCATTCCAAACGAAAGTCATTGCAGACTCAAAGTTAGTAGATCCTGCCAGGGCTGTTTTTGTCAAGATGAATTTGATGGCTGCAAGCCCTCAAAATCTTGAAATTCTTGGGAAACTTTCCAGTTCGAACTTGGATCTTCCAGGGATTGACGGCAAGTGGCGAAAGACCAAATAGTTGAGGCCAATGACCGGAAAGAGTGGCGTCATCATTGCAGTACTTGCACCCACGAGGCTGGCACGCACCAGCAACGGGGCCTCCTGTAACGACTTGGATGACGAACTTCTGCATGTCTTGAAGGGAAAAGCCATGAGTCTGGTTACTAAATGTTACTAAGCTTCTAGACTGCACTGAATGTCTCTGAGTCTCTGAATGTATCAAGATGTATCTTAAGTATTCTGTGCAATCACTACAGTACCATTGTACAATCAGCACCCGGGCCACGCAACAATCCACAGCCTGTGACCACTGCGGCGATTCTTGTTCCTGGCGGTCCTGGCACAGAGCCGTGGCGGCTCTTCAGTGGCGGCTGAAAGGCAACGCAACAGGAGCAGCTGTACCCTCTGGTAAACTAACATAGCTATTGAAAATGGCCATTTATAGTGGATTTACCCATTAAAAATGGTGATTTTCCATAGTTATGTTAGTTTACCAGAGGGTACCATGATCCAATGTGATCCAACCTTGATTGCCTCAGATGCAGAGTAGCTTGCCAAACGTCCACATCGCACAACACCTGCAGAGCGAAATGTGCAAAGCACGGCACCTGGTACACTGAACTTTCAGTCAGAGCCCTTGGCGTGCCTCTGCATTTCACTCTACATCCCAGCCACCGCACACGGCCGGCTAAAGACGACATTGCCGGAAGATGCTCAAAGCTTGCGTGGATGAAGATGTGTGAACTTTTCGGGTGCATCTTATTCCCGACTGCTTGTGAATTATGTCAATTATGTCCCTATTCTGTGAAGGAGCAGTTGACCTGTGCATGAGCTGGCTAGACACGTCTACTTGCTCCAGGTGTGAGGTTTTTCTGACCATGGAAGTGTCTGTTCTATCAGCAAAGGACTACTCGAAAACATCAAAAAGATCCAGTCTCCTCTTTTGTTGATGCTGCTCGGCTGTGAGTGCAGATCCTCTGGCAGTGCCTAGGTGTGAATTAAAAAGAGCTAATGCTTTGCGCACGCGATCATGGCGGAGGACTGTGCTTTTTTTCCGGTTTTGCTTCAGCAAAAAGAACATGTTGGGTGAGGCACAAATTTGCAAGCTGATCACCGACAGATCTTTATCCCTGGGAACAATTCAAGGCAAGCTGTTTTTCTTCGACTGCCCTTCCCCAGGCAAGGCGCTTCAGTGGTAAGCTCAGGTAAGCTGAGCAAGCTGTGCAGAACGTGAAGCTTAGCTGCTTCAAATGAAATCGCACTCTCATTTGGAGTTTGCATCCGCAAATGTCAAAGATTCATAGAAACTGTCAGCATCAATTAAAACCGTCTCCTTCCCAAAATGTAACAGCAACTTCGGCAAAAATCCAAGTACCAAGTTTGGTGCAGGTTTGTTTCACCACAATGCTTCTTCACTTCGATTATTCATAGAGCAGTAATGCAGCTCTTGCAGTATCCAGCATTTTCAGCCAGTTTGGTCCACTCCATCCAACATCAGAATTACACATGGGGACTTTGTCCCAAATTCATGCGGCCTCACGTTTCACTGGCAATCTGCACATCTTCGGCTGCAGCACGCAATTCTTGCCACCTCACCAGGTCAAGCAAATGTTCTGATCACTAAAAGCTGATCACTAAAAGCAATCAAAAATAAATCTGCGAAAGGATGAGTGAATTTTCGGAATAGATCTTTTTTGTTTTTCATCCATCTCAGTGCCCAAATGTCAAGCCTGGAATCCAATCGTCAGGGGGGACTCAGTTTGGGGTCGTGAAGCTGTCGCATCTTTGGCCAAGAAATAGAGGGAACACCCAAATCCAATGGCTGATCATTTTCCCCATTACCCCATTTCAGTGCATCCAAGAATGTGAGGTATATACAGTATCCTCAGTTTAGGTGCTTGTTGCCAGAGCCTTTCTGGCAATTTGTTGATAGGAAATATGATGATTCACCACTGGATATTGTCAAAAATTGTGGGTTTCCCAATTTTTCAACACTCTAATAAACCACATATTATATGAATATTATACAATAAAAATAGGATTATTGGTATATTATTAGAGTATATTAGAGTATTGTCAATTATTGTTGATAGAAACCATATTATACAACACTATTGCACGCAATATTTTCCGGACAAAAAAAGGCCATTTCGACAAGAACGAGGTCCAGCCACGGCCCACGGCGAAGCGATGCCGCTGCACGATGGCAACGTACCGGCCCCAGATGCACCAGCCAAGCAGCTTGCCGAGGCTGCTAAGGTCGTAGTTATCCATAAATTATGCCCCCTTTTACCCTCTGGTAAACTGACAAAAAACTATGGAAAATCACGATGTTTAATGGGCAAATCCACTATAAATGGTGATTTTCAATAGCTATGTAAACGTTTACCAGAGGGTACCCATCAATGGGTTGGGTTTATCACATCAAGAATCCATTTCTGGACACCGAGCCGCTGAAGTTTGGATATTGAAAGTTCACGAAAAAACAGCTCCAGCCTTACATTGGCTCTGCGCCAATGAATCCCTGCATCGGTACAATGATCAACGGTTGCTTCAATTTGTTCACTGACCACTTCTCAAGTGCCTTTCGGGCCTTTCTGGAAGAAACTTCGGCTGGACCGGGTTGCAACGCACCGCATCCAATGATCAAAACATGTCAAAACTGAGCGTCTTACCTGTCCGCTTCCACTTGCGACATCTTTGGTGAGGTCGTACTGCCCAGGTACGGTGAGTGTCCCAACAAATGTTGCACTGGTGCTCTACCCACATTGGCAACGGCTAAGGCAGCAGAAAAACTGGGCAATAGATTGAGCAGGCAGCTTTTTCATGGCCAGCTTCGCTGAAGAACGTGTTTTCGGATCTTGTCTCCATTGCACCTGAAGAAATCTACAGGAGAGCGCTCACTGGGTGGAAAGATCGTCGCCGGATGTCGCAGTTCAGGAAGTCAATCAGGAAGTCCCAAGGCCTCGGAACGGCATAATGCCAAGACTAAAAAGAAAAATAGGTCTGTCTTGGCATTTTGTCAGGTTTGTCTGATTTTTTGGGGGAAAAAACATGTTTATCTCGGCAGTTATGGTTTTGTTTAGTCAATTAGTCATGATTTTCTCCATTCAAATGACAATTTGGGGGGTAGACCCCATTTTCAAATACCCTCATTTGGAGGTAGTCGAACAAATCTGCATCGCATGGCCTGTTTGGCCCGTTGCAGTTGCAACTCATCGTCCTCGTTTTTCAAGACCTCCTGGGTTTGTCACTGCACAAGTTGCTGCATGTGTGAAAAAAACAGACATCCTCTTTGAGGATTTCTGCTTTGAAATTGACATGTATTAACAAAGGTCTATCCACACGCATTCAGTCCGAAACACAAACCGAGGGCGTCATATCTTAAACTAACCCTGTTGAGTTCTTTGACCCTGGACAGGCACCCATCATTACATGTTAAAAACTGAGCTATCAGATTGCACCTTTTTTTCATTTCTCAATTTTGGCCACACATGGAAGACCGCAAAACCCAGAGCTCCTCTTCTTTCTCTTCCAAAGACGCAAGGGCTTGGCTCAACTCCTTTGCCTCATGGCGGGATTCTTCCAGCAGGTGTTGCAGCTCTGCCTTTCGACTGGCCAAGCCTGCGAAGCGCCGACGGCATGTTCCCCATCAACCAACCAGAGGGCTGAGACCAGCATGGAACAACTAACCCTACCGCTATGAAGGTGCACGTAAGGCAGCAACGCTTCGCTTTTTGTATCAAAAGTATATATTACACCAATATCAACGCCAAATAGTAAGGATTTCTTTGTGCCAATGTTAAAATTCGCATTTAAAAAAGCAGCATAGACAATCACATTGAAACAAAACACATCAGATTACAATAGCAGTCGGCGCTTGAACGTCAACCCGCGGAACCCGCAGAACCCGTGGCACCGCGGAATCTGTGGCACCCACGGCAATTGAAAACAATCTAGGCAACATGAAGGTAAGTCTATACAAAGAAAAAAAAGAAATCACATCAGATTACAAGACAAAACCGGCGCTTCAGCGTGAAAACGCGAAACCCACGGAACCCGATCCGGAAACCATAGAACGCGAAAGAAAATCAAAAATAAATCACATCGGATGGAGTTACAATAGAAACGGCCGCTTCAAAGTCACGAGGACGAGGACGAGGACGACGACGACGACGGCGGCGGCGGTGGCGGTGGCGGCGGCGGCGGGGCGGCGACAATAACGACGACGAGGCACCAATGATGATGGGAATGATGATAATGGTGAGAAGGATGACAATGACGAGAGCTATATGAGAATGGTGAGAATGACGAGAATAATAAGAACCATGAGAATGACAAGAATCATGAGTAATCATGAGGGGAAGAATGATCGCAATGTAGCTGACGAAAATAAAAGTCTGCCAGTTCCTTCAATCTGTGATCTGCAGCATCTGCGACGGCAACAAAAAAATCAGGCAGAGTCCAAGCCTGTGAGCACCATATCCTGTTCTTCCAGACTCTGCCTGAAGGCATCCAAATCTTCAAGGACGGCCGCGGCCTCCGACTCGAGACTGGGTTGGATTGTTTCACACTAAAAATGGGAAGTAACCAAAAGATTCGATGGGATTGGGATATAGACTAGATGATATTCGGTGTGTCTGGAATTAAGGTAAAATGTCACAAAGTGCCCAGTTAACCGGGAAATTATATTTTCATCCGTGGGTTCATTGCGGGCACCTCAATTTTCAAACTGCTCAGACAAACCTACTCCCTGGATTCAACTTCATTGGTCTCCATCATGACCCGCCAGAACAAAATATCCACTATCCGCCATATCCACCAGAACCATTTATGCACCGCGGACATCAAGATCCTCACATAAGCGTGTCTCGTCGCAGACATTATATATGGGCCTCAGCGTCATCTTTCTCTAAATGCTGAATCTCCCGCTCTGGTGGCTTTGAGTCTGGCGTCCTCAGGACAACACAAGAATGGGCCGATAAAGGGCGGCCTGGACAGCCCCTTGATTGAAATAAACAGTTGTGGTTTCACAAGCAGCAATTTGATAGGCTTCCCAAAAAAAAAAAAGACTTGCCAGAATTTGGAGAAAAAAACAAAACTGCCTAGTTGAACTCCTTTAAACACAATTTCGAATTTCAATCCTAGACTGTTCGCTGTCCTTGGTCTGCGTGGTGGTTGTGAGCTTCCACGCAGCGGTGGCAGTGGGACCCGTGGGCCCTTCCCGCCTGATCCGCAATCCACAGGGGTCACCCCGAAATGGATCTGAAAATAGAATGCCCCAAGTGTCCAAAATCCAACAAATCACGAATGTCATTGTCATCATCATCATCATCATCATCATCATCATCGTCATCGTCATCGTCATCATCATCATCGTCATCGTCGTCGTCATCATCATCATCGTCGTCGTCGTCGTCGTCATCATCATCATCATCGTCATCGTCATCACCACCATCATAGCTTGACAGTTTGACTTCCAAAGATCTCCCAACATGGCACCGGCCTCGCCGAGGGCTTGTCTCCAGAGGTTCCAGCGGTTCCAGCTGCCGCCGTGGCGCGGAGCCACTGCGGAAGCGACGCAGCAGTTGGGGCGAGTCCAGCGCCGCACGGGCCTCAACCAAGCCATTAGTTGCAGTTGGGTATGAGAATTACTAGGGATAATGTGGATAAATTAGAATGTGGATATTACTATGGATATTATCAGATTGGACAATTAAAGAAAACAATAGTAGTAATAGTAGTAATAATAATAACAATAAATCAATATGGATGATTACTATGATAATTACTATGATAGTTACAACAATATATATATAATATGAATAATCTGGTAAACCCAACTGGACGGATCCACTGGATATTGATTTTCAAAAACTGGAGTTTTTGTTAGCCATTGAATACTCTGGGAATTGGGAACTAAAATCATAAATAAATCAAGTAAATGGATGTAAATGGAATGTGGTAAATAAACCCTGGCTGCCAATGCCACCTACCATTGGGGGATGGTCGACTTACAACATTTACAACCCATAAAAAAATCGATGCTTTTTTGGGGGGGATGGTTTATGGTTAGGGCTTTACCACATCAAGTGCGAAGCTTCGCTGGACTTCGAACCAGCTAAATGCATGGGATAATCCCAGGGAATGCGGACTTCCTATCCTCCAAGTAGGGTGAGTTTCACCCGTAAAGAATCATGGATTTCACCAGACCTTGGAAGTTCACTGGCAAAACATGTTCAAAAAATCCAGGTAATTGCCTTAAAAAAAAAGGATTGGAGGTGACCATACCATGGAGATTTTCTCGCCAAAAAAAATATCGGAATGTCACCAACACATGGTAAGCAACAAATGGTTTGGATTTAAAATGGCTATTGCTTTCTGGGAGTCTAACTTAGCAACCGGAAGTCGCCATGTCTTTGTTGCGGAAAAAACATGTTCAACTGGCATAAATAACCTTTAAATGGTGGCTAACTGTTACAGTACTGGGAAACTATCCATGTCACCATGATTTACTCCAGAAGTGATCCAATTGATGATCCAATGAAAAAAAATGATGGCCCCTCTGGGGCACCACTGGAAGTTGGCAGTTCAACTCCCTTAAATATATATATATATATCCCCGGCTGATTGGGATTTAATGGGATCTAATTTGGATTAAAAAAAAACCTGGTTTATTATGGTTTATTGGTTTTGATGTGAAAGGTATGCAATTATCATCAAAACTTATAGCGGCCCATCGTTGTATGTGGAAATAGCAAAGTCTCTCACCCGCCTCGCGCACAACCGTCGCCATCGAAAGGGACAAACATGGGAACGGCTCAGTGGATGTGGAATGCGTGGGTAAAAATTGACCCTTTTTGGTTGGCCGAGGTCATGTTGGTGTCAAGATTTGCAAGGGAAAAAGCAACATTCAGAAAACAAGCTGGGACTGGGCACGGCCCGGTAATCAACCTTGGCAATGGAAAATCCATCATTTATACGGGACTTTCCATTGCCGGAGTGTATATCTCCATGTGAACAACCGAGTAGTGTTCCGATGTTCCGAGAGTTTCGAGCCAACTGCATCCATGAACAGCAGCTATGGCATGGCATGGTGCATTTGCTGAAAGCTGATGAAAACCAGGCCTCAGGGGCTCGGCAGTCTCCTGCAGCCTCAGATACAGTGGGCCTGGAGCCAAAAAAACCTCGCTGGTCACCCATCAAGACAAGCAGCTCAGGAAATGCACGACGTGGTTCCATCTCCACATCCCCTACCTGCACCAAGAAAGCACAGCTGCTTGACACATCTCCACACAAAAATTTCTACCCAGCCTCCTGCGGCTTCATCTCAACTGGCGGGCAGTGCAGCCGGGGCTTTCCGCTTCGGGGTTTATGCAGCTACACTGATCCTACATGGGGTTCAACTACTTAGAAGGCATTCAGTCATTGAGCTACAAGTTTCCTACCTGCAGAATTTGATCCTTTTCTGTACGCTGGTTCTATTCCAGGGTACCCAAATTTGACCCCAAATGACTAGTGACCTACCTCCTTGCTCCGAGCTGATGCTGATCTGCACGGCCTTGCTTCCACCCAGAGCGTGCGTGGAAAACAGCACTTTGTCATGTATTTTGCAAAGATTCGTGGCCTCTAAGTTCTGTTCATCGTTGTTAAGCGTGCAATCCTCTACTTCTGGTCTCATCTTGCGTGAACTGCTTTGATCCGTCTGTTTCGCTGAAGTTGCTATTCCGAGACAGCCAGAAGCCTACTTGTTGCTCAATGACTCAATGATTTTGAAGTGTCTTCTTCTCTTCAAAACAAAATAAACCTGAATTCAACAAAGATAAACAAAGTGTGTCTCTCAGAAATATCACAACAAATGCGACATCATCTCTGATATCTTCTGATTCATCTTGCCTCGTCAGCCCCGTGCCTGGGATCAAGAGGACTCCGCAAAAGCAGAACAAGCTTTCACACATCAAAACAAAAGCAGAACTTTGGTTTGCTTGGACCAAATACATCCCAATACACCTTGCAGTTGGTCAAAGATGTTCATGTTAGTGTCCAAAGGCTCGTACTCAGCAAAGAGCTCTTGCAACATCGCGGCCGAGAAATCACGCCGGGAATCGCCAGTCGTCACAACGACACGAGAGGGCAAAGCGAACGTGGGTCACACGGGTTTGCTTGAGATGAAAAATGGCAGCATTATGAAACACACGTGTTGTGTTGCGATGGCCGCTTCTTCCCATCAAGACCCTTATACCGATAGAATCCCTTTGAAATCTAATGTACCAATATATTTATATACATTATATACATTGCATTCCATTACATTACCTTTCATTACATGGACAATATACGTTACATTGCATTCCACTACATTATATACCGTTCATCATACCTACATTACATTACGTTACGTCACTTTACCTTTCCTTACCTTACCTTACCTTACGTTACGTCATACATACACATAGACATATCTATCTAGACATATGCACAGTGTGTGTTTATACATATATATATATATTACTATATACATTACTACATATACAGATATATCCGAGGAATTCACACTTAGCTCATGTCTCAAGCTTTGGATTGGGCCACGGCTCTGATCTGGCTCCCCGTTCCCACTGTGGCTCGGGCCAATATCCCAAGGCCGTTCCCCAGTCGATGTTCTTCTCCGGCTCCGCTTCGTCTTCCGCACCGGCCCTGGCCACGTGAGCATGCACCGCGGCACAGACCTTGGTGAACTGCAGAACAAACAACAACCAAAGGCTTGAAAAGGTTAGAATGGGTGTGTACATAGTGTATATATTGTATTGCATTGCATTACATTGCGTTACATTACCCTGCATTGCAGTGCATTACATTCCATTGCATTATGTTGTATTTTGTCATATTTGAATATGTGTTGTTATATTCTATTAGGTCATAATATAGTATGCTATATTGTTATATATATTATACTAATTTCTACTACAATATATAACACTATAGTGTGCTGTACTTAGTATTCGATTGTATGTCACATGATATTATATATTATACTAAACTATACTATACTAAACTATAATACTATACCATATCGTGTTATCACATTGTATTATATTGTACCATGGTGAGTTTTGGTGTATTATACTATTCATATTTCATATACAATACGACACTATAATATATCATGGCACTATACTACGTATATTACGTTGCATTGCATTACTAAATTGCATTACATTACATTAAATATGTATATAACACAGTATTTCAATCGTAGGAATGACCAAGATCTGTGAGTCTTTTTTGCATCTCAGCCACGCTCAGGGCGCTCATGAGCCCCGCTGGACACCAATGTTCACCAAAGTCCATCCAGCCAGTATCACCCAGCGCAGTACTCTCCATCCACCTGAAAGGAAAAAACTTGGCCAGCAAAGCTGGGATTCTGCCAAGCAAAGCTGCAAGCTAATTGGTATATGTATAGGTATGGATATGGATATGTAGATAGATCGATAGATGGATAGATAGATAGGTAGAATTAGGTAGATAGATAGGTAGACAGATAGGTAGAAGGAAGACAGACAGACAGACAGACGGTATTTAATATTACATACTATTTGTGTATATATATATATATTTATTTATTATATTTCATTTTATTTAGATATAGTAATATTATATATATTATATATATATATCATACTGTAGATAGATATCATCAATCCAGGTCCGGCTCCCCGAAAAATCGCGGCCTGTGCGCACTTTCATAGAGATTCTTGGTCACCGAATGCACCAGTGGCTTGGCCACAGTTTGGCAGAGGCTCAAAGTCACCGGAGAGCGAGCTGCCAAAACACCGGCGGAGTCCTGGCGCTTTGGAAAGGAAGCCGCTTCCAATGTGTGTCTGATGGAAGTGGATAGATATAGATATCGATATGGAAATGATATGGATATATATATAGATAGAGAATGATAGAGATGGAGATAGAGATAGATATTCATACAAAAAGCAAAAAAACCTGGCTATGTTTATGCCCTCCAGCATCACAGTCCGGCGCATGTGCCAAGGTGAAGTTCAGCAGGTGCTGAAAGTCACTCCATGGACCACCACAGCGACAGCCCGGGGTCTCCTGCGATCGCTGAGCGGTTCGCTGAAAAAAAAAAAACGGCCACTGGACCCCACCTGCAGCGGCACACCCAAGTTCCAGTGCGCAGCTTCCCAGGCATCTTGCCAGGGCCCCATTTTGCGAGCTGACCGCACAGGGATCCATTCAGCAGTTGGGAAAATGGCTTCTTCAATTGCTCTAAACTCTAAACTGCCAAAACCCTTCGTGAATGGGAAATACAAGATAAATGTATAATATAATTAATTAATATATAGCAGCATCATGAATTTGCTTTGCACCAACCAGGCGTGACAGGTCGGTGGAGCAACAACCACCCAGCTTTTGGCTCATAACAGTTGGCATTGGCGGCATTTGAACTCTGAGGATCTCTGAATCTGCGAGGAAAGCCAAAGACACTGACACTTGGCAGAGGTTCACAGCGAATTCTGCCAATGTGCACTTCTTTTTCGCCAGGTCACGCAATAGCAATAGCCGATTTCCACTTTTTGGAGAATTGCAAGACCAGCGGCTCCAATTACATCAATTACTCTGGAGAAACAGGCCAGAGTTAAGTCGTCTTGTTAAGTGTCTAATTTTTCTGGCTCGCTAAGTCTGAATCCCGGCCTGGTGTGCTCCACGGAAGTTGTGCCCAGGACAGTGCCCGAACGGCCCAGCATCAGATCTTGGTGCTGTTTCTGTACACTTGCTGCAGATGTCGCGAAACCTGGTCAGATTTGGGCAGCCAATCTTCTAAACAGAAAATGGGCTGCCAGCAATGATTGAATCTTCCAACTCCCAGTTGAACCTTACTGATGTATGATAAAATACCGCAAAGATACAATGCTTTTGCCAGCTCGATCAAGCCTTGAGCAATGTTCTTTGATGCATAAGACAATCGCGCCTTCAGTTTCACTGTTTTGAGCCCACCCTGCCATTTCAAGGATAGCTTGAAAGCTGGGTAAGGGGATGTATGTAATGAGCATCCATGGACATCTGATGCATATGAAGGAAACAGTCTGACATCCGAGTACATTTGCAAGACTCTGGAGCTGGAGGCTCAAATAAATCTCTGCATCATTCTGTGTCTCCCCTTCCACAGCTCTCGGACACACATCTCGATTTGGAAATCAACCACAGTTGGCGATTCAAACAACTGACGCACAGAGCTCTGTGGTCTGCGTTGACTCTGTGGAACCCGCCTGAAGCTATTCTCATGAGAAGGTCGGTCCTCATTAGGACCATAAAGTGGCTTTTGTGTGAAGCGATGGTCAAAAGCCAAACAATGGCGGTCAACTACCATGGTTAATGTATCTCGATCTGAGTCTTCAAAGCTCCTACAGCAAACGTAAAGGCAAAACCCTTGTTTCATCAGTGGAGATTGAGGAAAAATTCCAGACTGACGGGTGCGCATGCACATGGGAATTTGGTGGAATCCAAGGAATTCGAAGACCATGCAGCGGCCTTCGTTCCCTCGACTTTTTTTCATGTCTCCTTTCGCATTATGACTCAGAATCGGACGGACTCATCGTACAAACCTCGCAACTTCCGAGCTTTGAAGTTCTTGAAAGATTTGAAAGATGTCAAAAGTCAAAAGTATGCTATGTGCAGGGCTTCACTAGTATCACTCCTTCAAATGCCAGATTTGAAGCCAAACCATCACAGAAACCCTTTGGTTCCAAACTGTCATGGACGGACAGGCCCTTAGCGAGATCAATCACGTTCGTTGGAAATATAGGAATCGGGCAAGGCAAATGAATATGCTAGCCTTTGGCGTTTTCTAATACAAGTACTGTATCTGGCGCGGAATTTTAGTAGTGTATCTATGCTCATTCATCTCACCATTAGCAACTAGTGTAGCAGTGTAGCACTCAGATCCAAGCCAGAAGCATTTGCCTCCTCTGTTGACCCAGCCTATTCCACAAGAGGATGTCTCAACCGAAGGTTCCTGTAATCCAGTTTTCCATCCTTCGAAAATGCTCCCATTGGTCCTATTGATCCCCTACCATGAAGCAGTGCCCACCTGCGGTAGTAGTGCTTCCTTTCCTCCTTCACTTCAGGAGGCTCTACCTTGGCACGTCAACATGCGCCAGAAAGGATATGGCGACCCCATTGGGGTTCCATTGGGCCCACCAATCTGGTCATGTTTTAGTATTTAACTCTAGTTACCCTCCCGTAAAGTAACATAGCTATGCAAAATAGCTCATGCTAGATGAATTACCTACTTAAAACGCTGGTCTTCCATGCAAACTGTTATACCAGGTGAAGGTAACCATCAAATGTGCGAAGGCCAATCGATTGATCCCCCGCCTTGGAACCACCTGCTGTAGCTATGTCCTCCTCATCCTTCATGAGAAGCCAAACATCAAACGGCCTCGGTTTTTTCACCGGAAACCTGGCTGTTACCGTTAAATTAAGGCTGTCCGGTGATATGTCCTCCTATCCAACTGTTGAAAAATCTGAGCCTGCGGCATGCAAGGCATGTTCCTGCCATGTTTGTGGGCGAGGACCCCTGGTTTTTAAACGAACAGATGCAGCTAATTATGGAACATGACCCATTAATAGATGATATACCTATATAACAAAATTGTATTTTTTCATTGTAAACTGTTAAATCACCAGAGGGTACCATTTGTAAGTTCGGTAAATCATCAAACCATCGGCCCTCTTGGCATTGTCATTGCAGATGGACTCTGAGACTTTTGATTCTGGGATGTATACCCCCAAAATCGACTGGTTCCGGTGAAATAAAAGTTAAATCCTCATTTTCAAACACATCGATACGTAAATACTGTTGGTTGTGTATCCCATTATATCCACATTCGAATATCCTATTCAATCCCATTCAGTTGATGGATTTTTACTCCCATTCTCAGAGAAATATCATCAAATCCACGTCGATCTCCATTCTTCATTGGTTCAACCAGCATGGTTCATGGTTAAACCAGGTTAAACCCCCATTTCCAGACGGCCTGAAAGCGGTGCGGTGCCTTTCCCGCTGATGCTCCATCTCTTTCTTTAGGAGGAGCCAAAGCTGAGCGCATTTGAAAACGTGATTCGGAAGGGATGGAAATGATGGGTTTACGACATGTGGTTTAGAAACCATACATTATTATATATTATATTATATATTATTATCATTATGTTTCATTGTTATGATCATTAGCATTGCTTAAAATGTTTGTTGTTACTTATCTTTATTGTTCTTAGTCTTTTCTATCATTGCTCTGATTGCTATATATATATATAAACATTGTTAGTTTCGATCTATAGTTACTGGTTTTACCACTAATCAGCAAGGAACTGATGATGGAAAATGGCATGTGAAAGTAGATGATTAGGTTGACCAAATGGTAATCATGGGGCAGGCGCAATGCCAATTTGGGGATGGTTGGAATATGTTGGAATCCTATTTCATAGCACCCATTTCTGGTACAGGGCTTGATGAATTAGTGGGTTTACCGGTTTCCTTTTTTTTACAACACTGGGCCCACCACAACTGGAATTTTGGCTGAAGAAATCTGGGGCTCGGACAGCTCCTGGACGCTTGCCATTTCCAACAGCGCCTTGAGGAGCAGTTTCCTGTATCCAACCTTTGCATCACCGCAGGGCTACCCGTGACAACCACGCTGTTTCAACGAGACAAAAACAGTTCCGATAAGTTGATAAGTCGTTGCGAAATCATGGGAATAGTATGACAAATATGACACATATGAAGCAATAGGCAATAGACACCATTCCATGAGAAAGCAACTCGGCGATGTGAGTAATAGTGAAATTTCAGAGTCCGCAGTCTGCTTAAAAAGGCTACTCCGAAATTCCATAATTTATCATCACTTTACCCATTAACATTGCAATTTGAGGAGTATCCCGTATCTCCCAAGTTTTTTAGACACGCCCATATGGAAAGACCAACAACCATACAACCATCAAGGGTCGTCCAGTCGGAGCAAGGCACCATTTGCTATCCGCCTCTGTTCAGCCACAAAGGCCGGGTCGTGCACACGGAGTTTCATGGCACCTGTGTCGACCATCTTCTCATCGCCGACACTTCTAGTACTAGACACCTTAGAAATAGAAAAAATATGTTAAAGGATACATCAATGAATGGGATTGTCTGAAATAAAGATGAATAAAGTACCCCATTCAAATGGCGATTTTCTCTTGGGGTCATGACAACGCCTATTCTCATAGGAAATGATACGAACATATTCTTAATGGGCTAGGGGTGAAGTACAAGATACAGTACATCCAGGGCCAAGACTTCCGATTCAGCCTCTCACCTTTTGGCGCACTCCCGAACTCGGCGGAAACTACCATGCTCTGTGAAACACAGAGACTTTTGCCAACGACTTTCTAATTGGCATGTTTCGCATTTGCGAGAATGCCCTCTGAGGAAATCAATGGATGGATGGATGGATGTAGGCAGGTAGGTAGGTAGGTAGGTATGCACGCATGCGTGAATGCATATGGCTCTGAAAAAATATCTCGGGGGTGCCATATCTGTGTACGTATACATGTATATTATATTATGATATGTGATATAATATAAAATCATATATTATATATTATATATTATATATTATACATTAAATATTGTATATTATATATTATATGTTATATATTATATATTATAAATATATATTAAATAGTATATATTATATACTACAAATATATTGTATATTTATATATTATATATAATAGTATATTATATATAATATATTACATATTACATATTACATATTATATATATATCACACATCATATAGTATATATTAAATATGATATATCATATAAAATATATTATATATGATATACTACATATCATACATAATATATTATATATTATAGTATATTATAGTATATTATAGTATATTATAGTATATTATAGTATATTATAGTATATTATAGTATATTATAGTATATTATAGTATATTATAGTATGTTATAGTATATTATAGTATATTATAGTATATTATAGTATGTTATAGTATATTATAGTATATTATAGTATATTATAGTTTATTGAAATATATTATAGTATATTATAATATATTATAGTATATTATAGTATATTATAGTATATTATAGTATATTATATAATATATATTATGTATTATATATAATATATCATATATGACATATTATATTTCATATCTCATATATCGTATATTATATATTATATTATGGCGTATTATATATTATATAGTACTATATTTTATTATATCTTAAATTACATTATAGGACATTATGATATAGATTATATTATCTCATATATTATATTATATTTTATTTTATTTTATTATATTATACTGTATTATATTTTATATCATATTCTATTCTATTATATAGTATATTCAAATATCTCAGATTATACATTATATTATACTATATTATATCATATTGTTTATTATATCATATCATATATCATATTATATTATATTCTATAATATATTATTGTATATATTATTTTATGTATTATATATCATATATTAAAAATAATTTATCATATTATATTATATTATATACATATGTAATATTATATATGTGTATATTACGTGTATATAATTATATATATATGCACGTGTGTATATATATATATACGTATGTATGTATGTGTGTGCGTGTTCACCTCGTGTTTCCATGCAAGACATGGCAACGTCTTCCGAGAAGCGAACTCTCAACTCGCCATGTTCATCTCTCAAGATTCACTGTAGAAGCAATGGCAAGGCTGCAGCGGCTGCCGTTGCTCCAATTTGGTGGCCAGGTGCATTGCTAAGCCAACCGTCATTTTCTTGTCCACAGCCAGCAACACCCGTCCGCCACTGCACGCAGCCTGCAGGAAACTCAGCGGTCCATTGCCAATGTCAAAGTTGATCGGGGCATTTTTGTTCTGTATTCCACGCCCAAAGCTCTTTCCCTGACAGAATATGTATGTCACCAAATATCATATCAATGACTGCAACAGATATCAACATATATCAACCAAATCAACCTGCCAACCTCTTTTGCTTGCAGGACGGCCTGCTTCGCAGAAGAGCACAGATCTTGGGGTTGATGAGCCGTCGCACTGCTTCCAGACATCGCCGTCACAATAGTCGCCACTAATCCTTAGGAGAGTTTCAAAAGCTCGGTAGCTTTTGGAGTCAACAAAGTGGAAGGTTGCAAACCTTTGTGTTGGCCTGAAGTTGCCAACAGTCTCAGGCAGCTCACATCCAAAAAAAGAATCAGTCTTTAGTAAGGAAAGAAAGAACAGATAGGCTTGGAGATTCCCCTCTGCCCGGGAGAGCAACAAATGACTTGTTTTGGCTGCTTTTTCAAACGGTGCCAAATGCATTTTGCAACAACCAACACAAAAAAAATCGTTTAGGATGGTTTGGGAGTGTCTTTCGACCAGCATCTTCGTAGCGCAGAAGCGGACAGTACCACATTCAGCAACCCCCACGGTACCTTCCGAGCATACACCGCAATAGAGCAGGGCCTGGGCAGAAATTCACGATCTCTTTGAGCCCAAAAGTGAAACTGAAGTTGAGATCAAAGGTTTTATTTGTGCTTGGATGTGCTTGGATGTGCTTGGATGTGCTTGGATGTGCTTGGCCATTTTAAGTGCAGGTCAGTCTGGGTGCTGTCAGAGCAAGTCTTCAAGTATGCTCCATCGCAGTGGCTGCCATCACTCTTGGCATAGCAAAAAGTGGCGCTTCCGCAGCTAGCAGTCCGAGCAACTAGGCTTGCCTTCAAAGAAAGCAAAT